GGGGATCTGGAGCGTAGATGGCCGCCGGAAGCGTGAAAAGGGGGTTGCTTGGCTGTTCTTCTTTTTTTTCGTTCTTTGGTTTTTCTTTTTTTCGGGGGGGGGGGCAGGGAGGTGGGTGGAAAGGGTGCAAGTGTCATATAGCGTCCAATGTATGTACTGTAGCCCTGAGATTGATAACTGTCGTTGAGATCTGAAGTCCTGAAATTAGTGCGTTGAGCCCTAAATGATTAGTGGATTGGGCGCCAATTTTTAGGGTGCCAGACGGCCGGTTCCAGGGGAGCGAAATGCCTTCCCGGAATTGAAGCTCGTGCATCTCGACAACCACAAAAATGCATCATTTCCAAAGGATATCAATCTTTTGAGCTCGACGAGCTGCATTAGCTAATGGCTTTTTAAAGAAATCTACTGCGTGATTGCCGGGCAATACGGGAGGACTGCCAAAATTACCTCTCTGAAAGTGATATCAAAGGGCTGGGCGGTTTTTTGCGGGGTTTTCCAAAAACGCGCCATACGTTTCAGACCTGAGATATCCACTTGGTATTTATGTACATAACTGTACATACGTACAGTACGGAGTTACAATAATCAGGCTCAGGGTCTTAACCCACTCTTGGGCCTGGAGGCCGCCATCGCCAACATGCAACTGGATTTGCCAAACTGGACTCGCGCTCCTGCCTCCCTTCCATGTTACTTGTGTATCCACTAAGGTATTTCGGAATTTAAGAAATAAAGTAAGTCTGTTGATACCACTCGTTCTGTTCTCCGAGTCCTTGTGAGAATATGTCGTTAGAGTGCAGGTAGTGCTGATTGAAGCTGTGTGGTTGGTTCAATAGGTGTAAGTAAAGTTCGCTGCCGTGCGCCACGGCTTTAGGTGCCTGGGGTGCCAATGGCTCTCCCACGGCACGAAGGACTGATGTTGGCCCTTCAAAACCGTCGTGGACCTTACGTTACCAGTTGCAACAGGAACAAAAAGCTTTGTGACCGCAATACAGTATTTACGAATAACCTGCCATACGCAGTATCCGTAATGCAGACGGGAATCGTTCATCACCAAGGCAGCTTCGTTGATGCCTCTGGCTTCAGGATCTGGACCAGTAAGGTGCCAAGACCTGCTCTTTGCCGATCCTGCTGATCTCCCAAACACAACCAATGGCGACCCGGCTCCCTCCTTCCCGCAGGACCCTGAGACACCGGCGGTGACCCTGCCTTGTCTCCTTTGCTCGCTTCTGGAGCTAAATTCGCCCTGCAACAACCTCGTTGGGCAGCGTTATTGTAGCTTCTCCGGTTCGCATGTCCAACAAATTCCCATCACAAAACTTCGAACTGCTATGGTTCGTGCTGCTGGTTCAGACGAGAGACCCTATGACGTAGTCATGCATATGTCGCACATTGCCGTCATATCCGATGGCTGGACTGGCCCAGGCCCCGATCCACCCCACATGCGGAAGGGGACTTTGAAGGAATCATGTCATTCTTGACCCGCCCTATCCGGTCGCTCCAGTCCGATCCACAATCAAGAAGCTAACGGCGCGGCTCAACATGACTAAGAACGCACGACTCAAATCGAGTTCTTGAGCCAACCACGAAACTTTTCCCGGAAGCCAAACTCGTCACACTAACGTCGGGCCGGGGAACCACCGTGTCTCCCCTGAGTTGTACGTGTGAAGTTCGAACCGGCCCTGACTCGAGTCTGTTGATCACCTCAACCAATGCCGCGAGGTAAACAATGCCCCTGAAATGAGCAGCAGTGGCTCCAGGGGCTGTGCAAACGCGCCGAACAAAGGGGGTTGACTGGACACCGGGTCGAGCCGTGCCCGAATTTGTGATGCCACCGTCAGGCCCATTCTCGCGATGACTCGATCCAAAGTATTTCAAGTCCAAGTCACTTTGCCAGGCTTCCAATCATACGGCCTCTAATTACTGTAGTTTCCAGACACTCCACCAAACACAGGATTGCTCCGAGGCAGAGATCACAGTACGTATTCCCGGATTCCCGTTAGTCCGCGAGAAACTCAAGTAAGGTATGGACACATGCATCAAACTCTCCCGTGAAGGAGGATTCAAATCAGCCGTAGTCGAAATCGGGTTATGCACTACATCGGAGTTGGAACAAAAAAAAGAGGGTCCACGGCGATATCTACCTCAGTAGTACATGCACTTCTAAGTTGGTGTTCAAGACACGGCCCTGGCAATTCTTGTAGACTTTGGGCGTGTCTCAATCACGCCGGGAGCCTGTTTTGGGAGTACCTAACCTCCACTACTTCCGCTCAATTTCTTCCTCCTGTGTATCCAATGGTGAGTCCCGAGTTCAGAGGCAGTCCCAGGAGATATCAACTTGTGAAAGTTATTAGAAGTCACATAGTCATATGTATGCATTTAGGGCTCGTGTGAGTGCCCCTTATATTCGGGATATGGAGTAATACGTTCAAGTCACGATCCGGCATACCAAAGTAGGAATCGTTGAATGAAGAACTCAACATTCTCATAACTGGTACTAGAGCAGGTCTTCCTGTTGGAACCTGCAGGGCGACGACCGCTGAGATATATGCTGGAAGAAGCTATTCCCAGTCAAAGCAGTGGATTGAATTTTTAAGGTGGTAAAAGTTATTGATTGACCATGCTGTTGATGGGCATGGGAGAGGACTAAGTATGTAAGGAAGAGGGGTTGCAGTGCTGGCACCAATCAACCACCGAGGTCCGTTGAATGCAGCCATCAAGGCGGCTTCGTTCCGACACTTCCCTCAGACTACATATTACATTGCCTGATGTCTCCTGAAACGGGTGTAGATCTCACATAAAAGCCATAGAACGGGAGGAGGCCTATAAGACCATCTCTATACAATCAGGCACATACCATGGACCTCCATGGTAATACGGTACACAGGGTATCCCGTCAGCTGAGGGGGACTGTTCTCCTCTCTATGCGAGCACTACACCCTACTCACCATGCATAACTGTGCACTTCATCACCATGGGGCAATTTTTCCGGAGAATACAACCTGAGTTGCCGTCAGACTTTAGACATGTCCAGACCTTCCCGGCACAGACAGCCTTCCCGTTTACCTTAGCTACCGTACCTAGATTCGCAAGTTATTCGGCCACCCTGATTCAACTTGGAAGACAAACTAAGCTGCCTCGCAAGACTTGATAACTCCTGCCGGTTTCCAAGACAATTGCTTCGCCGCACCACGAATATCCTGCCTCGGTCCCACTTACGGAACAATGAACCACCAGACGAAATGTTGTGAAGAACGCAACCGACAGTACTCAGGATCCGTGAGCTCTACAAAGTGAAGATATGGATACCTGTGGACGATCGAGCCGAGAGAAGTGAAAAAGAAGTTGAAAGCCGCAACCAGGCAGCTTCATATCCCTGATGATACGGGCGAGGAGGTCAAGAAGGGGTCGTAGGTACTGTAGCACCGGCAGACGCTGGACTATGGAGTGTAGAGTGGGTGAACATCTCGTGAAAAGCTGGCCGATCCCGAGGGAGAAAGGCGTAAGGTAGAATGAGCTAGGAGGTTATTCTCGGTGAGAACACACAGTTGGTGTGAGTCCCGGTCTAAGAGGCTGTTGGTGGTTTAATTAGCACCAGTGTCCCTTGCTCTGGCACTGACTGATCTAGACTGAGCTGGCATGTTCAAACTTCACAGGGAATAGTATTCCCCCATAAATCTGACCGAATTGGCTGTTAAGGCCAAGGATACTGTCACGGGTGGGCGCAACTGACCACTGCGTAACACCCTCAAAAGAGGGACCGTGGTTCGAACTGTCCAGTCGAACCAGGAGTTGCGCACATGAACCTCACACTGTCACTACCCGTGACAGATACGGACCTAAAAGGTAACAGACTGAAGTTCGTCCCCATCATTCAGGTTGGTCCAGGGAACGAACAGATGCCTTGGAAACCAAGATAGGGACGCTGAGAGGCCTGAGGCTATACTTTGGATGAAACGTTAGCCAGTAATTCATATGTCCGAGATGGCTTAGGGGAATCTCAGAATATGTTGCAACGGCGGATTGCGGTTGGTCAATTTCTCGAAGGGCTGAAAGACGGGCCGACGACAGCATTGAGCCTCGGCAGGATTGGGTCTTCCTCCGTCGTCTACACCCATCTCGCGTGCACGGCACGGCTCATGTTGCCCAGCCATTGTATGGACGGCCAATAACAAGTGCCCGATAAGGCAGCTGGGTAGAAACCAGCATCCATGTAAGACCCAGCGGTAATCCCTGGCAACGTTCGAGACCGTCAATTGTGTAGTGGGTGAATGACACTTGAGAGCTCAAACTACGTGTTGGCCTGCTTGGCCATGACACCACCGTGATTGCCTGCTTCATAGAGGACATCTCCTACAGTCCTACATGCAACACACCTGTAATCTATCGTCCCATTTAAACTTCGGTGGAGGAACTTTGGATCGTGAAACCATTACCAGGAGAGTCATCCAGGGATCCGGTCGGGGCAACGTTGGTCTAAACCAAAAAGAGTACTGTCACTTCGTATCAACTACATAACCAGGCTTGTGATGGCATGTTGGAGTGACGAGCGTTGAAGGAACCAGGGCACGATCGAAGACAGCCTGCCGTAGCTCAGCAATATCCGCCATGCGAGCCCTTCTGTTTGTTTCTGCCCTTGCTTGCATTTTCCAGGCCGTTTCTGCCTCTGAAGACTTCGTCGACCCCAAACCAGTCCCGCGGTACTTGCGGGATCCCACGGTCATCCAGAAGAGAGACGATTCTGGTCAGGTATCCAACGTCACCCTGGGTGACCATGAGTAGATGCTATGGAGCACCGGCAACCGTGAGACCTTCCATTGCTTGTACTGTTCCCTATCCAGCCTGCTTCCTCCTTCCGAGGAAGACAACGAACAACAGAACATGAAACATGAAGGAGGGAAAATGGGACCGACAAATGACCATCGCAACAGGCCTCTAACCTGCCCTCCAGAAACCAACCACTCGACTGTCGTCTCGCTGGTCACCTGGACCCCCCAAAGCCAGCGCATCATCGACATGGCCAAGTTCGGCTGGGCGCTCAAGGCGGCGCGCTGCACCGAGGACATGATGCTGCAGTTCCGGCACAACATCAGCTTCCAGGCCGCCAAGCGCGAGTAGGAGTGGGTCAACTTCAACACGATGCGCTCCTTCGTCATGGGCGCCGACCACATCAAGTGCGGCCGCGACTGGTCGCCCGCGCCGTGGGTCGTCAGCCGCGCGACCTACCACCCGTACAACTTGACAATCCTCTTGCACGCCAAGAACTCGACGTGGAAGTAGGCGACGCTTCACCGTTGCCTGCGCTGACTGCGGTGTCCGGGGTTCGCTCGAGTTTGCCGGCCATGTTGAGGGGAGCGTCTCTGGTGGGCTCGACCGCCTGGTGCTCTCGGCCCGGCCGCTGGGCCTCGGCGCGGCGCTTAACCTCGAGGCTACCCTGAAGGGTTCTACGATTTCTCGGGCAAGGACTGGGCTAATCAGGAGTTTGAGCTCTTCTCTATCCCTCTGCCTTTGGGTTGGAGAATACCAGGAGGTTTGACGTTTGGCCGCCAAACTACTGGCTGGCTACGAGCTCAGGTCCATCGAAGCCCAGGCTACCATAACCGCAAGCATCTCGGCCACCATTTCGGACAGTTCGATTGCCAAGTTTCATCTCATCTCCGAGGAGAAGGTTCAGGTGGAGGGTTGGGCGCCAAAATTTGACTTCCAGCCGCCTACATTGGAAGCGGCCGCCCTCAAGGCGAAAGGGAAGGTCTGGGGCAAGGTTGCGGTTGCTGTTAGCTTGGAGATTATTGGTATGTGCCAGTCTATCTCGTGCGGTGTCTGCTTGTTAAATGAGCCAGAGACTGATGCGATAATTTTGTTTGCCCAGACGAGAACGGCATAACGGCCGATGTCCACCTCAAAGTCCCTCTATCGATCGAGGCAGAGATGGGCTACAATAGCGAGGGATTTTGTGACGACAGCAGCAACTGTTTGGTGCCTCGCTGGAACTCAATGTCGGCGCCGTCGTCGGCTTGGAGGCCTGGAAAGGAGGTCGACGGCAAGAAGGACGTCTTCTTCAACCAGGTGCTCTTCGAAGACCTCGAGGTCCCTGAGCTTCCCTCTATTTGTCTCAGCTTTGGCGATGCTCCCGAGGGATCCTGCATCTCCGCCGACATGGACGAGGAAATGGCCACCTGGTGGGATAACGAAGTTAATATCCGAGACGACGACGACAACCCCGGCGCAGCGTGCTGTCTTGGTGCCGCGGGCCGAGAAGCGCCGCAGTCGCGAGGAAGAGGAAAAGTGGAAATACTACAACTTGAAGTGCGACCCGCGTGTCAAGTACAAGACACATTCGAAATGGCCCATCTGGCTCAAGCATTGCCCGCCGCCGCCCGAGATCAGAGACAACGCACATGCCGGGAACCCAGTGCCCATCATGCAGATTGGCATCAACCTACCCGGCTGCAGCACCGAGCCGGACGCAGTTGAGCCTTGCCACCCCAAAAGTGGAGAGTCGTGCACAGCACCAATTCAAACGACATGGACGAAGACACGCAATGGAACAGTACGTGCCCCTTTTCTTTTCTCATGTTGTGCGACTAACGTGGTGTCACGCTAGGCGAGCACGTCTACGAGGGCAACTGGATCCGCAATTTCCTCAACGACCTCCAGGCGAAGCACTTCCCGGGGGACAGCGGCTGCGAACAACTCGCTAAGGACGTGTTCAAGATCGGCCAGGCGGACGGCCCTGCCGACGGGATGCTCAACAGGATCGGCAACGACGCGAACTACGATAAGGCCATAACACTTTTCCCCGTGAGGGAGAACGGATACAAGTTCCGTGTAAGCATTCCTACTTATACATACCTACCCGTGCATATTGCATTGCACCTGGTCCCCTGAAATCCCGCCCTTCTCTGACACGCCACCATATCAGGTCTCGCGCAAACCTCAAGATCGACATCCCGTTCGGAGGAGACAGAAACAAATTGTATACCGTCCTCGGCGGCACATGCGCACTGGGCCGCATAGTCGCCACATGCCAGTACATGGAGCACGCCGAGACGCGAAAGCGGCTCAAGTATTCCATCCGTGAGATGGACGCCGTCCTGGCAAAGCTGGAGCAGGACGCCAGCGCGCCAAAGCCCGGGACCCTCACGAGCTACCAGGAGGCGCACAAGCAGTGGTTCATCGCCATGTACGCCTCGGGCATTGAGAACCTGCAGGACCATACCATCAAGGCTGCTGAATATCTCACACATCCTGACCGCAAGACCGACTACGATCGGCTGCCCCAGGACATCACGGACAGGATTGAGTTGTTGGTGTCGGCGAATGCCACCCTGGTTGCGAAGGAGCTTTGCCCAGGCACCTTTGTGTATCCCTGAGAGCCTAAGGTGAGGAGAGATGGTTAAGGTATGTAGACTAGGCACCAGGCGTAGGGCATTATCACGATGAAAGAATGGAAAGGGGGCTGGGGACTCGCGTTCTTGATCAGACTCGATTGGGGTCATGTTCTCTAGTTCAGGCTTGTCTTCCTTCAGTTATTCTTCTTCCCACTTGGCTTAAGCCATTGTGCTTCTTCTTTAAATGTTTGAACCTACCTAGTGAGACCTCAGATTCTGAGCTTCATTCTGTTCCCCAATCCTAGTTAGAAACACAATGGGATGGGTGGCAGGCAATAACTACACGTAACATTGAAACCGTGCAGGCCGGGCCAGACTGTCGACATGAGCAGGGATCAGAAGCAGCAAAGCATGTAGTAACTGGATTATCGCAACCTTATTGATATTCTATTCCTGCCTTGTCTATATCTGTGTGTAGGCCGCATGACTCCTCAAGATAAACCTGAGACATTGCGCCGTCTTGCTGCTAGATAGAGGCACACACACCATCACGGAATCTTATAAAGGATTGACAGTGTCTCTAACGGTCTAACCTCTACCTCGATCAGAGAATCGAGACTACAAAAACCAATGCTTACCAAGCTTCAACCATGGAAATATGCACACCCATGTTGACATTTAAATCAGTGGCAGGTTACACTCACCACACCCATACTAGTACCTTAAGTACTCGCCGTTACACCTTGAACCCCCCAACTCACTGCTTTCGCCTATCCACACCCACGTCACAGAATTATCAGATTCTTTACCCTCCCATAAGGGCTGCCCCTAATACACCTTATCCTCATCCTTCTCTTTATCCTAACAATTCGAGACCTCAATCAACCCTGGTTTGGGGCTCTTGGAGGGGCGAGTGAGATTGTTCGTGTAGGGAAAGGAGCTGGAAGAGGAGGAGAAGGGAGGTGCTAATTGTTTGGATGGGAGGTATATAACAAAAGATATAACTAGTGGTTAGACCTCACATGTAACACATGAGCCTAGCTGTTCAATGATTCTACATGTAACTACCCTATTCGTGTTCTTGTTCAAGGTCAATAGGAGGAATGAAGACCTTTATAGCAGGGTTGAAGCGGCCTAACCAAACAGGCTTTATTGTGTGTTGATGCCCAACAAGTGACGACAGCGTTTGAAATGCTCGCACACGTGTAGATGGATACGCCTCTTTGTTGAAGATCGGGATTGAACTTTCCGATCATCTGGATTTGTGGTGATTTGGCCTAGACCCATCACTCACAAGATTGCATTAACCGATGCCAATCTGGGAAATTGGCATGGCCCGCGCAACCCCACGCTGAACGCCACGCGGACAAGGGAGAGGCTGGACAGTTTTGTCCGCTGAGCGGAGTGAAGGAACGCTATCAAGAGGACTATTGTTTACACCCTGTCCACGGCAAAGGTTCATCCAAAGGGCAAGGGCTGAGATGGTTCGCTCAAAAGAATCAGGGTTTTCAACTCAACTGGTTTGGGTCTTTCAATTCAACAGTCATTCATTTCACTTCTCGTCAGTCTTTTGCCCGAGCCTTAAACAATGAAGAATCTGGGACTTGCCGCCTTGACGGGCGCTGCCTTCTTCCACTCTGCCTTTGCGAGTTGTTGTCGAAGTAACATATGTCTGAGAGACATTGCCCTGGGGGGTGCAGATGCCCTAGCTGAGTGTTCTAACAACTTGGCTGTCACCGTCACTCTTTCTGCCGTGTAAGTGAACCAGCTCTTGAAGAGCCTAGGTAACAGTCAATCAAAATGCTGACGCGCCACATAGCACTGTGACGGAAACCATAACCGAAGTTCAGAGCGCCGTGTCGACTTCCCTGTTCACAGAAACCGTCACTGAGACTGCATCAACCGACGTTTTGCTATTCACCGAGACCACAACCATCACGAAGACCACCCAGACCGACATCATCTATGCGACCATCACAGAGTCCGTCACCACGACCATCGCTTCCACCGCTGCACCCGTCACATCAACTCAGACCATATACGGGGGAACATTGACTGCTCGTGATGCTACTTCTGGAGAGGTTCCAGGCCACCTGACCGCTGTCTGCGTGGACTGGAAGAAGTACATACAAGCTTGCAAGTGCGCAGGAGCTGTGCCCACCACTGTCACGGTGCCTGCATCGTCCGAGACAATTACAGTGACGGCCTCTGATGCGATCACCACAACGCTGTCCACCATCTCCAGCACTCAGACCGACACTGTCACTGTGACCGAGACAGCATCCAAGACCGAATTGGAGACGGTGGCTATCACGGACCTCGCCACCGCGACAGAGACCATCACCGTCTCCAAGACGACCACAGTGTTCGCAACCTCCACGCCCACTACCATCGTCCCATTGCAATGCAAGTCAGTGGGCACCGGCAGCAAGTTCTGGGTCTCGTCGCAACCCTTCCCTGACGGCTCAACGCGGTACATGAACACGCTTTCCACCTTCATCGCATGGCAGGGGACGAGCCAGCCGGCGAATACCGCGTCCATGCACTGGACCCTCGACAGCAACGGCTTCTTCGAGCTCAAGACGCCAATTTCCAACGGCGCGTCGGTTCCGTATGTCGAGGCGTCCGCAACCGGCGGCAGCCTCCGCGTCTGGGTCAAATCCAAGAGCGAGGTGGACGTGGGCGTTGCGGCTGGCACCTGGGCGAAGATCAAAGGCTGCGTCAACGCAGCGGACGACCGGGTCACCATGTCGGCTCTGGGACGGCAGAATATCTTGTCTTGCGGCAATGCTCACTACATGTCATCCGGTGACGGCAAGGATGTCAGGTCGGACTGCGTCTTGATAACCGCTTTGGCTGGCGAACTCAGTTAGAGGGAGTGATTAACAGCACTCCACTGGCTTGGTCAGAGTTTGCACCTCAGGATTGCGGCGACAATAGGTTTTTAGAATACTAGTAGCGGGCATCCGGATTCATTGAGTGTAATAACATGCTTGAGGCTGGATGAGACCTAAGCCGGTGCATAATATTATTTTCCAGTCGACGCAAAGGCACGCTTTGTAACTTAGACTCGAGAAACACATAGACACATTAGGCCGGCCTTGCCGATTCAAAAGAGTTGACAACAGAGGGACAACTGGCCGATTGCTGTGAAGCTGTACTTTTCGGTCTCTCATGCCTGCCAATAAAACACAATTCGGCTTTGCCATTCATCCCAATTTCTCAGAACCACTTGTCAGAGGCACTCGAAATCCACCGCAAAAAGAAATAGAAAAAATAAAGGTAAAATTAAAAAAAAAAAAAAAGGTCATTCTCGAGTAGTTTTTCCAAAACTTCCAAGGTTGGGTCTATTCAACTCGCAGCGTCTCCAAATGCTGAAGAGTTGGATGCCCGACGTCCTCTTTCCAACGACCTCGACTCCAAAATGTCACAACAGCGCGCCCAAAACAGCGGGCACAGCGGGAAGAAGAGACTGCCCAGTCCATCACTCGAGGAAGACAGTGCTCAACACCGCGGAGCCCAAGCGTTTAGGTGCAAGTCGAGTTCTGGCAGCTCGGGTTGTCCGTCTGGAAGTTGCCCAAGCACAGTTTGGACCTTTGAATCGAGCGAACCGACCGACAAGATGAGGACGACGGAACTTCGAGCTGAATTGCCACAACACGCCACCGAAACGTCGTGGGACGCGGAAGCACCGACTTGATTCGCCGACAACTTGACTAGATCGATGCCCTGGCGCCTGATACCACTATGGAGTTTATCATCCATCCACTTCAACATCCAACCATTCCCGCGCGACCTCCCAACATTTGTGATGTGAATGATGTGAAGGCCGTTCCATCCCGCCCATCTCAACCGTCGGAGTTTGAACCCACCATGTCTCCTTCGACCAAAAACGGACCAAGCACCACCGCCGCGTACTCCGAATCCAGACCAGTTGGCGCCGTTGATCGCGAAGTGTCTTCCGACATAGCAACCCCCACGAAGCATCCAGCATTGCTGCAACTTGACGAGGATGCTTCACAGGCTGCAGCCAGGTTGTGGCTGCATCGCTCCCAAGAAGATGGCAGGACGGACAGCAATGACACCAGAGCCGCCAGAGCGTAACAGCAAACCCAACTCCATACTGGGTCAAACAAACAAGGCAATATCGCCCCGGCAGTCTCGCTGTCAATGACGACAAACTGTCCCACGGCAGTGGCCGATGACAATCATGGAGCAGTGCCAAAGGAAAAGAAGCATGACGCGGGTGGCTGCCGGTCACAAGAAAACGTCAAGCCGATCGCAGACCCAAACGACGGTGGATACGCCCAGGCCCTGGTTAGCAGTACCTTGTTTTCTGTGGCGTCTGAACCTCGAGCTAAACATCATCAAACCATTACAGGCTCATTGGCCGCGTAGACCTTTGCTTCGACTGTGCAGCGGACCTCTCGAAACAAGCAACAAGAGAGACAGGCCAAATGAAGGTTCTCGAGGAATACCTGCCCGGGGAGCGACCGCCACCGACACCAACATCCCGCTTCGACCCCATAAAAACATTCCATTTCCCGCACAAAGTGCGCTGCGGACGTGTCTACCCAGCGTGAGGGAGATCATTGAGATGATTGAGGGGCTCGATCATTACTCCGCACCCGCTAATCTGAGCGCACAATCACGAGCCGCCCAGACGAAGATCGCCTTGGAGGCTTTGAAGTCGGTACCGCTGAAGTCAATCAAGTCTTCGGAAGATGTGAGGTCACCATATATCGGTACCATCACCGCCTTACCCCCTGGCTGCAACTCGATAATCCTCTCGAAGCTTGCCAGGAATCCCGTTTCTCAGAAACTCCTTTCGCTGGACTACGGAATGGACTCGGAGGCGGAGTTACAGGAAGATGAGGTCGAAGACGTGGATGAATCAGATGACTTGGATGACGAGGAGGTGGAGGGGACGCATTGGTATTCAGGGGATCTACAGCCACCCCAAACCGCTGAGACAGCCAAAACAGCCGAACCGCCTACTCCACACACGCAACGGCGAGAAACACTGGCAAGGCTTCCCTTGTTAGATCACTCAGGATTCCCTGATTACCATCTCTCACCCAAATTCCATCTTGGTTTCACGGCTGGGACCACGCGCATAAGTTGCTGGCAGAATGAAAGGCTTAGACTGAGGATCTACGCAAGGCAGACGAGCTGAAGGACTCTTCCAGAGCAGAGCATGTGGCAAAGCGGAGCAAGAGGAGGCGGAGTTGAGTTCATGTTTTGCGAACCTGCTAGCAGAAGCTCAAGCAAGTGCAAGAAGACACTAAGTGGAAACAGGAAAACTGAGAAGTCGCAGCTCTAAGGGCCAAAGGAGCAGAGATCAAGCATGGCAGGGATATCAGCTTTTTTCTCTCCATCACATTTACGTTGAGTTCATCATGTTTATTTCCAATGGAGGCCGCGGCCTCTCGGTATTTACCAAAGGGAAGGAAAGGGAATTCAGAGCTACCATGGGTTCCAGGCCCGCTCGCTTCCCCGTTTCTGGTTGGACGGCTGATCTCTATCAATCACCGACTGGAAGAAGAGACTCTCCTTCACGAGAAGGCAGAAGGTTTCGTGTATCATTGGAGAACCTGAGAAGACAATGAACGGGCTAACATCTGCCCTCTGCTTACGCCTGTTTAATTTAAAGCCCCGGCGTGTGCCCACTTCGGCGCATATCTTGCATCTCTTGAGTTGGGTTACATGCTAATATAGCCGGGTTCGAGCCAAAATCAGAGAAGGGGAGCCGGCTTGTCCGCCCTGCGATTTCAAAACCTTCCCCCTGACCTACAACTCAGCCTGTAGGCACCGAGACAACTTATTTTGGGATCCCTGCGGCCATTCTGCAACATGTCCCTCGTCTTCATCCACTTCATTATATCCCTGCTGCTCTCAGCAACCCATGGGCACGGCGGGGTGTGGAATTATTCGATTGCAGGCGACTGGCGACCTGGGTAAGTACAACACATCTGAATGTCGTCCAGTCGCCTTCATGAATGGGTTCAAGCTGGACCAGTTAAGATTGGCATTCGACCTGAGCGTGGAAGCCCCGATTGATAAAACCCCGTGTAACTATAGATTCTTCCCCTATTATCCCGCCGAGGGGCAATCATCCATCCAACGACACTGGATTGACTTCAGCCCCATCGTCGACAGCGAGCACGCCACGCTGGTCTGCAACAACCCCGGCAGCTATGCCGAAGAGTACGCAACCATCGACGCCGGCGCCGAGATCAAAGCATACTTCAGAGGATGGCCTCACGATATTGGCGCCGTCGTTGTGTGGATTGCGTACTGCGGCCCGGAACCGACGGCCTGTTCGTCTTTCAACGGCACCGGCAGACACTGGTTCAAGATTGACCAAGCCAGCCTGTTGTCGGGCACGGTCCGAGACGGGGTGTGGGCGCAGAAGAGGTTGATTGCCGACAATTACACCTGGACCGCGACAATCCCGGAAAGGCTCAAGGGAGGCGCATACCTGATCAGACACGAACTTATCTCGCTACATGTGCCATTCACTCCAGAATTCTATCCTGAATGTGCGCACTTGAATGTGGTTAGTTCTTGGGACGAGACCCCCGGCGAGGAGTATCTGGCATCTATCCCTGGAGTTTGGTCGAAAGACGGTGAGAGAGAACACTCCCGTTGCCCTAATCAGGGTGCGGTTGCGTCAAAGCGTCGACTAGTACTGATGTGCTATGCCAGATCCTGAACTTCATCTCAATATCTACGAGGAGCCAACTTCAAACCGGACAGAGTGGGCAGTCCCTGGGCCTCCAGTCTGGAGAGGATCTGGGGAATAACTCGGAGGCGGCCGCATTGTACGTAGCAGCAGCAGGCAGGGAGCACCGTATGTTACGGCAGACCAGACTCCCTTATGCATGGAGAAGCAATGCGGGCGTGTTGTATTGCGAAGCGTTAATCTCGGCGGTTCACGTTACCCTCTTGAAGACATCTGGATGGTGGAAGACTTAAGCGATATTAGAGCAACAGAATCAGATCTTGGGAGAACAGAGCTTGCTGGTTAAGGCGGACAATCAACATGCTTTCACATGGTCTCTATGCAAGTCCCAGGGTTGAGGCCCATTATTTGTATGTCATATTGACCTATCTGAGCTTGCTGAGATATCAGGTATCTTGGGGAACCTGTCCCGTGTTCTGTTGCCTGCTAACCTTCCCTACGCCCTTGCCATAGCAACCGAGTCCATTCATGTCCATTCTTTCCAGCTGACTTCCCAAATTGATTCCTGGTGTCCAACCCTGACTTCCCAGAGTCCACTCCAGCCCTTCTACCAAAAGCGTTGCCTCCAGGGCCACTGTCGATAGGTCGGTACCAGGACACTGTCCTCAACACGTAGAGAGTGAAGAATACTGAGACTCTTCTACCCCGGGCAGACGTATATCCTCCGGCGGACTTGTTCCCTGTGACACATGCAGAGGGTACCGTTTCTCTTGAAAAATAGTCATGATGCTGAGCCAGTCCTGCTATCGGAGCGGGGTGTGGACCTCGACCACGTCCGAACAGAACAATTCGATGGCGCGGTCCATCTCCTGGCTGAGAGGATGTCCAGATGTTGGAAGACTTGATCCTCTTGCCGGCAACCGGGGTTGCGCTCCTCCCAGTCCAAGCAGTTGGCTATGAACTGGCTATGTTCGTCAAAGAGCCACTGAAGCCGCCAGGCGAGGTAGCGCTCGATGTGGCACCGGACCGTCTCGTCGAGCAGTTCGATCTCAGGGTACCAGTTGCCCCTCTCGGGACCTTGCGCTTGGAATAACAGGAAGATTTCCTGCCAGCGATCAGCTACCGGGTCGACCATGTTTGCTAGGTGCCGTGCACATGGTGCTGGGATATAAACGTAGTGGACGTTTGAGGCAACCATTGTTTTGTGTGTGCAGGCGCAGCTTCCCGGAATTCAGCACTCCAGGGGCGCTCGTCAAGGAACCGGTGGTCGGAACACGCTCGGCGTTACAGCCGTTATTCGCCGGCCCTCCATAGTTGAAGACGAGCTGAATGGGAACACATGCTGTCCCTGTGAGGCGTAGTACTGCGGATGGTTGTATGGGCCTGACGCTTGGTTTGGTGTCGGAGGAAGCAGGTGGGTTGGCGAAGCAGTATATCGACCGACGCCTTTCCAAGTCGGCGGTGGCTGGGCTAAGTGAGGAGAAGAATTGACAAGGTGAAGATTGGTTATCGGCAAGCAGTGTCCATTACTTGATTTAGGACTGTTGAATAGAGGGGAGGATCTGGACGAAGAGTAAATAGAAACAAGTCCTCCAGAGTTCAAAAGACGCTGGTGCGAATTAATGATGGCTAGAAGCAGCTTGGTGCACAAAGAAACATCATCCACCCGCGGTGAACAGGCGGGAGCATTATTGGAAAAGACGGCGCGTCGAGTTCACCTTGAAATGTTAAGCTTGTGGACCGAGCCGAGGTTATAGCTGGAACGCAATGTCTGGTGGTGGCTTGATCCGCCTAGAGGAGTTCGAGGGAATCCCAGGATGATTTTCAGGCCTACATCCGGTCTAATATCGGCCCAGTCGGTTTCTGAGAGGTAGCCAGTGACTCGGAATGTTCCGTCTTATAGGCGCGTTGGTGTAGAGGCACTAAGGATAGACGAAATATCTGAGTCGAAGAGCTGGTACCTTACATGTAGATGCCATGCTGCGTTGCAATCGAACTGCGACGTATTAGACGTTCCACTACTTCGCAACTATTCCCAAGTACTCCCGCTTGATCCCCTAGTGAAATAATCACATCATGATCGCTTCATGCGAAAACTCGTCCCGCAAAGCCAAAGCAGAATCGTCATTTATCCCCTACATACAACGCACATCCAGTCCCCTGTCGCGTCCATCTGAGAAACCATTCTAGCACCTCTTCAATCACTGCATCCGACTGAACAAACCCCATCCTCCTCAATAGCCTTCGGACCTTAGCACAGCCGGAAGTTGCAGCGCCCATCGCAGCACGAGAACCCGCAATAGTGGTTGAGGCCGCCGCCGCGCAGGGCCATGTCATCCTGTTCCATCATCGGACGAGGCTCGGACGTCTGTTTGCACAAGTTAGTAATCCTTAAAGTCATTTCCCGAATAGCAAATCATGATGTATGGAACTCATAGGTCTCGGGAAATACTGCTAACTACTCACCGGCTGTTTCGTGACGACGACCTTCGCGCTGGGCTCGGCCTGGAGCTGTGCGGGGTTGGCAGCCTCCATGGGCGGCTGCAGCTTGGGTCCGGCGGCGGTAGGCATCGTGGCTCGTGGCTTTTCTTTTCTTGCCGGTAAACTCGAGGAAACTCGATTGATGGAATGCAAAAGGCTTAGTGGATGGTGACTGTTGCAATCGGTAAAATGAGCGGTTATCCCGGGCTGACGAAAACAAGCTGGAAACCCGGAGGTTGAAATAGAGTTGCGGTGTGAGACGGGCGTTTCCAAGTTTAAGCGCCACGAAGATCAACTCGCAGAGGGGAGGCTGGAGCTGACTTGCGCGTGTGACGCACCCCACCTGAGATTGGCAGGAGCCCGGCTTGGCTGCGTGACTTCAATGCGGAAGACACGATAGCGCCGTGAGGTTATACCCGTCTCGGATATTCGAGCATTTTCTTCAGCTGAAAGTCTCATCAAATCCATTGGGAAGACCTCAGCCCCGTCAACGTTATTACGCGCCGTATCAGTCAGTCACAACACCCACTTATCAGGTATCACATCGTTATGTTGTGATTAATGGGAGATCACAGGGTTAGGGTCTATGGAGCGGAAACTACACAACTCTGACTTGCTTGTCAAGCGCCATGCATCCAAGCATGCGACCTACCCCAACGATGACCCTGGATGGAACTTGACCCAACCTTTTCATGCTCCTCTAGATCTATACCTCAATAAGCGACGTTGAGTTTTGTTCAACCACCATCAAGTCCACCAACAACCATAAAGCTCCCTCACCCAACCGCCCCTCCAATCACTCACGTCGGACTACAAGTGGCGACAAAAGCGCACCTAACGCTCCCCACCCGCACCCGCAGCAGCAGCAGCCCCCCTCAACCTATTCTCCTCCATCATGCCAAACACGCGCTGCCAGACCTCGAGCCAGCGCTCATGCTGCGCAGTCGGCAGCTTCCCGGGGTTCCTGAAGCGGCGTGCGAGCATCTCGCGGAGCCGGGCCCGCAATACTTTCACGACAAGCATCGTCTTCCAGTCGGGCACGGCAAACCGCGCGCGGTTGCCGTCCAGCACAAACACGCCCGAGTACATGTCTGCACGCACGTCGCCGCAGAGGAGGGTGATCGCGAAGGGGTCCGTCGCGGTGGTCTCGTGCGCGTTGTAGAACCTGTTTACATCAAATCCCTTTTAGATGAATGTTGCAGATACGGAGAGGGCGAGAATGGGAGTAAGAAAATCGAGGAGGGAGAAGGAGGGCTTACGCCTTGGATTGCATGATGTGGTAATAGCTCAGCCAGCGCAGTTCATTGTACCCCTTGTTCACGCTGCTGGGGTGCAGGCTGATGGACTGGTTGTTGCCGATGTTTCGCAGGCCCTTGCTTCCCGGGTCGCGGACGAGGAGTTTGGGGTAGAAGCTCCAGGCAATGACCGATTGCGCCACGACTTCGTTGCCGCTGTTAGTGTTGACGCGCTTGGGCACGTCAAAAAAGGCCTGGTGGCGGCGCCGTGGACCTCCAAAACGGAGCTTGTTGAGGGCCTGCCGCTCGTCCGCCGTGAGCTGCAGGAACCCCGAGTCGGCTACTGCGACGAGTAGCTGACCCTTGAGGTCTTCGATGTTGGCGAGGGTTTGAGGGGAGAGGAAATTCTTGCGGCAGAACTGGAACTCGGCGCCGCCGCCGGAAGCAGATTGACACACGCGCTTCCAGGCGTTGTAGGCATTGTAAACCGTCAGGAGATCCGAGTCGCCCTTGCGGAAGCCCCGCCGGACCGAATCGGCTTGGCTCCGCTGGCCGAAGGGGGCAACGAAGGGTGACTTGGACGAGAGAATAGCGGCCACGGTAATGGCCATGTCCAGGCACTTGAAGACAGCGCCAAGCAGGATGAGCTTGCCAAGAAAGACGTCGAGTGGCAGCCGAGCGAGCTGGAGACCAAGCGGTGTCAGTTCCTCAGTCGTGGCCGTCAAGGCGCGGACATCCACAAGAGCGTCGATGGCTCGGCGAATATTCTTTTGGGATGGCGGGTCCAGCGCCTGGGTCAGTGTCTCTTCAATGCCGCCAATCTTGCAGATCTTGACCCGGATGGCCAGGTCTTGCAGGGAAAGCCGGAGCATCTCCGGCGTCTGCTGGTCGTTCATGGCGTTGTCGTGCCTGTACTTGGTGAAGAGGTGGAAGCAAAGGCCCTCTTGGACACGGCCAGCACGACCGCGGCGCTGCTTCGCGTTGGCGCGGGAGATGAACGAGTCAATGAGGCGCGACAACTGCCGCCGCTCATCGAACCTCATCTCGCGATGCTTGCCCGTGTCGATGACGCACGTCACATCCGGAATGGTGATACCGGTTTCGGCAATGTTGGTGGCCAGCACGATCTTGCGCATGCCAGGCGGCGGGATGAGGAAAGCTGCTTCCTGCTCCTCGCTGGCGATGGACGAATGCATCGGATACACGAGCCAGCTATCGGCGAAGAATCGATCCCCGAGCAGCATGTCGTTGAGCGTCCGAATCTCGGCAATACCAGGCAAAAATACCAGGATAGCTTTGCTGTAGGAAACATAGTCGGGGTCCACGGCAATTTTCGAAATAAGCTGGACGATCAGGTCATATTCGATCCGGTACTGGTCCATCTGAGCGAGCGTGTTTCGGGTCCGTGCGGAATACTGTCTTAGTTCCTTGAGCAGTTCGGGCTTGGACGTCGTGTCAACCTCCGGCTCGATATCGTCATCTAGCTCGGTCAGCTTCTCTTGGTTGCGCTGGTCGACCGTGTAGCCTGTCAGCTCGATGGCATCCTCAAGGTATGCGACGCGGACAGGGAAAGTCCGTCCCGGGACAGTCAGGACGGGAGCGCCGCCAAGGTATTTGGAGAAGCGCTCAGCGTCGACTGTGGCCGACATAAGCACGACCTTCAAGTCCTTCCTCCGCAGGAGTAACTTTTTCAGCACAATGAGAAGGAAATCGCTGTCGATGGACCGCTCGTGAACCTCGTCAAGCACCAGATGGGTTATCTCATCGAGGTCGTTGGATCCTTCTAACATGCGCATGACGATTCCGGTCGTGGCGTAGACCAGTCGGGTTTCCCGCGTCGTGTTCGATTCGAGGCGGATCGAGTAGCCGACCAGTGAACGACTCGTGCCAAGGTCTGCCTTGCCCTCTCCAAGCTCCTCGCTCACACGGCGCGCCAGCGATATGGCAGAGATACGCCTCGGTTCTGTACAGTAAATCTTGCACGGTTTGCCCTGGAGCAGCTGGTGTTCAAGCAAGAATGAGGGCACCTGGGTACTCTTGCCGCATCCTGTCTCGCCACAGATGATAACCACCTGCTCCCTGTCGACGATATCCACGACCTGTTGCCGGAACTGCCACATGGGAAGCTGCATACGTGGTGCCAGCATTTGCTGATACTTGGGCGAGCTGCTCTTCTGCAGCCAGATATTTTGGTAGTATTGGGGGTCGTATGGTTGGCGCTTCGCGCGCTCTTGGTCGGATTGGTCCGAGTCCGTATGGTTCTTAGCCTGGCCCCGTCCCTTAAAGCCCTGCAGGAGCACTCCATCTTCCAACTCCTGCTCGACCCTCTTGCGCACAAGGTCTCGGAGATGCCTCAAAATGTTGCGGTCCTGCTCGTCGGCCTTGTTCTTCCTGGCCTCTGCAAACTCGGACCATAGGTCCTTCCAGGTTGGGGGTAGCCTGAGTGACACTTTCTCCTCCTTGGCCGAGAACCCGAAGATGCAAAAGAGAGCGGTCGTGGCGATGTAGGCCTCAGACTGCTTCGCGTCGGGCGTGGCAATGGCAACCATCTTGTAGACAAATTGAGTCGGCGAGGTAAACACTTCGAGCTCAGAAAACTCAGGGGCAACGGGAATCTCCTGCGGCTTCGACCATATGATGTTGACGGCGTGCCTGTTCGCGAAAGCGACATCAGACAGGAGATGATATGATATCCTCACAGAGGAGTCCCTACGCACTGTCAGCGCAAGCCGAGTCGCACGCAGGAAAAGATGCCAACCTTGAGCGGCAGGCCTCTTCCAAAGCCCGCATCGGGGTCACGCCGGTCCATTTTCCAAAGTCCCGGACAATAACCCTGGATCCGTCCGCTCCGCTTACCACCGTGTTGGTTTTGCCCGTCACAGGATCAACCTCGCTCACCGGCAAGCTTGAGAACAGGTCGGCCAATGCCTGGTCATCGTCCTCTTCTTCGATAATTTCGGCCGCAATCCGCTCAGCTTCTGCATTGATGTCATCGAAGTCGGTTGGCGCTGGTGGCGTCTTTGCGGCTGCCCTTTTCTTCTCCTCCGCCTTCGCGGCAGCATATTCCTTCTCCAGAACAATCCGTTTCTCTCTCCACTGTTGCTCGGCCACGTACTTGTCAAACAAAACGTCCTTTTCGACACGATCTATCTTTGCAAGCAGCAACGCTTCTTCCGGGTCATCCGAGTTTTGGGATTTATCCTGTGTACCCTTCCGCTTGGCCGTGTCCTGTCGCGGATACTGGATCGCAAACAGTTTCGTCTTTGCCTCGAGGTAGAATGGAAGCAGCTGGTCGGGTTCAATGTCCTCGTCGTATGTGACAGTCGGCCGCTTTGGCGAGGCTGCGTGTGACAGGTTCGCTGCGCCGCCTTTCCTCTTGGTTCGGGGCTCAAGTTCGAGAGGTGTTCCTGGTCTGGATGGCGAGTCTGCAGGAGTGTCTAAAGCTGTCAGCATGCGGAGAGAGTAACATCAGTTGGCGCATACCTGTCTGCGACTTCGAACCCGACTTACGCCCCGCGTAGTCTGGCAGTTCTTCCCTAGCGCACTCCCTCGCAAACCAGTCCAAGACCTCCTCGAAACCCCAAATGAAGTCGCTCCTCGAGTTGTATGGGATGTTGGGCGCAATATCCAAAACAAACTGCAATGCGGGCTGTATCCTGTCCTCGGGAAACCCAGAACCCTCCAACGTCTCTTGCAAGGTCCACAGCCTGATGATGAGGTCTTCCTCCGAGGGCAGCCTACTAGTTGCGCCCTCAGAAGAGACACTGGAGGCTGCAAATCGGCCTTCTGCCTGAATGAGACCCAGGATATGGTCCATCAGCTCCTGCGGCAGCCATTTCCTTGTGTTGATGCTCTCGGCAGCGGTCCGGAGCAGTCGGCGATCCGTCTCGAGGCGTGTCTTTTGTCTCTGAGCATCTCTTCTGACTTTTTGCGCGTACTTTTCGACCAGGAGCTGCAATTGCGACTCATCCAGCTGCCGCTCAAACTCTTCGGGGCTTAGCGACTGCGATGGCGCTTTCTCCTCTGTTTTGGTGTTGTCGGTGGCGGCCGTTTGGGTTGCGCCGTTGGTCAGGGGGGTCGCAGCGGTAGCATCAGTATTTACCTTGCCGGCCGGGACAGCCTCAGCTGTAGCTTCAGCGGGGTCGACTCGAGCCTTGGAAGCGACTGATGTGGTAGCAAACCCGCGCGCTGGGTTTGCTGCGGGCTTTTTCGTTTTCTTCTTACCGGCCATGATGATGCGATACTGCCCTGGCGGTTGGGATGTAAATGGCTTGTTGCTGGAGGAGGAAGAAAGACCGCCGAGGTTGAATCCATCCAGCACGACGTCAGGCTGGAGAAGCCCTGGAAAGAAAGACTGGAGGAGCTTTGAACACGACCGCCCGCCGTTTCAGGTGCTGAGCCCCACCTCGGTGGTTGGGGAGGCTCTGCTATCCGGACAATGCCAGCGCAAAGGAAGTCGATGCAATCGTGGACATGGCCCGGAAGTGAGAACAGCATTTCTTTGCTGATCTCTCGTAAAGAAGTGTCTAAATCTAAATTGAGTTAGTCCTGGGTAGGTGTGTTGCAAACGAATTCTTGAGCCCATGTGGAACGATGTTGGAGGGCTCGGAGGGCTATAAAACTGAATCATGATTTTTCTCATTAAATCCAATCCCGACGAGCAGTTCGCACAGTCCTTTTAACTGCCCGTCTGTGACAGATTTTGGGGCTCCAACAAACAGCCCACTTCACCGTGAGCCCGCCGAAAATCAACGTTCTGGAAGCATCACGGCCCAAACAAAACGGCCAGCACAAGAACGAGGCTGCGGGTTTCTGCCGCCTGACCATGTCATTACACGACCCCATACAAGGACTTGCAGGAAAATGACTGAAGCAACTGTCAACGGCAGCCCGGGCAACTTCGACCTCGAGCAGGCAAGAGCTGCACTGACCTCATCGTCGACCAGTGCGCGGACCGCCCAGTTGCGGGGCATTGACGAGAAGATCTCGCAGAAGTGTGGGTGCGCCCTGTTCCCCAGATAAAGCGCGAACTAACCAAGCTAACATCGCCCCTAGCTCTCGACCGGACGTCCACCCTCGGCGTCCTCAAGGTGCTCTTCTGGACCCATGCCTTCTACATCGACCGACCCTCTCGGCAAGCAGTCCAACGATGTCTCGTCTCGCTCTGCCAGATAGGTGATACCGATATCCTTACGCCCTTAGTCGCTGCAATCCGCCAGGAAACGCAAAAACAAGGAATTGCCCCGGACAGCGCATTCGTGCTGGTGGAATGGTGCAGCTTGTTGACTCAGAACTTTGCGGGGACACCGCTGTGGGACAAATTCGGCAAGGACATCGTGTCGGCAACCGCTGATGGCCTGGAAAAGTGTGTGCAGCCCGCGGCGAAGATCACTATCGGCAGTTCTGCGCTGGTCGTCACGAGAAGGGGCCTCCGGAAGCTGGCATCGGCGGACCTAAAGGCCGTCGATGCCGCAATTCAGTTCCTCACAGCAAAGGGAGCCCAGCCTGCTGCCAAGAACGCAGTATTACTTGGTGCCATAGCTGGTGTCTGCTCGCGCAAACCGGAGGCGAAGCCAGTCGTCGAGGGGCTGAAGAGTCAGTACTTCGCCTTCTACACCCGCGAGATTGTTGGATCGCGGACACCGGTCCCGCCCCACCTGGCAGACGGCCTCAGGGATTTCTTTTCTGCCTTCGCCTCTCCCGAAGACCTCGACAAGGAAATCTTCCCAGCGCTGGAGAAGGGCTTGCTGAGAGCCCCTGAGGTCGTGCTGAACGACCTGATTACGCCCTTGGTCCAGTCGCTGCCCGGATTCGATCTCTCCAAGGCGCTGACCGGGCGCTTTGTCAAGCCCCTTCTATCCAACATCAAGTCATCCAATGCTGCGATCCGCAGCGGTGCTGTGAACGCTTTCAGGGCGATTGCGTGCAAATGCCAAGACTTCGCCCTGCTGGAGACGGCCGCCGACGAAGTCCTTGGGCCACTGAAGTCCGGCAAGCTGGCCTCTGCTGACCACAGAGTCCTCCATTCCGAGATGCTCGTGGCTTTGCCTATCTCAACAGAGATTGCCATGAAAGTCGCTGACGGTCTTCCCGCCATAGTGGGCAAAGAGGCCAACGAGGCCGCTCTGAGCGCCGAGACGCTGGTTCTCAATGCCAGCACCGTCACTTTTATCCGCGGTGATGGGGTGCCGAAAACGCTTCTGGACACGTATGCGAAGGGTTTAGCGGACAAGAAGATTCCAGTGCGGCGAATCTGGATTCTCCGTGTGGCGGACTTACTGCGCAGCTTTGCTGATGATACTCAAGCAGACCTCCCGAAAGGGGCCGTGACCTTTGCGGAAACCGTCGTCCCACCACTTCTTTCCACATTCAACGAGGTCGTGGCGAACCCAACAGCCACGGCTCAGAGCGGACTCGTCACAGGTGCTCTGGTCGTCTGTGGTCTTGGACCCCTCCTCGGTCAACTCGACAGTGCCAGCATCCAGGCCCTGCTGAAGAAGGCCTCGATACAAAAGAACAGCTTGGCGATAGAGCCGAAGTCGTCGTATCTCCTCAACCAGCGGATATACAGCAAATTCTCTGAAGATGACCTCAAATGGTTCTGCCGTGCTCTCTCCGTAATTGTTCCCGCTCTCGTCTCGACCACCCCGGCGGTCAGGATGGCGTGGGCACAGGCCTACATCTACCTCATCTGCTCAGTCACCACTTCCCCTGCTGTGCGTCGGCTGGCCATCGACTCCCTATCCAACCTCTGTATTCATTCCGCAGGCGCTGAAGGGGTCTCAGTTGCATCCGAGGTTATCAATGGCATGTGGCACTGGATTGAAGCCACTGAAACGGCCGAGAAGGAGAGCGCGGCTGCGTTGGCAAAATCGGGCACCTCTAATCTGCACCTCGTCCTCCAGTCGATCTGTTTAAGCTCCAAGGAGTTTGCAGACCGAGCAGGTTCTGATCCAGACAAGGCCCAACTCGAAGCCCGGATGTGCTCCCTCCTGGTGCTTGCCAAGCCGCAGCTTATCCCGCGGGCGAACTGGATTGATCTCTGCTTGAGAGTAGGGTTAGATCCCGGTGAGCTGGCTAGGCAGCACGAGGAGCCCTTGATCCAGGAGATCGTCGCGCGCACTCTGTTCGAGCAGAAGGTAACTCCTCTCTCCTCCCTCTTAATGAATGACGCTAACAGACGCAGTTGGAATCTGTCAAGTCAGCAGCTTACAGCGCGGCCGCCGAACTTGTATTTGTCGCCCCCGAGTCTATGACTTCACGCATTGTTGCCCTCATCCAACAAAATCTGGACGCATCCCAGCTACAGTCGATTGGCCCTCTGGAGGCCGCCATCTTCCGCACTCCGGAAGGGACGGCATTCGTCGATGTTTTGGCCAAGAAGCAGAACGCGGTCCCAAATAAGAACGTCAAGGACTATGACACGCTGAAATGGGAGGAGGAACTCAGAGCACAATTGGCAGCGAAGAAGGGTACGCAGAAGAAGCTCACGGCGGATGAAACGGCAAAGGTCAATGCCCAGCTTAAGAAGGAAGCCGAGATTCGCGAGAATGTCCGGCAGGTCGCGGCCAAGTTGTTGCGCGGCTTCGGCATTGTCAAGGCTCTTGCTACTGGTCCGCCCAGTAACGCCAGCCGCTGGATTGGTGCCGCTGTTCAGACTACTCTGGCTGCCATCGATGCGGGCGCCTCTTTGATCACAGGCGACACTGGGCCCATGGCGTTTATCTCTTGCGCTGACCAAGTCACTTCGCGTCTCGGAACGGTTCGCCCGTTTATCAGCGTCGCCACGCTCCGAGCCCACGAGGTTTCCGCCCTTCCTCACCACCTGACACAGGAGCCATTCGAGGATCTCGTTACAAGAGTGCTCTACCGCCTGCGCTTTGCGGGAGAACAGCGGGCTTTTGACACCGTCACGCTCATCTACATCCTCCCCCTTGTTCTGCTCGTTCTCGAGAAGGGGGGCTTCGGTGCCAACGCCGATGACAAGGACGCCCAGCTGGTCCTCGCCATCGAGATCCTCTCCTTCCACACAGATGCAGCGGCAGATGATGCGATCCCTCGGGGCGAGATCCTGTCCGCCCTCATCTTGTCGATGCAAAGATACAGCCAACACTACAAGATTCTCAAAGACTGCTTTTCTGACATGGTCCGTTGCGTTGCTCCGAACATGATCCCTGAAGAGATTGCCGTCCTCGCCGGCGGCACCATTGTGCCTCAGGCCAGCGTGCGGACCGCGGTGCTACAAGCAATCAGCGCGGAGGTCGACATGAGCGACGTCGGCGTGTCAGAGGAAATCTGGCTGGCCTGCCACGATGATATCGAAGAAAACGTCGATCTTGGTCGGGAGATCTGGGAGGAGAGCGAATTCCAGACCTCTGAGCAACTTTCTCACAGAATGTTACCTTATCTCCAGAGCAAGGACGCCCAGCTCCGTCGCGCTGCCGCAAAGTCGCTCGCCGAGTCATCCAGCCAGCATCCTGCCGTCATTGCTTCAGTTCTCGAGGAGCTCCGGGCGTCGTACGTCGAACTCGCCAAGCCGCGAGTCCAAGAGCTTGACGAGTTCGGCATGCCCAAGAAGATGGACCTGTCAGACCCCTGGGAGGCGCGGCAAGGGATTGCCCTCGCCTTCAAGCAACTTGCTCCTCATTTGGAAAAGCCGCAGCTCGAACCCTTCTTCGAGTTCCTCATCGAGCAGGGTCCGCTTGGAGACCAGAACGCAGCGGTGCGTGCGGAAATGCTCGACGCAGCTAACACGACCATTGAGGTGCACGGAAAGAGCATCCTCGATCGGTTGATGAAGACGTTCGAAAAGACCCTGGAGGCGCCTGACAAGAACTCTCAGGCGGCTGACCGCGTCAACGAGGCCGTCATCATTATGTATGGTGCACTCGCGCGGCATCTGAAGCCTGGAGACAAAAAGATCCCTGTTGTCATCGAGCGACTGCTCGCAACGCTGAGCACGCCGTCCGAGGCAGTCCAATACGCCGTTGCAGAGTGCCTTCCGCCGCTTGTCCGGACTTGCGGTGACAAGTCGTCCAAGTACTTTGATCAGGTCCTCGAGACAATGCTCACATCCAAGAAGTATTCTGAGCAACGCGGCGCCGCTTACGGCTTGGCCGGTCTTGTGATGGGCAGAGGCATCAGCGTCCTGAGGGAGTACCGCATCATGATCACGCTCAACAGCGCTCTGGAGAACAAAAAGGAGACCCATCAGCGTGAGTCGGCCATGCTTGCCTATGAGCTCCTGGCGTCCATACTCGGCCGCCTTTTCGAGCCGTATGTCATTCAGATCGTGCCACAGCTGCTTGCGGGCTTTGGCGACGGTAACGCCGACGTGCGGGATGCTTCCCTGGCAGCGGCCAAGGCATGCTTTGCCTCTCTGAGCTCGTATGGTGTTAAGAAGATCTTACCGACACTCCTCGACGGCCTGGAGGAAGACCAATGGCGCAGCAAGAAGGGCGCGTGTGACACGCTCGGTGCAATGGCTTATCTCGACCCTCAGCAGCTTGCTCAGAGCTTGCCCGAAATCATCCCACCCCTGACGGCTGTTTTGAACGACAGTCACAAGGAGGTGCGCGCGGCCGCCAACAAGAGCCTGAAGAGGTTCGGCGAGGTCATCACCAACCCGGAAATCAAGGGTCTTGTAGATATCCTGCTCAAGGCGCTCAGCGACCCGACAAAATACACAGACGAGGCTCTCGACTCGCTCATCAAGGTTCAGTTCGTGCACTACCTCGACGCGCCGTCGCTGGCTCTGGTCAGCCGCATTCTGCAACGTGGATTGAGCGACCGCTCCAACACCAAGCGCAAGGCATCGCAAGTCATCGGCAGCTTGGCTCATCTCACGGAGCGCAAGGATCTTGTTGCACATCTGCCAGTCCTTGTAGCAGGCCTCAAGACCGCTGTCGTCGACCCAGTGCCAACGACCCGTGCCACAGCTTCTCGCGCCCTCGGCTCTCTTGTGGAGAAGCTGGGCGAGGATGCGCTGCCGGATCTGATTCCCGGTCTCATGCAGACCCTCAAGTCCGAGACTGGCGCTGGCGACAGACTGGGTTCTGCCCAAGCACTCAGCGAGGTCCTCGCCGGTCTGGGCACGTCGAGACTCGAGGAGACGCTCCCGACCATACTGCAGAACGTCGAGTCGCCCAAGGCCTCGGTTCGCGAGGGCTTCATGTCGCTCTTCATCTTCTTGCCCGTCTGCTTCGGCAACAGCTTCGCCAACTACCTTGGCAAGATTATCCCGCCTATCTTGTCAGGTCTCGCCGACGACGTCGAGGCCATCCGCGACACGGCTCTGCGGGCTGGCCGGCTGCTGGTCAAGAACTTTGCCGTGCGTGCCGTCGACTTGCTTCTCCCAGAGCTGGAGCGCGGTATGGCCGATGACAGCTATCGCATTCGTCTCAGCTCCGTGGAGTTGGTGGGCGACCTGCTCTTCAACCTTGCAGGCATCAAGGCGAATGTGGAAGGGGAAGAGGAGGACCAGGATGTCACGAAGGAAGCCGGTGCGTCTCTTCGCGAGATTCTTGGAGAGGAGAAGCGGAACAAGATCCTTTCGGCCTTGTATGTCTGCCGCTGCGATACTGCCGGTGCTGTACGCGCTGCCGCGGTCAGTGTCTGGAAAGCCCTGGTTCACAGTCCGCGGGCTCTCAAGGAGCTTGTGCCTACTCTCACCCAGCTCATCATCCGGCGGCTGGGCAGTTCCAACATGGAGCACAAGGTCATTGCAAGCAATGCCCTCGGCGAGCTCATCCGCAAGGCGGGCGACGGTGTCTTGGCTACCTTGCTCCCCACACTCGAGGAAGGCTTGCAGACGTCGCGCGATGTGGACGCTAGGCAGGGTATCTGCCTCGCGCTCAAGGAGCTCATTTCGTCTGCCTCTCCGGAGGCGCTCGAAGACCACGAGAAGACGCTCATCTCAGTCGTTCGCACTGCTCTTACCGATTCGGACGCCGATGTCCGCGAGGCCGCGGCCGAGGCTTTTGACTCGCTGCAGCAGATCCTCGGCAAGCGGGCCGTAGACCAAGTCCTACCCTACCTCCTCAACCTGCTTCGTTCCGAGGAGGAGGCGAACAACGCGCTCGCCGCTCTCCTTACGCTGCTTACCGAGACTACTCGCTCCAACATCATCCTGCCGAACCTCATCCCTACCCTCATTACGCCTCCTATCTCAGCCTTCAATGCCAAGGCATTGGCTTCGCTGTCCAAGGTGGCCGGTGCTGCTATGAACCGCCGGCTGCCCAACATCATCAACTCGCTCATGGACAACATTGTCAACTGTGCCGAGGATGAGCTACGGGAAGATCTCGATGCCTCATTCGACACCGTCATTTTGTCTATTGACGAGTACGATGGCTTGAATGTGGTCATGAACGTGCTGCTGCAGCTCCTCAAGCACGAGGATCACCGCAAGAGAGCTTCTACGGGCCAGCATCTCGCCAAGTTCTTTGCGGCTGCCGATGTGGACTACTCGCGATACAACCAGGACATTGTCCGCGCCCTGCTGCTTTCGTTTGATGACAAAGACGTGGAGGTTGTCAAGGCGGCGTGGAGTGCGCTGCACGAGTTCACCAAGCGGCTCAAAAAGGAAGAGATGGAGGCGCTGGTACAATCGACACGGCAGACGCTCCTGCAAGTTGGTGTTGCCGGCCACAACCTGGCAGGCTTCGAGCTCCCGAAGGGTATCAACGCTATCCTGCCCATCTTCCTTCAGGGCCTCATGAACGGCACGCCGGATCAGAGGGTCTCGGCCGCCTTGGCAATCTCCGATATTGTCGACAGGACCGGCGAGGACTCGCTCAAACCATTCGTCACGCAGATTACTGGTCCGCTCATTCGTGTGGTTTCGGAGCGCTCTACGGAGGTCAAGTCGGCCATCCTTCTTACTCTGAACAACCTGCTGGAGAAGATGCCCACGGCGCTCAAGCCCTTTCTGCCGCAACTGCAGCGTACATTCGCCAAGTCGCTGGCCGACACCTCGAGCGATGTCCTGCGGAGCCGTGCTGCCCGGGCTTTGGGCACGCTCATCAAGTTTACACCGCGTGTTGATCCGCTTATTGCTGAGCTGGTCACGGGCTCCAAGACGACGGACGCCGGCGTCAAGACGGCCATGCTCAAGGCGTTGTACGAGGTTATCAGCAAGGCGGGCGCCAACATGGGCGAGAGCTCCCGCATCGCTGTCCTGGGCCTGATCGACACCGAGACGGATGAGCGTGATAACGCGATGACAATCACCTATGCCAAGCTGTTTGGCGCGCTGGTCAAGAACGTTTCAGCGGATGTGGCTACAAGCCTGCTGAAGAACCGAGTGATGACGCGCGACTTTAGCAATTCGAGTATCCTGGCGTTGAACGCGGTACTGCTTGAGAGCCCGAGTACCCTTCTGGAGTCACCCCTGGCGGACGACTTGCCGGATCTTCTCTGCCAAGGGATGGAGAGCAAAGATGTGAGTCCTCTTCCCCTCCATTAGTTTTCCCACCAGGTCTTTCACAGCGTTACTAATGCATATTTATTCCACAGCCGTTCATCGTAGACAACTTCATTGTCGCGACAGGCAAGTACCTCCTCAGCGACGCGCCCAAGTCTTTCGAAGCCACCAAGCCTATCTTCGCGACTCTCGCCAAGATCATCCCGCCCGGCGGGCCGACCGACTCGCGTCGCCTGGCCCTCGTCACGGTGCGGACGCTGGCGCGCACGCACCCGGACATGGCCCGCCCCCATTTGGGCCTACTCGCGCCGCCGGTGTTTGCCTCGGTGCGCGACATGGTGATACCCGTCAAGTTGGCGGCCGAGGCGGCGTTTGTGCAGCTATTTGCCGTGGCCGACGAGGAAAGCAAGGTGTTTGACAAGTGGATTGCGGGGGCGGACTTCTTGCAGGCCAATGTCAAGCGGAGTATGCAGGACTACTTTAAGCGGGTTGCGCTGAGGCTGGGCGCGCAGGTTAGGGAGAGGCGGGAGGCGGAGGGAGGGGTTGGTGGGTTGGGGCTGTCGAATGATGAGGCGGAGGATGAGAAGGAGATTATGGCTGTCGGGAAGGTCGATGTTGGGGCGGATGTTTTTACTGAGTGAGATGAAGTCGGGAGGAAGGTGATTGTTTACGGATTGACTGTTGTTAGAAAGCTGAAAATGTAATTGTTGATAGAATTGTTTGGGCTGTGATATCGAAGGAGGACTATGCTTCGCAGAGTGCGAATCCTTACGAGCCACCTTGAGGTCTTGCAATGACGGGCGCGAACCTCAAAAGTGCCTGAGCCCGCTCATGAAAATCGAGGAAGCTGAACCTCCAAGTGCAGGCGATGCGTCCGAACGCCCTCCTCGCCGAGCGAAAGCTGGATACCTGCAGAACCAGCTAACCACGCACCTAACAGCTGAAAACCAAGTTCCGTTCAAGGGTCCCTCGGAGCCTGCACGTATTTGACCACGCCGAAGAGTCACGCCGGATGAAACCGACCGGGCAGTGTTTGGAAAGGCCCACATGCGAACAACGAAACGGCACGTGCGAGGGCGCATGACCGCCTAACCCTCGCCAATCGTAATCGGCTCTCAGCCCCACTCCCGAAACCCACAAACTGTTGCTCGAGAAATTCTGACGGCGAACTTCCCCTCAACGGAAATCCCAAACCCATCGATAACCTCGACTACTAACCATCTACAGCATCAATCAGTCAAGATGTGAGTGCCCCGAGCATCTCCCCGTCGATAAAGCATCAAAAGAGGATTTTTTTGCGATGGATTTGCGGTTGGCCCAGTGCAAGAGATTCGAACCCGACATACAATGACAAAACATCCATGACGACTTGAACAATCGACACCATCGAACACTCCAGCATCGAATCTCGAGTTCTCTTGAATGCTGACTTCTTTTGCCCGGTTGTAGGGTTAACCTGAGGACCCAGAAGCGGCTGGCGTCGTCCGTGCTGGGCTGCGGCCAGCGCAAGATCTGGCTCGACCCCAATGAGGTGTCCGAGATCTCCAACGCCAACTCCCGCCAGACGATCCGCAAGCTCGTTGCCGATGGCCTCATCATTAAGAAGCCCGTCACCATGCACTCGCGCTCGCGCGCCCGCGAGTTGAACCTCGCCCGCCGGATCGGCCGCCACCGCGGCTTCGGTAAGCGCAAGGGTACCGCCGATGCCCGTATGCCCGAGTATGTGCCACCACCACCACCACCATCACCATCACCCACACCGCCCCGAGTTTGGATGCCGAATATACAACGAGTCCATTGCTTGGGTGGTTCATAGTGGATCGGGAAAGCCGGGGGATTGCGGCGTACTGACACCGGATACAGACAGGTTCTGTGGATGCGCCGCCAGCGGGTCCTCCGCCGCCTGCTCGTCAAGTACCGCGCCAGCGGCAAGATCGACAAGCACCTCTACCACGAGCTGTACCACCTCGCCAAGGGTAACACTTTTAAGCACAAGCGGGCGCTCGTTGAGCACGTATGTCATTAAAGAGACGTCTGGGCTGGTTGGCGTGTGTCATGGGCGCTGACAACCCGTTCTGCAGATCCACCGTGCCAAGGCTGAGAAGGCGCGCGAGAGGCAGATCAAGGAGGAGATGGACGCCAAGCGGGCGCGGACCAAGGCTGCTCGCGAGCGCAAGCTGGAGAGGCAGACGGCGAAGCGGAACGCGATGCTGGGCGAGCTCGAGGAGGAATCCAAGTAGACTGTTTTCATCTCAGGGACGATGTGAAATATGGACCAACATGGATTTTTCTCGGCGGCCTTGCATTCGGAGTAATGGGTTGGGCTTCTTTCTGGGCAACGCTTTCTCTATCACACATCTCGGCTCCTGCACACATCGTGGTCTGGCCGTTTCTGGCCGAGTGCTCTCTCTTTTGAGTGAAGCGGCGCCGTCTCTAGATTTGGGACGTTCTGGCTTGCATGTATGGCATTGAAAATGGAATCATGGGTTTGCCGGGTCTGATGAAATATGCATTGATTCATGCCTGGCGCTGGTAATTTTGTGATTCGCTGGAGGCCGAGTGGGAGGAATGGAGAGTTGGCAGGGAGTAGCAGCTGTGCAATCACAGTGTTACAGCATGGCGAAAAACACTCCCTTCATTTCCCACTGCTATCGAAGTCCTCGGATAAGAGCTATGATTAATCAAGAGGAAGGGAAACCAAAAGGACAAAACGGAAGAACCAGCTTCGTCGCCGTGCATCAACACAGAATTGGGTCAGAGGCTTCAAATTGTCCCTCGAGAGTGGTGAGGTTGTGCCAGGACATGTCAGCATGTCCCCCGGCCGGGTCCTCGTTAGGAGACGGGCGGAGGACCCTGCATTCTGCCGTTTGGAAGCGTGCTCATCACCCCCAATTTAGTTGATTGCAGAAGGAAAGAGGAAAAACAAGAACGACCGCGAGAAATTTTGGTGCTGATATGGCTTGGCGGGATTGTGGCCGGTGGTCCGTGTTCCTGCTCAAGTTGTGGAAGTGGGACCCGGCCAGCCCCGCTTATTGCTGACTTTTACCCCACACTGGAGGTCCCGAGCGACGCTGGACGTCTCTTGGTTGTGACGCCAGCGGCCCAGAGAGCTCCAATCACCTTGTTTTTCGGCATCCCATCGACTTGAGGAATCGAAACGATACCCTCAAAACTTGGATTGCGGTTGTCGAGAGGACCGGGCCGCGGAGCAATTGTAGCCAATTAATTGGGTGCGTTTCTTCCCTTCGTTCAGGTATCTTCGCCTGCGTCGCCGTAGTTGCTACTCCGTCGGTATCCGAGAGCTGACCACCGATTCATTATTACTTCTCGCCTGCAGCCATACGTACCAGACTTGGGTAACCCGCCATGTCTGCCTTGGGCTCGGTCTCTTCGCTGCGGAGCATCGCCGGCGTGCGGGCGTGTGCGTCCTTCTGCTCCCGCGCTGTCCCGGCTTCAACGGCAGCGGCACAACAGCAATGGCGGTTTCGGCAGGGTGGTGGCGCGAGGAGGTCGGCCGCGTCCCTGTCAGTTAGCAGCGATGCGCAGCAAAAGGTAAGTTTTCCTTCTGCTCTCGGAGACTCGGAATGGAGAAAAATAAGCAGGGACATGGCAATTGATGCTGATGTGTGTGCCGACAGATACTTGCTTCTCCCCTCCAGCAGGCCGATCCGATCATGTACGACATCATCGAGAAGGTTGATTGTGTCCACCTGTAGTCTGCCAGGAGCGTAGACAGAGCTGACGGGTGTGGGTCGAATAGGAGAAAATCAGGCAAAAGCAGTTCATCAACCTGATTCCGTCCGAAAACTTTACGTCACAGGCCGTGTTGGATGCTCTGGGGAGTCCTATGCAGAGTGCGTACTTGGCGCAAGGCACTCGGGCTGGTTGGAGCCGGACTGATTGTTGCAGATAAATATTCCGAGGGCTATCCAGGCGCGAGGTACTACGGCGGCAACGAGTTTATCGATGCGGCCGAGAGGCTGTGTCAGCAGCGGGCGTTGGAGACGTTCGGGTTGGATGCGAGGGAGTGGGGTGTCAACGTGCAGGGTAAGTCTTTTTCGGACAGCACTGCTTCTCGAGGACCGCCTGACTGACACTCGAAGCCCTCTCCGGTGCTCCCGCGAATCTTTATGTTTACTCAGCTCTTTTGGAAACACACGACCGCATGATGGGGCTCGACCTGCCGCACGGAGGGCACCTGTCCCATGGGTACCAAACGCCGACGAAGAAAATTTCGTTCATCTCCAAGTACTTTGAGACGGTCCCGTACCGCCTCGACGAGTCGACGGGCCTCATCGACTACGACAAGCTCGAGGAGATGGCCGGCATCTACCGTCCCAAACTCATCGTTGCCGGCGCCTCCGCGTACAGCAGACTCATTGACTACGCCCGCATGCGCGATATCTGCGATAAGATAAACGCCTATCTGCTCGTCGACATGGCGCATATCTCAGGTCTGGTCGCGGCCAAGGTACTCCCGGGGCCCTTCTCGTACGCCGACATCGTCACCACAACAAGCCACAAGTCCCTTCGCGGGCCTCGCGGTGCCCTCATTTTCTACCGCCGCGGAGTCCGCCGCACACACCCCAAGACGGGCGCCGAAGAGATGTACAACCTCGAGAACCCCATTAACTCGTCCGTCTTCCCCGGCCACCAAGGCGGGCCGCACAACCACACCATCGCCGCCCTGGCAGTCGCCCTCAAGCAGGCCCAAACCCCTGAATTCCGCACCTACCAGTCCCAGGTCCTCTCCAACGCCAAGGCCCTGGCGCGCCGGCTCGGCGAGCCCAAGGAGAAAGGCGGACTCGGCTACAGCCTGGTCAGCGGCGGCACCGACAACCACCTTGTCCTGGTCGACTTGAAGCCGCAGGGCATAGACGGCGGCCGCGTGGAGCGCGTCTTGGAGCTCGTCGGCGTCGCGGCCAACAAGAACACGGTCCCCGGCGACAAGTCGGCACTCATGCCCGGCGGTCTGCGCATGGGCACGCCCGCCATGACGACGCGCGGGTTCGGCGAGGATGATTTTGAGCGTGTTGCGGATATTGTGGATCGTGCCGTCACTATTGCTGTGCGCGTCGACAAGGCGGCGCGTAAAGCTGCTGAGGAGAAGGGCGAGGCTAAGACGGCGGGGCGGTTGAAGACCTTCTTGGAGTACCTTGGGAATGGCGAGACGGATACCGAGATTGTGCAGCTGCGGAGCGAGGTGGCGGACTGGGTGGGCACGTATCCCTTGCCGTGGGATGCGAAGGCGTAGAACAAGTCTAGAGAAGGGGTGTGGGAGATGCTATGGATAACGGGAAATGATGCCATGTAAACTGTTCATGTAGCTTTGGCTTTTCATCTCGAGGCGTTTCGCCGGGCGAGCGGGTTTAACAGTCACTTGCCCTGCTTTTTTCACTCTGGTTTTGGTCGGATGGGAGTAAACAGTTACTATATAGCATGTTCAACCTGATGTGTGGCACGTCGCATGGTCTAAACAGCAGCCGGATGTGACAAGGGTGCTATTGCTGTTGCTTCAAGAACCAGTTCTACTTCTCGAGTTTACTGTAATTATTCTTCATCTGGGCAGCAAGTGGTCAGTGCCTCCACTAAGTTTGTCAGTTACAAGGGACTTCGACTTCTCAATCTCCACGAAATCCATTAGGAATTGTTTCCCTTATTGATATCGAATCTTAACCCTCGCCAAAAGCAGTATTCCAAGTATTAGCTCTTCCAATACCCTACGGTACATGTACTCATTCCGCTGAACTTGGAACTTCATGTACGAAATCGAGGTAACTTTGTTTGGACGAGGTCACTGGACACGAACTTCCAGTCCTCTGTATCGCGAGTCACACTCTATTCCGCCACGACCTCCTGTCCATCAGAAGAGAGAACCACTCTTCCCACGAGATAGTCGAAACCATTTAGTCCACTGGCTGCCTAGGTTGATTTGGGGGTTACAAGGTCTCCATGGCCGTTTATTCTTGCCATTTGGGAACGGAGACTCTGGTTAAAGCACCCGCCTAAAGACGACGCCTGTCATAATTCTTTCTTTTCCGTGCTATCCAATTAGTCAAATGTCATGGTGGTTTCCTGCCTCTCTGTATAAGTACTACATTATCCAGATCGCAGTTACGGTTCAACATCATGTCCTGTGCTGCTTTGCGGTGGCTGCAACTCGCAGCCTGAAGTCATAGCGGTTTGATGACCATCTGCTTTTTATGCCAGCGAATAGCTGTGTGCGCTCGATGATTTGCCGGTACATATATGTCTACCAACTCTGCCCTGGCAATTGACCACTCTGTCGATGGAGTTGGCCTAAACTCGCGTCAGGTCATGGACTCCTCTGCAGCTAATCCTCCAAGCATTGCAACAAGGCAACGATTTTGGGGGGTCCTCACATTATCATTATGCTGCGCTCCGTGTATTAACTTGGAGCACCTCGTCACCTTTCCTGTTGCGACTGCAATTCAGACCCAGTGGTCATGTCGAACTCATGATACGCGTTGTGTATCTGATTTTCTACCAATGAGTATCTCTATACACTAAGATTCAAGCACATATTCGAATCCAGAACTTTTCGCTACCTGTAGCTTGCGTGATGTGCCAAGAAATCATCCAGTACCGGTGTCCAAAACTTCAAAGCATCCTCATCCCGCCCTGACCTGCCCCAGCGCTTTAGCAACCGAGCTCCTCTCCTTGAACGTAGCATAATATCGCCTTAAATTCTTCCCCAGCAGCTGGTCGCCACACCCTCTCACCATGTCGTGCAGAACCGGCCAGAGTGCAAAGTCAGCCGGCGAAGGCTGGCTGCCCCCAGCGATGTAGAAGCTGCTTCCCATCTCAACGACTGTTGTCCTGTCGCCCGAGGTAGCAGCAGGAGAAGAAGCCTCCTCTGCCCAGGCCTCCCAATCCGCCAACTCCTTCTTCAGGAGTTTCTTCACAGTTCCGACCTCCTCCTCACTCGCCCGTTCTCCTGCCCCAGCCTTGATACCCGCCTCCTCCACCGCACACTTCCACTTCCCCCAAAGATCCAATCCCCTCTGAAACCGTACAAACCTTCTCGCCACCTCCCCGGGCAGCATCTGATCGTACCTCCTCCCGGCGCCATACACGGCATCAAGGTACCTCAATACGGACGCCCACCCCTCTACGACCGCCCGACCGGGATCGTTATCCTCAAACCTCACCTCCAACCCCTCCACACTCCCCTTAGCACAGCCGACGCCCATTTCAGCCAGGGCGAGCGCAACGCAGACATTACCCACGCCGTCCCCACCATCACCGCCAAACCCCGAAAACGAAGAGGTGAAAAATACCCTCTTCGGCACACCCATATGCAACACATCAAACCCCTCGCCATACCATTCCCCCCACTCAAACCCCTCCCCACCCCTATTACTATTCTCAGCCCCAAAAGCCCTCAACAACCGCACCGCCTCCTCCGTCTGCCCGTTGACCACCTCCCGCGCGCCCTCCCTCGTCTTGGACGTCGCCCCCTGACCCCAGATGCGCGACTGGGACGCGTCGATGAAGGTGCCGATCTGCCGGAACGTCAGGCTGATGCGCGCTCCGGCGTGGGAGAGCTCGCGGGCGGTCTTGTCGCGGTCGGCGCGCTTGTCGGGGCGGATCGAGTGCAGCCAGCGGGCGTTTGTGGACAGGCCCATGCGGAGGAGGGAGTTGTGGGGCAGAGGGGCGCGCTGGGTTTGGCGTTTGGGTTCGGGGTAGGTGTCGGTGTCGTTGGGGTGGGGAGGGGTGGTGCTGGTGGGTTGACTCTCGTCGGTGATGGTGAGGCGGGGTTCGGGTTTGGATGGGGAAGACTTGGTGGTGGTGGTCTTGTCCTTGGGCGGTCGCTTGGTGCGAAAGATCATGCTGCGCTCGGCGCCCAGGCTGACGTTGGCGATGAAGCTGCCTCTGACTATGTCGAGCGTCTTGTCGCTGTGCTCGCTGATGTAGTCGTTGCCGCTGCGGTAGTGTTGGATCAGGACGTGGTTGAGGGGGTGGCCAAGGTGGTTCTCAACCTCCTTCTTGATCTGCAGCACGGTGGGAGAAAATGGTAGCAGCGGGGGCGACTCGTCCGCTGGGTGCCTGTAGATGGGCATGCTGCCATCCTCGGCAACCTCGCCCTGCACGGCGATGCGGCGTGGCACCTCACCGCCCATGTGCGACATGCCGGCCCAGCTGACTTCCTCAAGCAGACGCTCAAAGGCGTCGGCGGCGAGAGCTGGAGGCAACACATTGGTAATGACGGAGGTGTCGCCCTCGCACAGTGGCTCTGAGACGACGGCAGGTTGATGGTCAGTCATGGTGTGTGGTGAGTCCGATTCAATCTTCAGAGCTGGCGCGGTTACTTTCAGGGGAGAGTTGATTTCCGGTTCTGTTGCGTCTGCTGGAAGCCTTGACTGGGTTGCGATGGTTTGCGATGAGGATAGAACTGACGGCTTCTCGTCTGGATTTGAGACTGGATCTCGACCTTGTGCGACCCGACTCATGACACTGAGCTTCTCAGCTTTAGCGCTGCCTGCCCCGGGGAGCGGTAGGATCGGACCTTTTGAGCTCTCCAATTCGCCCTTGGCAGTCGGAGGCTGCGCACTTCCCTCCCCTTCTTCAGGCTTCTCTTCTCGGCTATACGTTGACTCACTGTCCAACGATGACGAGTCAGAGTCAACTTCCAAAGGAGGGGTGTCGTTCGCAAGGCGTTTCGTGTCCAATTTTGGACTGGACTGGTTGTTCGAGGCTATATGACGCAGTGTTGGTGTTCGCTTCTGATCAACCCAACCCGGCTGCGGCGACGTAGGCTCCGGGGTGATGGGTCGGGAGGTGATGGGTCGGGGTCCCGCTGCGGGGGAGGCATCCGGGGGTCCACCGCCGAGGTTCAGGCAGATCTTGGAGATGGACGGGGAGAGACCAGTTGACTGGCTCGGCGGGGCCGAAGGCTGCAACTGGTCGAGCAGGTTTTCGGAGCTCAGCACCTCGCAGCCAGTCAAGTGTTCGAGTTGTTTCACGGCATTGAGATGGCGCATCGTGCCCCGAAAGCCGCAGCAGTCCTCGACGAGAGTCACGTCGTATCCGTGCTGTCCTGCACCCAGCGCCGTCGCGTAAATGCTGATGTTGGTCAGCGCTCCGCAGACGTACATCTGGGTCACAAACCGACCCCGGAGCAGTTGCACCAGCTGCTGCTGCCCCGAGGCGAAGGCACTGTAATGGGTCTTGGTGAAGACAATGTCGCGGCCTGCGACCACGGCCGCCTTCACCCGCGGAGCGAATTCGGCACCCGAGGTGTCTCTACGAACACAAGACTTCTTGTTCTTGTTCGCGCCGACGCTGAGGAAGGCCTCCTCATCATCCTCCATAACGGCGCTCTCGTGCATGGTCGAAGACGGCTGACGCCCTCGCGGCGGCGTCTTTTTCGCACGCAGAATCGTGTCCGCCGTGACGATTTGATCACCATCTTGGAGAAGAGAGCAATGGCGTTCAAACTCGCTGCGTATCCACACCACGTCGCCAGCGCCCGTGTCCCGGAAAACCCTGGCCAGGTCCAGAATACGGTCGACGTAGCCTTCGGGTTCCTCTGTGTATAGAGCGCCATCCGGAGACACGAAGTCGTTTTGCAAATCCAGAATCAACAACGCCTTCCGGGTTTGCACCAGTGGAATTGCCGCGGGGTTGATGGGAAACGGAGTAGGCATGTTGGGCTGAGAATGTCCCGGGTGCTGCTGGCGGTATCTGACCGCGGTTGGACAGGTACTGTACAATGCGGTACATTCACAGATCGGCGACAAGTGATGCCTCAGTTGGCGACAGTAGCGCTGTTGTTCTTCTTGCGCCGGTTGGCCCAGCCCCGAATCCAGTATGTACGCGTGGCTGCCGGGAGAAACATGTAGAGGAGGATTGGTTTGCCCCAGGGCCGGTGAGCAGACTGTTGATGACCCCTTGTTGGATGGAAGCCGAGGGTTATTTAAGTAACTCGCATGCACCCCTTCGCTCCGGAACCAGGGCCGGAACAGGGGTCGCATGCGGGAAACGGGAGATGGTGGGGTAGAAGCCACATTGTTACAGTACCCTCCCGGTCCATCGAAATCCAGCCCTGAGAAGGTCCCTGACGTGAACTGGCAATCTCGAGATATAGCCAAATGTGGCCGTGTCTCTCAAACCTCCAATGTGAGCAGGTGGAACCTGACTTAGCGAAGAGACCTCGCTGTGGGCCATTACCTTACTAACAACCATCTCAGAAGCGGCGACCCATCTGTCCATATCGAGTCTGTTACATACCCTGCGTTCCTTTGCGCTGCTGAGAACGGGGTCCAACTCGGTGAGTCGCATCGAGTTCAGACCGCCCGCTTCCAGCCGCCGATTGGAAATCCGTCTGGCCTGGCGCCTCTTTATCCCATCGCTTCACTTGCTCGTCGGTCTCGTTTGTTGGGCCCCTTGACCCCCAATTGACGATGCGGGAACACACCGTACCTTCGGCATGTCTCAGCGACGGCACTGAGGAGAGTCCTCGCTGTGGGAATCTCGGGAGGTATCACGGCAGACTGCAGCAGCTTGCCTGTGCACCGAAGGCAGTCAGCCACGGCCTATTTTCCGTCGAATTATTCCGTGTTAGGAGGGTCTCAGTGCTGGTTGGTGTGATGTAGAGGGTTGAGTGTTCGCAGGTGTGCGGCACAGCGCAGAAACTATCGATAATACGGATGTACCTTTGAAGAATACGCCGATGTACTCAATGTGCCGTGTCCTGGACGTTGCATCTTGAAGACTCGGCCAGAAGCCCTCGCCAAAATCGGGTAGTACCTCATAGTACAAGAGGATTGCAGGGAAAAAGATGTGGATCCAGCGATCAAGAGCCACTTTTCCGGTCTGCAGCCAAACAAAGCAAAGAACAAAGTCCATCAAGTGTTTCACGATGCTTTTCATATCTAGGTCTCTGAATTCAGAGTATGGCCCTGCGATTTGGGCATTGTTGCATCCATATGAGAACTGAAGCACAATGTACTGGCCTAAGCCATGTGAGAAGCCAGCCTTAGCACATGTCTGAGATCCTCAACTCACCAATGATAGGTCGCTAGAGGTGGCTCCTTCCCTTGAACTGACCCCCCTTCAATGGCATCACCTGAACCGTGGGCAACAAAGGCGTGTCACTGTGGTGATAATGGATTCGTCATAAAGACGCCCTGAAGGTATATTGGAAGGTGCACTTTGAGACTCCCTCCTCAGACGAATACCGCATCCTCCACGTCTTGATTCCCGAAGGATCAACCTACTCCGTATATCAACCACCCGCATTGGATGGATCCCTTTGAATCTCTCCTCCGACGTCCGTTTCATCGTCTTTCAAGCAAAGCTTTGAATGCCCCGTTCCGCAGAGAAGAGCGACACTGCGCGGATTGAACTTGAAGTGGATGGGATTCCGCATTAATTCTGCTAGGTGAAGGACCCGGCCAACCGTTGAGGGACGGATTGGGTCAACTGCTTCCAGAAATTCTCGGAATTTCGGAACAGGGGAGCATCTGCACGAGGGACGGGAACCACAGGAGCCACTTCGCGGTTGGCCATCCCACTTGTCGAAGCGAGGAGTTTAGCACCCGTTATCATGCGGCTCGCCTCTGCTCGTGCATCGTCAGGTGCAACCAATCGCCCGCAGAAGAGCACCTCCTAGACGGAAATAAAACTGGCAGAAATCAGTCCATCTTACCGCACATCAGCGGGTGAAGCTGCAGGGTTTTGACAAGGGATGGTCTGCCTAACGGCGTACTCAACGTCAGCGCATGCAGCGCAGGGAGGGCCCGTCGAACACATGTACCATCTTTCCACCTTTCTTTCAACCAACTCGTCAGACACTAGCAAGGGTAAACCCCTGCCTGATTGGCTTTCTCATCGCTTCCCGCTCAGCGGGCGTGCCTCAGCCTATCGACCCCCCTCTAGAGTCTGACGGGTTGGTTGGAAAAAAAGACGGTATATCCGGAGCGATTAAGGAGGCTCACATGACGCCCAGACGCGGCAAATCATTGCAGTGCCCAGGTCAAAGTCCGCTTGGTTCACCTTCGCGACGCATACGCTGTAGTACAAGCGGGGTAAGCAATTCGGATCACACGAATTGAACTCGTACCGTCGGCAGCACAACAGGCTTGTCCACAAGTCCCCTTGACCTACTCCACAGGCGCAGGATGCAGACGGCTGAGTCGTCCTCAGCCGTCCGCGCAACGGGCATGCGGTTGAACCTCTCCCCCCCGCTCGAAGGCCTCTCCAATGCTGCAACCAAGACAGCAGTCGAATCATCCCCAGCCAGCACTGTAGCCACCCCACAGCCCATCCGTCTCCATAGGTGGCCAGATACGGCCGGCCTTCCAAACTCAGCGTGGAACCCAACCGTCCTAACCTAGGGATGCACATCCGGGATCCGCATCATCCCGCGCCAGCCCATCAACTCCTCCAACGCCTCCACCACCTCCTCGAAATCCGGCCGCGCCTGCAAATCGGGCAGGACACACCTCTCCTGCACTTCCCACATACCCCTCCGTACCTCCCCTTGTTGTGCCTCATCACCAGCAGCATCAATGCGAACCCGTGACAGCACCCGCTCCATCACCCTCCCAAAAGCGAGCACCTCCACCTTCTCCACCGCCTTGCCATATCCAAGGGCGCCGCTGCCGTGTCCGTACACAGTCGCCGCGCGGAAGGAATCAAGATCCAACACCGCGTGAGCGTCGGCGGCGCTGGCGCGGATGTTGTGCGCGAACAGTCCGCCGTGGGCGATGCCGCGGCCGTGAAGGTGGGCGAGGCAGCCTGCGAGACCGGTTAGGATGCCCAGGGCGGTTTTCACATCTAGAGGTGTTTGAGTGGGTTCCTCTGCATCTTGTTGTTGTTGTTGTTGGGGTGACTGCAAGACGTCGTCGTGGGATGGTGGTTGGCAGGCCAGAGGGGCGTAGAGATCCGGGAGCAATTGGGTTACGATGCCGCCTTGGTATGCCGTCCCTTCTTCATCAAGCGTGGTCTCTTCGTCGGGGTGGTTGTGGATGCGGCCCAGGATGGTGATCAGGCTCTCGTGTGCCCCCGTGGCGAGACACGCCGCCATCTCGTCGGCGGGGGTGCCCTCGTCGCTGGTGAGCGGGCCGCGGAAGAGCTTGATGGCCACGTCCTCGGCGTAATGCGGTGACTGACGCCATAGCCCTTGGAAGGTGTTTGAGCCGAGCGGCTGCTGTACTTCGAGGTCGGACCAGGCGATGCTTGCTACGCCCCGTGGGGTGTGCACTCCGTTGGTGATGGGCGACGCGCACGGGTTGTTGGCGAAGGAGAGAAAGGCCAGCTCTGGTAGAGTGAAAAGCCAAGAGGGCAGGGTTGAGAGTTTGTTGGAGCTGAGCCGGAGGACGGCGAGTTGCTTGCACCGAGCTATCTCAACGGGAAGGCAGTCGAGCTGGTTGCCGGCGAGCATGCACTGTTCCAGTCGCTCACAATCACCGATGGTGGAGGGTAGCGAGGTGAGACGGTTATCGGTGAGGATTAAACAACGAAGGCGTGGCGGCAGGGCATTTTCAGGGATCTCGTCCATGCCATTGCTGCGGATGGCAACCGTCTCGAGGCTGGCGCATGATGCTAGGGCTTTGGGGAAGACTTTGAAGTTGCACTTGGAGAATAAGGCAGTCTTCAGCTTTGGCAAAGCCGGGCCGAAGTGTGCAGGTAGTGAGAATAGACCGGTGCCAGAAAGATCAAGGTGCTCAAGCGTGTCCCCAAGTTCCAGGATTTCCTCGGGCAACGAGGTCAATGGACATGTCAGCTTCAGTTGAGTGAGCCCAGCGGCCGTGTAACCGCCGCTTTTGAGAATGTCGAGGTCGTGCATTTGCCAGAGAGTGTTGGGCGATTCTGTAGAGAAGAGACTGTTTGATCGAGGCTAGAACCTGGAAGAAACCATCGAAGCTGAAATGGATTTCGAGGTCTTCAGACGACTCCACATACCATACCACTTACACGACGCGCAGTGTCTTATTGCCTTATGGAGCAATCAATCCAAACGAATTCCAATTGTTGTCAACTTGAACCATTCGATGCCTTTGTACCTTACTACTGTACAATCACCACGGACCGCCGAACGAGGTTTTTGAGCAGCACAGCTGGAGCGAAAGCCGTTGAATGAGACCTGCGGGGCGCCCGAGTGGCAGACGGCAGCGCCAAGCCACCAGGTCGGGGCATGGCTCGTGCACCCGTGCACCTCGACGCTGCCTTCACGAACTTACATGTTTAACATCCATCAGGACCAGCTTTGCTGAGCTCGCTTTGTCCGTCGTCCCCCACCACATCGCAGCTTCAGAACGGACGTCTCAATAGTAAGATCATCGAGTCTGTCCGCTGCTCCAGAATCATCGGCAACAATGTCGGCCGATTCACGAAAGCGACCGGCCGAGGTCAGCGAAAATGGCTCCGTTTCCAAACGACAGCGCCTTCAGTCGCCGTACACCATACTCTCGGTGGGACAAACAGGGTTTTCTCCGTACTCCTCAGTTGCGGCGACGGTCGATGAGCTTGGGAAAAAGGGTTTGCGGCGTGGCATTGCCCTCGCCCTGCAGAAGGTCGGCTTTGGAAGCGCCGAACCTGAGGCCATGGAGAGCTTCACCCTGATGGCAGAGACCTGTACGCAGCCCCGGATCCTCCCGCTACTGGAACTTGGCTCACCGACTTTACAGACTTGACCTCCCTCGCCGAAGATGTCAGGACGTTCATGAACACGGCCCGGCGACCTTACCCGATCCCCAGCGACTTTGACCTGGCGCTCAGCCGCTTCAACTTGACCAAGTCATCACTCGAGCCTCACATAAAACCTCCCATTCGCAAATCGAAACGGCGACCCGCTTGGGAGCCCCTCACAATCAACGACCCGCTCGACGGCGACCTCCCCATCCTCGGCAACGAGTTGGACGGTGCGCCCGAGAAGGCAGCAAAGCAGTACATACCCGGCTCCTTCCCCGCCTTCCCAAGCATACACACATTCAAACACACGCCGGAGGACGTCGCCGCCGTTACCGTGTCGGAGGACTGGGGCGCTTTCAACCCGGACGCCGCCTCGCAGACGCTGGACGGATCGCAGACGCAACCGCAACCAGTACCGCAGCGGCCGCTCCCGCTGGACGAGATCCCGCACGGCGACCCTAAGAAGGTCCGCGAGGCGGCGGCGAAGGAGGCCAAGGCGGGAGAGGGGGCGCTGAGGCGGCTGATGCGCGCGTCCAAGATTGCCAAGCAGAAGGAGGTGTGGTCCGCCGCGCAGCGGCAGCCCGTGCGGCGCGAGCGCTACAACCTGTGGGAGGCGGCCATGCGCGAGTTGATTGAGGACGAGACCAGGTTCCGGGGGAAGGAGTTGGCGTCGTCGGCCCTGCATGGCGACAAGGGCCGGTTTGAGATTGCCGATCATAGCATGATCGTGAACTGGGAGAAGAGGTGCTGTCGCCAGGACCTTCCGCGCACGGGCGTCAGGAAGGCTACTTCAGGGCATGGCGGTTGAGAGGAGGGCTGAGGAGTGCGAACGGTCTGTGTTAAGGGTTATGGATGGACTTGGGCAATAAAGAGTGCTGCCTGCATTGTATGGTGTTCGGAGTTGGGACAGCGCATTAACAGACCGAAGATACCCTGGATTGTTCCAGCGATGGACAGTCATAAGCAAACACATTTTCTTAGCGTAGTTTCTTCTGCGTGAAGTCTGACTTCATGAACGTAATGTGATCTCACATACAAAGCTGTGCTACCGCTGCTTCTGGTTTCCTTGGGATGTTGCTGCGCTTAAACGTTTTCAGGCTCGCCAGGTTAACGTTATCTTATCGGTCGCCCCACCTTCTGACACTTTGGGCTTGGCGGCCTTGGGCCGTGGCTTGCTCTGCCAACTGCCACAGCTGCCACCGCCTTCCGAGCCGACCCCACGATCGGACCCTATTTCCGCCGCACAAAAATTTCGGAATTGCAGAGCTAGTACAGCGCCCGATTTCTGTTGACCCCGACGAAACGAGGCATCGCAACGAGCTCACCATTCTTCCACCGATCTTCGAATCCCAGGAAGGACCGCAAGATGGCTGAGCAACTCATCCTCAAAGGCACCTTGGAGGGCCACGTAAGTCGTCCCTGTCGCTGTCAACTCCTGCGACTGCCGCCTCGAACACAACCGATTCGGGCTTGCTGCGCCCATGCAGCTTTGAGACTCTGGGCTGGAGCTGACGATATGCTTCACAGAATGGCTGGGTCACCAGCTTGGCTACGTCAATGGAGAAGTACAAGAAAACCGATTGAATTGCGTCGTCGCCGAGGACTTGCGCTCACCATGGAAACAGCCCCAACATGCTCCTCTCCGCCAGCCGAGACAAGACCCTGATCATCTGGAACCTCACCCGCGATGAGACCCAGTACGGCTACCCCAAACGGTCGCTGCACGGCCACTCCCACATCGTCTCCGACTGCGTACGTGTTACCGACCGATAGTTGGGAAGCGCATGGGGGGAACTGAGGTGTGCTGATTGGCGCGGCAGGTGATCTCGTCGGACGGTGCTTATGCCCTTTCCGCTTCCTGGGACAAGACTCTCCGCTTGTGGGAGCTCGCCACCGGCACCACCACCCGCCGGTTCGTCGGCCACACCAACGACGTTCTCTCGGTCTCTTTCTCGGCCGACAACCGCCAGATCGTCTCGGGCTCGCGCGACCGGACCATCAAGCTCTGGAACACCCTGGGTGATTGCAAGTTCACCATCACCGACAAGGGCCACACCGAGTGGGTTTCGTGCGTGCGCTTCTCGCCCAACCCCCAGAACCCCGTGATCGTCTCGTCCGGCTGGGACAAGCTGGTCAAGGTATGTGGACTTCACCATCTTGCCCTTCTCGCAATGATGCTTTGCAACACCAAAGTATTTGCTACTTCAGAGCCTGTTTCGCCACAGGCCATGAGACCAACATTCACCGTGCACTGAGCGACCGACACCACCATTCACTTGATACTTTAAATTCAACTGCGCGTTGTGTTCATAGCTGACCCCTCCAGGTCTGGGAGCTTTCCAGCTGCAAGCTGCAGACCGACCACATCGGCCACACTGGCTACATCAACACCGTCACCATCTCCCCCGATGGCTCCCTCTGCGCTTCCGGCGGTAAGGACGGCACCACCATGCTGTGGGACCTTAACGAGAGCAAGCACCTGTACTCGCTCAATGCCAACGACGAGATCCATGCCCTCGTCTTCTCCCCCAATCGGTACTGGCTGTGCGCTGCCACCGCCAGCAGCATCATCATCTTCGATCTCGAGAAGAAGAGCAAGGTCGACGAGCTCAAGCCCGAGTTCCAGAACGTCGGCAAGAAGAGCCGCGAGCCCGAGTGCGTCTCGCTCGCGTGGAGCGCCGACGGCCAGACCCTCTTCGCTGGCTACACCGACAACATCATCCGCGCTTGGGGTGTCATGTCGAGGGCGTAGGACGCCAATGACTTGGACACAGCCGGCGGCGGTGGCGGCGACTGGTAAAGCTTGACTGGTGATCCGCCATGTTTCAGGCTGGGGTCGATCTTTTCAAGTCGCCGGTCGCCCGGGAATGATGGTTTGCAGGGAGGTTTGCATCGCTTCGCTGAGTGGGAGGCCTAGCGCGCGTGGTGCGCGCCGGGGCTCTTTCGACGGGATCCATGGTGGGGGCGTACTTCGGACTGCTTGTCTCGCTTTTGGTCGCTTTCATGCAAGGGAAATGAAAGACGGGGAGCTGGGAAAATGCATCATGTCATGGCAGCCCTTGCGGCGGATATGGTCCGTTGCTAGATGGCAGATGGATAATGCAACCCGATGAACCAAATGAGTAATGACCAAGTCGGTGGCGTGTTTTGCTCAGGTGCCTTCTCAAACCAAATGTGCGCCAATCAAATGATTCGGGACAATTCCAAACAAAACTAAGCAAAAGGGGAGCATGGTTAAAAACCCAGTTCAGTTGATTTTGACTCCAACCTCGTCCTGTTTTAGACTTCAGTCGCATTCTCATTTGCTGCCTGCAACAGTTTTCGTGATTTTCATTCTTTCAAAACCCTAGAATTCACACGATGCCGCCCGTCACAACCTGACAATGCCTCCCCAAGGTGCTCAACACCCCGACCAAGCACGTCAACCGCATAGAGAAGCTCGTGCTAGAGCATCTGGGCAGCGCGTCTAAGCGCGTCTAAGCTCGTCGACAGGCCACCCATGCAAGGCATGTACAGCAGGACACTGTCACGCTGGCCGACGGTCGAAAGATGGTGGTGCAGTTCCGCACCGAGCAGCTGGATCTCAACGCGTTCAAGGTCGCCAGTACGCCCTGGGCTACGTCGTTCCGGAAGCCACGGTTCTCCCTGACGAGGAGTTGAAGAGGGAGGGCGGGTGGGCTTACTCGTTCAATCGACTGTCAGGAAAGCGTGGTGCATGATGTGGCGGGACAAGGGGTTGACGGGAGAACTGCCGTCACCAAGTCTCTCGGTCAGGTCTTTTCCAAGGGCTGTCTTGCCGACAGCAGCAGCGACGCCGTCTCTACGAAGGTCCGACCTCACCTGGAAGAGGCGGTCGCGGCCTACCGTCCCTTGCTACCGAGTCTGCTTGACAAGGTGGACGATCTGAGCAAGCTTCCGCTTTGGGTTACGCACTACGACCTCAAAGATGTCAACGTTCTCATCGATGACTTCTGCAACGTCACAGGAGTGATTGACTGGGAGTTGTCTGCTCCGAAGCCATTTGGCTTGAGGTTTGGGGCGCATCCACATTCTCGTTGGGGAGTTCACTGGTGGAGATTTTCTGGATGCCCGAGGAGTTTGGGCTTGCCGAGCGAGCTTTCTGAAAGGAGCTGTTTGATCTAATGCCCGGAGGACTCGGGCAGCGTTGGAGGAGAACATAAACCTCGTCCAGGACGCCGTTGTTCTCGGCACGCTCTTAGATGCGTTCCTCTGGGAGGAGGGTAAAGTGGGCTGTGGGGAGATCACATTGAGGGCGCCGCCCAAGTTCCTCACCTACCGGATCCCGTTTGTGGAGGGGATGAGCCGCCATATAGGCAGTAGGAGTGGCGGATCGCGGGAGAAGGGTCACCTCCCTGTAGGAAACGGGACTTGAAAGATACAGGAACGCATTCCATAAGAGCCTGAAAGTCAACTGACGACTTTTAGCAACTCAACACAGACAACACAGATATATCCTAGCTCCAAACCATTGGGTATACGTGGTGTCCTTGGCGTATCGTGCCTATGCCTAATGCAATGCTTCGTCATCCCTCTGGCCCGTGTGTTTCGCTTGTGGCATACATCGCCGCCGTATAACCATAACAGACAACCCAATCATGTCCCACGATCTGACGAAGACTACGTATGATCATCAAATGCTCTGCGACTGCGTAGCAATGGTTTTCAAACTCTTTTACTCGCCTAGGTAGTTCTTGATGCTTTGACAATTCGTCAATGGTCTTCCTACCTCTGGCCCCTCATCGCACTATAGCCACTATCAACATCTCTATTTCGCTTCTTTCCTTCTTATGTTGTCCACTCCAGACCTTTCTGGTTATCTTATTGTTTTTTGTTCTCATACTTTGCTTCGTTGATCCTCCTTTCTTCTGCTTCTCATGTCTACGGCTGTTTCCGGTGGCGAACTTGAATGCCAGCAACAGGCAGCCTAAAGGCGGTTCACTGTCGTTTCGGCGTGGGACAATGGGAAAGGCGGGCTTGTGTAGCCGGGGGCTGCTGCCAGCGCTTGAGTGGTGGTTAGTTGTTATGTACCACCCTGAGCCTGTCCCAATCAGGAAAGCGACCACGGAGAGTCGGACTTTCGCCTCTTGGCACCGGAGCTCGCCTTACACGGTCGCCGGCCCTTCCCAGCTCAAAGCTCCAAGTGCGACTGGCTCGGGGTCGGCGCCACAGAGTCCGGTCTTATCCATTGTCACGGCGTTCGAGTCCGCCGGCAGACCAACATCTGGGCCTCTGTCCCGCTTCAGTTTGCCAGGTCCAATATCGCCGCAAACCTATGACTACCGAAAGCCGGCAGACGCATGCATATAATATGTTTCTCTCGGCCAGTTCCATATAGGTCAGCACCACCCCTCCATCGCTTTGCGACGCCATATACTGATACTCCCTTTCAACACGCCAACACGATCAAGCCTGTTCCTAGCCCAAGATTTGAAGATGTCCTCCAACACAAGATCTCAACCGGCAAGCACGCACCCCCAATTATCTTTTCGTTTTCTTTTCTTCGTCTCTTGTCTACTGTTCTCTTTTCTTTCCTTTCATCGCTCGCCCCCTCCTCCATTTCCATTGCATGTTATTCCTTATTTACCCGTGTATTCCTTTACCCTATTCTCCCTTGTATTTTATATCCCACCCGCCCCCCTCCCTTCTCTTTTTCCCAAGTCTTTAACACCATTTTCTCCTTTATTTTTCCCTCCCTCTTTCCCCCCTCTCTGTGGCTCTCATTTCCTCATTTTTTTTACTTTTTCTGCCTTTGCCTGAAATCCGCTAATACGCCGCAGACCCAGCTAATAGGTGGCATTCCGGCCACGAACCCGGACATCCCCGTCAGCGCAGTCCTATTATTCTTCTTCGTCGCCGCCATCGCCATCCACGTCCTCATTTTCTTCCGAAACAATCGCCCGCCTCGCAACCAGAAGTTCCCCCTGTCCCTTATCCTCGGCGTCTTCTGCTTCGTCCGCACCGTCGCGCTGAGCCTGCGCATCGCTTGGGCGTGCTCCCCAAACAACCGCGGCCTTATCGTGGCCGCCACCGCCCTCACGTCGGCGGGGGTGCTGATCCTGTTCGTCGTCAACTTCTTGTTGGTCGGCAGGGTCGTCAGGGCGCTGCACCCTGGTTTCGGCTGGTCGAAATATGGCCTCTTGGGGTTCCGGTTGCTCATGGGGACGCTGGCGGGCACGGTGATCATGGTCGTTGTCTGTTCGGTGCATTCGGCTCTCACCCCGGACGAGGCGGCGAAGCGCAAAGAGAGGACTGTGTTGCTTGTTGCGGGGGTGTATATCACTGTGCTGGCTCTGTTGCCGGCGTTGGTGGCTGCCGTGGCGAAGGTGTTGCCGAATCGGGGGCGGTATCCTGCTGAAAACTTTGGGACGGGATCGATGCGGGCCAAGCTGGCGTTGTTGGTGTTTACGTCAGTCTTGTTGGCGTTTGGGGCGGGGTTCAGGGTCGTGGTCAACTTCAAGGCGAAGCCGGTTGGCCAGGCGGAGTGGTATCATACCAGGGCAGTGTTTTACTGCATCAACTTTGTGATTGAGCTGATCGTGGTGTACACGTACGCCATCTCTCGGTTTGATCAGCGGTTTTATGTCCCTCGTGGAGTCTCGGCGCCGGAGGATCACTCGAGACGCACTAAGGGGTCTCAGGATGGGGAGGCTTTATGAGATGAACGATGCGACGGGTGCCTCTGGGGATAGGGCCTTAACAGGCAACTCGGGGGTTAGGAATCCAGTTGTGGACACGGGCGCGACCCATTCAGGGGCATGGTGTGTGTACATAGCAGGGGTTTTGCGATGGGCGTTTGTATGTGCTAGAGGAGCGAGCGTTGTGTGCGCTTCGATCAGATACCTGATATTCGTCAGACATGTAATTTATTACAGTAATAACCACGCAGTTCCAAACTTTGCCTGTTCACCTTATGCATGTCCCTCATGTATGTCCCTTCTGTTGTACTTCGGCAACTATCAAGTGACGAATCTTCGCGTCAGGCAAAGAACGAGACATGTATGCAGTAAACAGATTGATCAAGCGAACACGAAACTCACACGACAACCACTGTCGCCACCGCCTCCCTCTCGTCATTTCGCCTCACGGCAGCTCAACCCGGGAAGTGTCCCCGATCTCCGGCACCCTATTGTCATTTCCATCCATCTCTCGTAACTTGAGTCCGTACGACGGCCCCAGCCAGGCGGGCTCTTGGCTGTTGATGCTTGAGGATTCGAACGGCGGGGGCGTTTCGGCCCGTACCGTTGCCTGGCGACGGCGCTTACGGTGGTAGAAGAAGGTGAGAACTCTGCCTGAGAGCAGAATTGCAACGCCAACGGCGACTCCGACACCTATTGGGACTGCCCAGTTGGGTTTGCCGTCGCCTTGCGGTGCGCTAGATTGCGCGGTTATTGGAGAGGATGCGCCCGCCGTGCCTGGCTGCGGTGTTGTCGCGGCCGACGCGGTAGACGCCGCGTCTGGATGCGACGCAAAAAGCGGTGGTGTTGAGGTGCCTCTGGATGAGGAATCCGTTGCTGTTCCGGGGGCAGGTGAGCTCAGCGAGGATTGGGTGTAAGTGGGCGAAGTTTGTTGTGCTTGGGGTACAACGACTCTCGGTAGAACCTTTTGTTGTTGTCTCACTCCCCTCCGTTGAATTTGCCGCAGTAGACCGCAATTTCGGCCCTGTGTACGCGATGCCATACACATCAAGGTTACCTGGATCGGGAAGTCAGCACAACCAACCATACACCGGCCCAAGGTGGGATTCAATTGCATACCAGGCAACTCGAAACATCCAGAGCTGCAGTCCCAGAATCCGTCTTGTTCAAAACCACATCGATCCATCGGCTCGACACCATCGTCGTTATGCGAGGGGACGACACAAAACTGCGGGCAGGCCGGGTTTGACCAATCCTCCTTGCTAAAGGCAGGCCCCGCGATAGAAATAAGGTTCGCGGTCTTCAACAATGTGAGCAGAGCAGATTGTGTTGTTGTGACAATAGTCCTTGATGTCGCGGCACAAGCCGGTCGGCTCAAGCCTTGCATCCCAGCAAGGGATATTGAGTTGGTCGCTTCGCCATTAGGGAGGTAACACTGAGGCGCCGAAATCACGACGACGGAGAAGAGGAGAGGGAGCAGAAGGGAGTCGAAGGGAGCCGTAACGGATGGCATGATGTTGCGTGCAAGCTGCAGAAATGGTTGGAATGGAGGGACGAGTGCACCATAACAATGGGGGGGTAGGTTTCTGTCGCCGTGCAAATGATCTGAAGAAAAGGTTCACGACTTCTCCGTGTGCAGAAAGGATAGCAGAGATCGGAGATGGGATGAGAGAAGCCGGCCTTGCAACAGCTTCGAAGGTCGACACACACCCCCCAACCTTCTACCCTTGGAAGGACTGTCAAGTACAAACCAAGCAGGCCGCAAACAATAGCATGAGTGCTCCGCGACAGTCCCCTCCGTGCAACAACACTCTCCTGTGTGTTGCCCCGGGCCGCGCACCCTCGAGCCCATGACTGCCCATCATGATACACTCGCTGTCCATATGCAATATTGCAAAGCGTATAAATCGAACCTTGTCAGAGATATCGCTTCTGAAGACCAACTTTCGGATTGGCGCGCTGGCTAGGAGACACGTAGATGAATGCGGACCAGGAGATAGAAAACTAGAAGATCCTCTTGAGGACACCCATTGATAAGTGAGAGGACACGATGGGACGTGTCCCGAATGCAGTGAGAGAAAGTCAAGGCGAGATGAGGTAGGCTGCTCCGTCAAACGGTCAAACCTCGAGTAGTGGTTGAGTGCAGAGGGGGAGTCAGGGGAGAGCCAAGAAAGGTGCACAAAAGGAGCATGACATGTTGACCGGTGGTGCCAAATGCGGCTAGCGTCTGGGCGCGGAAGATGCCGGCTGAACTTTTCCAATTTCCCGACTTGAACGTCGGCAAGAAGAGCGCTGAGAAACCACACGTCAATGCCATCCCCATCATCGCCGCCATGAGCCTCAGTGTGCCGTCGAGGCGGCTGCTCCGGGGTGGTAAGCAATCAACTACCTCACCTGAATCCGTAGGCAAGACTGACTCTGCTTTCCCATTCCAGCTTCGGCGCTCGCAACCACCCCGACGACGACAACAACGACGACCTCCTCCCTCCTCCCAGCTCTCCAATCCCTCTCCCTTACCCCGTCCACTACTGCCCGCCCAATTCACACGACACCCTCAAACCAATGGTTCTGGAAACGCAACAAAACCAAAAACGATAACTCCCTGGAGGAGCAAATGCGTGGCACCAAAGACGCCCGCGAAGCCCTGGCCAAATCCGTATCCTCCCGCATCGAAGGCCCCGCCATCTTCGAAGACGAGATCAAAGAAACCGCGGGCCTCACCGGAACCACCGACAAGCAAACTGGCCTCCCCGTAACCCGGGCCGGCGCGTCCCTGGTGCGCGAGCACCTCGCGCGCGCGACCGACCCCGACCCGCGCAGCCGCGTGCGCTGGGAGCGCAAGATGCTGATCCGGCAGGTGCAGCGTGGGACGAACCCCTTCTCGCGCGAGCCGCGGGCCGAGCGGATCGCGCGCACCGAGCGCCAGCTGACGAGCCGCAGCCCCTGGTTGGCGACGAGCACTAAGAAGCTCGTGAAGCTGGCGCACCAGATCCAGGGCAAGACGGTCGAGGAGGCGCTGGTGCAGATGCGCTTCAGCAAGAAGAAAATGGCGCAGGAGGTGCGGTACCAGCTCGAGGTGGCGCGGGATCTGGCCATCGTCGAGCGCGGCATGGGACTCGGTGCCACGAAAAATAAGAAGACGGATGGGCAGACGAACGAGAGTGCTGCTGCTGCTGCTGGCAAGGCGGTCGAGATCAAGACCAAAGACGGCAAGTGGGTCAAGATTGACGACCCGACGCGCATGTACGTGGCCGAGGCCTGGGTGAACCGTGGGCCGTGGCGCGGCATTGTGCCTGATTACCGCGCCCGTGGACGCATGAACATTAAGCACAAGCCGACGACGAGTAAGTTCCTGTACCATGTCCGGTTCAAGCCAGGTCGTGCCCCTTTTCTGACAGCAACGGTTACCCAGGCATCTCGATCGTTCTCAAGGAGGAAAAGACAAGGCTTCGCGAGGCCGCCGAGCGCGAGGCCAAGAAGCTCCGCCAAGGCCCCTGGGTGCACCTCCCCGACCGCCCCGTTACCGCTCAGCGACAGTGGTACTCGTGGTAGACGCTCTGTCCGCTGCGGGGTGTATATGCACAGCCTATCCTCGACAGACGCGAACGGCCGTTTCCGAGGTTCAGCCCCACCTTGGCCAGCCCAATGAGTTGTATCAGTAACACCACGGCAAGGTTAAAACCTCCGAGCTTGGGATTGTCACCTGTCCCATGGCAAGAATATGTACAAATAGAAATCGTTTCGCCGAGCAGCCACGCCGCTGGACCAATATGACAGAATTCAGTCAATTGCAGAATCCGTTTCCGGACGACACCGGACGCCGAAATCGATAAACCGGGGCCAGCAATGCCCTCCCAATATCCCATCCACCACTAGGACATAACCGCCTCAGTGTGAGAGTACCATAATCGTCCCAAAACTCGGGGTACACGCAACAACCCGCTAAAAGAGCAATGCATCCAACCATGTCATCTGCAAGATTTCTCGCCGTTCGGAAATCCATCATATGTCCCACCGATTTTCCCCGTGTCCCGTCCATGTCAGATGACCGCCAGATCTTTATGCTTGCGATCCGGTATCCCCATGGGATGGTGGTTCAACGGATGCCCATCTCTCTGTTTGCTGGATCTCTTTTTTGGCCCATGTCATACTGCATGCGATGCAGCTTTTAGATTGAAACACCCCTCCGCCCTGCACTCGAACTCCCCGGCTGTCCAGACCCAAGGGCACTGCCCAACTAGACCATCTGCCGTGGCTGCTGTCGCGGGAGCATGTCCTCGTACCGGCGGCTCTTCATCTCCAGATCGCCAGAGCCGATATCGTGATTCGAGTTATTGTCGCGCGTATACGAGTGCTCGTCGCTGGGCATCGGGTGCGAAATCTTGAACCGGTCCGTCCTGGCGGATAGCTGCCTCGCACGCCGCTTCCGCAGAAATACGCATGCAACCAGCGCAAGAATGGCGATCACAGCGGCAGCGACACCGACACCAACGCCGATCTTAGCAGCTTCGGTGAGGCCAGATGGCTCAGGGGTAGCGGCCGCACTCGAGGTTGCTGCCGCTCTGGTTGATGTTGCCGATGTACTGCTGGGGGCAACCCTGGTCGGGACCACCATCGAAGTGGCCGAGCTCGTTGCTGCCGATGACGACGATGACGACAATGTCGACGTCTGAAGCTGGACGATATGTCAAAACAGGGACTCGCTCAAGAGGCTCGGAAGCAGCACACTCACAGTCGTGCTTGTCGAGCTCGAGGTTGTCGAGGCCACCTCCGAAGAAGAGGAGGACGTCGATGTTGGCGCCTCGGTTGTTGTGGGGGCGGGAGCAGATGATGATGACGAGGTTGCCGGAACGAACCCCGGGGCGGCCGCTGGCTTCGCATTAGCTTCTGCAGCTCTCCCTACTCTGACCACGCCACTCACTTGCACACTGAGCAGCCACCGCGTTTGTGACAGTCGGCATATAGTCAGGCCCGCATGCTGCCAGGGCGCAGTCACGAATCCCCGCGGTAAAGGAGTCAACGCGGCAGAGGCAGTTGAAATCCATGGCCGCGCAGTTGAACTCGCCGGCCTTGTTCACCACATTGTCGTAACAGCCTTTCTGTGGATCGAGTTGTCAGTCATGTCTCTTCACAAGCACAGACCTCCAAGCCTTGGAGAAAAGGGCTTACTCCGCAAGCCTGCAGACTGTCGATGGTTTGGGGGCTGGCGAGCGCCGCCAGCGAGAGCAGCATCAAAGCTCGGACTCCCAACATGTTGATGTAGTTGTGCTGTGGCGATGGCGGATGTACCAACGGGTGAGAATTCGTGAGGATGTGAATAGAGGTTCGTCTGTTAAACCCAGTTTCAGGAACCTGGACGGCGTGGTGAGGTGGAAATAACCCGAAAACGGGCGCAAGGAAAAGAGTGAACTTGGCGGGCCTGGGAATAAAACCTCGATTTTGCGACTGAGGGAAGAAATGAGTGTGGTGAACCGCAGCCGAGAATGAAGTGAAAGAGTGAAGGGCACGCAAGACTTAGAGATAGTATTGAACGGAGGGAATGCGAACTTGAGATATCGATTGTGGGCAATGAAGGTGAGGAGGCCACAACTTCCTGGGTCGGCGGGCGTGCGACATGTTTAACTCTTGAGGGAAGGAGCCCATTTCATGAATCCGGGGAAGAGCAGCCCACTGACCCACAGTGGGCGCTGTCCCTGGGACCCTTGCAGCTGAGGTCCCTTCCAATTGCCTCATCTCCCGCTCTCCGGTTCTGTACATGGCCGATTTCCAACGCTCTCTCTCTCTCTCTTTACCTGCTCTTCGTCTTCTCTTTTCATTGTTACCGTTCATGCTTCGTCGCCCTTCGCCTTCTGATGCTCGATCCACAAGGTACCATATAGACTACTCGGAGCTGACGGGGAAGCTGACCACAAACCCCTGCCAGGCATAGACCCCAGCCCATACAGCCACCATCAACAAATTTGTTCACTTGAGGTGGCGCTAGACACAACTTGCGCGACACAAACGTGAATCTCGCTCGGGGGCACAAGTACGAAAACATGCTTATTATGTCTGTACTTCCCCAATGAATCGGCGAGCACGCAGTTGACGTGTGATCAGGATGGTTCAGGTCCGATGGACAGCGCCGATTTAGAAATGCAAGCCGGAATGACAATGCCGCATAGACGGGACATTTATTTGTGGCACGGCACGCTTAGACTGTCAGTCCCGTCCGCTCGGGACTTCCATTCCGCTTTTTGGAAATCCGATGGAGCATCAACCCGCTCCGGCTGCCAACAGTCCCAATCATCGGCGATGGAGGCTATAAAGTCATGCAGCAACCAACATTAAGATGACGTTTATCTGAACTCGGGCTCCCGTTCCTGGTTCCTGCATCGTCCGAACTTTGTCTTGCTGTACAACACACAACATCCGTGCAGAGATCCGCCACGGCCACCAGCAGGGGTTGGCGAAAATCAGAGCAAACTTGCAGTCGCTGATTCGTCCCCGTCTGGGACTTCATACATGATAGGATAAAGTGTCTGTTTCTAACACGTCATTGCAAAGTGTTAGACTCTTCGAGATGCTGATATCGCATCGCTGCTGAACATCGAGAGTCCAGAAAAGTTCCAGGGTCCGTTCCAGGTTCATCTTCTGGTGGGATGAGCATTCCAATTTTGGATTGACCGACAAGGGCCGACCAGGGCATGTATGCAGCCCCGCAGCTTAGCGGTTTCAGCATTCAGATTCGGCTTGGTGGGGCAGGAGCTTGCTCTCCCTGCTCATCACCGTGTCCAAGCTGACATCACTCTCTGCCTCGGCTGGGACCCCTAAGAAGTCGCTGTCAGGATGGCGCCGTGGAAGGGGAAGCTCAGCGCAAATGTTAGATTTCATAACATAATCATCTCCAGCATCTCGTTGGATCGATCCCCGCAAACCTTCGATCAGAGTTTGAACTCTTATCATCCCTTCCCTCAAACTGCCCCGCAAGCAGGGCGATCGGCCGCGTTTGCATTCGTTTCAGATCTTCGGCACACGCTTGTGGGGGGTTTTTGGCACGTTGCTTAGCCTGCGAGGCGTCCAAGCCGGTGAAGACAGTGACGGCGCGGCAACACAAGCATTGTCGGTGTCAGAGGTATCTTCGATCAGCGCCTCTTTCTCGACGTTTGTCACACTTCGGCTTCAACGAAACTCGCAGCACTTCGCTGGATCAGAAGCCACATTGGCGCAACTGACTAGAACTGGAGTGTGACGGTTCTGCCCTTGTTTCACTCCTTTCCTCACCAAGGTCGGGATAGCCAGTCTCCAGTAAGGTATCTTGGTAATAATTGGAGCAGCGTCGCCTCGTGACACGTGGGTTCAGGTTAGTGGCGTGTCCCTAGCTCCAGGTGCAGTAGAAATTCAAGGGTGTAGCACTATCGACATGCCCAACTCGTGGTGTAAATCGCTTGATCTTTGGTAATGTAGATGTTTGGTTCAACTGATTGAGGACAGAACACTCCGTCATTGACACCACTCAGGTCAGCTACCGTCCAATACATCGATCTCAACTGCTCAATCCTCTGCACCTTTAGTCTGACTACGGGTTCCGATGATAGATTGCGTCTCATGAAAAACGATCGAGATTATTCTATCCCATGGCGAATTTGGGTCTGGTACAGTGCGGGTCCAGAAGTCTGGATCCAAACTCTACCCAATTGAGGCACGCGACGTGACCGTGTTAACTACCATCATCTTCAACCTGCCACCACTCCTCGCCATGACGCCAATTTAGTTGATTTCGCAGCCAAAATGGCCGCCAGGAGGCAGGAGAACCAGGAGCTATTGCCAGAGCTTCGAACAGCCATTTGTACGCTCATTGCCACTGGCTGGACTCAGCGTGAGGTCAGGTCGCCCTTCGGCATGTCGAAGAAGGCCGTTCAAGGCGCGGTCCAACACTTCAAAACTCACGAGTCTTTCTATTCTAGATCTCGTCGCGGGCGGCCGGAGGTGCTCACACGGAGAGAGAAGCGGTATATCCTGACTCACATTAAACGGAACAGAAGCTCACTAATAAAGCACTCCTCTACGTTATAGGGACGCCTATCTTATACTCGACAATACGCCGCTATCTCCACCACTATAACATACGCAGATAGAAAGCAATGAAGCGAATTTCTTTGATAAAAGAAGTGGTAAAGGATACGTGTAACTCTGTCTACGACCAGCTCGACGATCTCGAAGGGTTCCTCCAGGTGTATAGCTCAAAGTCTTGCCCTGTTTTTTGTCATCTCTGACAATAATAGACTATGTTCTTAGATGAGTGTTCATGCTAAATGAGCACCGCAAATCCAACTGCCTGGGTATTCCGTTTCCCTCCTGAGAAGTTCGGCCCTCGATTTGTCAACCTCCGGAACTATGTAACGTGCCACGAAAATCCCCGTTCCTGTTCTCATGGTTATGTCATATGCCTGCGGTCATGCATACGTCATGAGTCTGATCGTACGTCTGTGGTTACGCCTGTGCATAGGCCTCTGCTCCAGCACTTAGGGTCTGGTTGCATGCCCATCCTGTCATCTAGCTCTTGCTCTCGTTGTAGCAATATCGATCTTGTATGTGCGAGCTGACCAGACCTTGGTTGGTGCCCGTCGCATAACGGCGAATATCTCTATCATGGTCTGGGAAATTATCTCGAGGGTGGGGAAGAGCAACCATGTTATAATGGTTCGTGATAAAACTGTTTTAAAAAAATAAGGATACATGGCCAAATCCTACTAGGATACTCTCGAGAGTGGCCTTCAATATTACGATGAAATCAGATAGTTATTCCTAGCAAGACAACGCGAAAATCTATATATATAAGTCGACAGTAGAATGGCTCTATTCTCGGGCTATCTCCTGGACCGAATGACCTACTTACAGTCTTGATTTAAACCTGATTGACCATATCTAGGCCTGTATAAAGCGATATTTGCAGGAAATCTTCCCAGACCTTTGACCCCTTAAGCAAAACCAGGTCGATATCGGAAAATTCACTGTGTGCCTAGAGGAGGCGTGGGAGGCTGTGCCACAGGCCTATATTAACGGCCTGATTAATAGTATACTAAAAAGGGTGGCTGCTGTCAAAAAAAACCGAGGGTGGTATATACGGTACTGAAGCCTAGAGCTCAGGCTCCTAGCAAAAACAATCAGTTTTCCAACCAGATTTGTAGTTCTCGAGATCCTTTGTTAGGTAGTAAGGTAAACGGAAGAGGCTGGTGTGCGGGAAACCTTGGATCCAAATTTTGGGCCCGCACTGCAGTTGATCAAGGCCTCTCTGATAGCCGGACAGCTTAAGCTGTATTGTCCTAGGCCGCCTGCCAAAAGAATCCATCTACGAGGGGACGACAGCAAACGTTTCTCTGTAGCTTGGTGTAGCAAACAATGAGGAAAAGTATAAGCCCAGGCTCTGCTGCGTTGTTCAATCAACATTTTCGTGGGCGAATCTTCTATCTGAACGTGCATCCGTCTCACTGCCTCCAAGAGTCCGAACTTGGAATAGCAGTCGGGTCCACGCAAATTTTCGAGTTGGAACTTGAATCCAGTTGGAGTAGCCAACGAGCATTTCTAGTCCTCAACTTTACATGGACTGCGCCTGAGATTTCTCCAAGGAATGACCGCGCTGTTGGGATTGCAGACCCAGCAATGTCGTGAGAGCGAGCCGGCCATAGAAATGTTGTGTATCCAAGGGCAGGCTTGACTGAATGTCTTCTTCGCCAAGGGTTTGACGTTCTCCTGAATATCATTCTTGACTTGAAGCCTGTACGGCATCCCACGCCCTGTACATGTCCACGGGTAACCGGAATCTTATTCCCTTAGCGAGTGAACTTAGGACATGCAACCTCCTCCCAAAAACGGCCTTGCTTCCGCGGTTGCGTCGCGTACAGATCCGAAATCTTCATCAATTGCTTACAGACTAGCTATCATGAGTCTGAAGCTACTTTGTAAGTTCCACATCATGTTTGAAGTCTTCGTTAATATTTTTTCTTAGGTACGCTCTATTCCCTAGGGAACGGTCTTGTCTGGTGTGCTGTTTAGTGAGCCTCAATGTTGAGGCCTCGAGACTGGTAACTATATGGTGTTTGCCGCACTCCCAAGCCCCCTAATCCAGTCCTCATTTTGACTGCGAGCTGAGACTGGCCTATTTATACCCCTACGGTCAAGAAAGACTCTGTTTTGTAGCATAGCAAACAAAAAAAAGCCGGCGCCGTCTCCTGCTTTGACCGGTTGCCCATAGAACCCGAAGCATTCCGGGCTGTGTCGACCTTATTGGGTCGAGCAGCAGAGAAGGAGACAGGTGGAGCCCTGAATAAGCTGCATGGATCAAACTCGATCGTTGACAAGTGGGTCCCTATGAACGTTAGCAACACGACAGGATCCAAGATGCCTTTGACTCTGCCTTTCAGGTTATAAGTAGCATGAGGTTCCTCCATGGCAGGATCCCTTTCTTTGGCTCACATCAACGTCACACACCGACCCGGATCCGTTGCTTCAACAATCGCTCGCTACAGCGCCTCCTCCCAGCCGCTCTCGTTCAAGATGGAACTCGCAGCGCTCGCCGCTGCCCTCTTCGGCACGGGTGTACGTCTCAAAGCATTGGGCATCTCAATCCATTGGCACTGTGATGCGAAAATGAATGCAATAGTGACACCATAGCCCGTTCCTCTTGGGCCCTCGCCCGCGAACCCGAACCCCGACCTCGACGACGCCAACGACCTCGAATGGGAAGTCGAGGTGCCCCCCGGCAAAACCGCCGCCGTCAACTACATGATCGAGTCCGTCTTCGACCGCCTGTTCGCAGATGGATGGGAGCCGCCCCCCTACGATCACCCAGCTGCCTCCACCTCCACCGGCGCCGGCGCCGCCAAGCGGGGCACTTTCGACCACCTGTTCGCAGATGGGTGGGAGCCGTCTCCCACGACCCCCTGCCTCCGCCTCTGCCGCGGTCAAGCGGGCCACCCACTTCAGCCAGGGCAGCTACTATTGTGGCGGCCCGTGACCGTAATTCCACATCAGCCCCTTCTGGAAGGGGCTTGAGCACCTCCGCCGCATCGGCAAGGCGTACGTGCACATGCACCCCGGCCCCGGCGCCTGCGCGAAGGTGAGCTGCAGTCACGGAGGTGCTGTTTTTGTGTGCAATGATGTACGTTGTTCGCCTTTCATTTGACGCTGGTTTGTTTGTTTCTGGTTGGCTGACGAGAACGTGTTCAATACAGAGACCCGAGGAGTGGTGGCTCGACTCGTCCGATCGCATCGCGGACGGCCTGAGCTTCCTCTCGCGCTGCACGAGACCCGCAAGCCGCGACGTGGCTGGACAGCTGTTCCACCCTGACAACTCTAACATTGTGGTCTGCCATGACAGCTGCTGAGCAGATGCTGGAGGTTGGACGACGGTGAAGTGCTGTGGGTCTCCATGCTCAGGAATGGAAATGGTTGGGTGTCGTTTCGCTTCTTACGCATGGCTTATGTAATTGATCAGTTGCTCCTCGGAAACTCGATGTGAATGAACCTTGTTCTTTGTCATTGTGAGCCGAGGAGAGTTTGATGGCAGATGATGGCTTGACCGGAGAGGGTGGTCCCGTTGACCAGGCCCCTTGCTCAGCACCCGGCTACCTGTCTGATGATTGACTCTGCCATCAACGGCTCATCGCTGCACTTTCATCTTAGCCCTCAAAAACGCGCTCCGGCAGTACCATGCGGCAAGTATCGGTGGAAATGCGAAGCAGCAACACGTGACATGACAATGGTTTTGAGGCTAATCGTGAAATAAAGGAGTTGCGGTAGAGAAAGGGGTTTCTCGCTGCCATAAATCAGTTGCTGGTGTTGCAATGCAAAGAGAAGAATTGTGCTGGATTACCTAATCTTCGAAAATTGCCGAGCGCCGGAATCCAGATCACGTGCAGCTTAGCTCCAAGATCAGTTCATCTTGGAAGCTCCAAGTCGGAATGTTGTCAAACACCGCACCACCCAGCCACGAGAACCTCTCCGCACCCCGCGTTGACTAAACAAGACCCGATAAAATGGCGATTGCACCCATTACTGGTGTACGTTGTACCCCAATATTCAAGTCGTCCCGATAGCGACCCAATTCCCGTCACCCGGCCGCCGACCGACGAAGAGGAGCATAATATAGATGATGAGCTGACGGGATCTTAGATGCTCCGCCGGGGCCTCATCACCGATCTTAGCATTGCGCTTGGTGAGTCTACTTTCTGGAGAGATGCAGGTGGTAGGGCGCGCCTGAAGGAAATGCTAACCGCATGCAGGTCTTGGATTTGCCTTTGCCAACGCCTTCTGGTATCACGACCCATGATCCCGAGCTCCCGGCCGTGCAGAACGCGAACCTCTAATCTTGCACTAGGTACGGCTACCATGTCCCGCGCACCAACGCCCGCGACAGCTACTACAGGAAGTTGGAGGAGCAGCGCGCTGCGAGGCAAGGGGCGTGAGTGTGTCGGGATGGCATGACTGGGCAACGCAGGGCTGCAAAACCCCCGACGACGATAGAGAGGGAGGGAGTAAACATGAAGGGGCGGGAGATCGGTTGTGTATCATACGGATAGACAGGGGCAGCAGTTGAGTCAGTGGGCAGGACCGTGTCTGTTTCCTTGGGTAGAGGATATGGTGTGGCAGCAAGCGCCAGTATCCTTTTTGCCGAAAAAGTAACCGATGTCTAGCCAGACTTGTTGTTCTTTGCAGCTGCTTGCGATACAGATTTGACGCTGTGCGCGCCCTGGACGTCTGGCGGGCTCAATTCTGGCATTGTGGTGCTAGCTCGAGCTGCGGTTCCTTCCCAAGTTGTCGTTTCTGCCATAAAACCGCCCTTTTTGTCCTGACAGCTAAACTCTGCATCAGTACATCAAATCCGCCAACTGATCATGGCTTGCGAGTATGCGCTGGAATTTCGAATTCCGGTCATCGAGGATTGAGCACTCACCTGCGGAACCAGCGCTGGACCGGCCAGCACTGCACCGGGCTATCGGCCAACTCGGGATGCCGGACCACGCATTCGTACTGCACGAGCTCGAATAGCTCACAATCCCTCGCCAAATCAATTCGACGCCCATTTTCCGTCTTCCGCACTTTTCCATCGGCACTGATTTGCACCGCGCCCGAGAGGTGGCCGGCAGGGAAGGTTGGGCAAGGCGGCGCCATCCCAGCAGGCCCGTCGTCCAAAGGGATGCAGACGATACGAGGCGCTGGTGTCGCGACAGTCGGCGCTCGCTTACTTAATGAAGTCGAGGAGACAACTCTTGACGAAGTACGTGGCGAATTGGCGACGAGTTTGGCAATTTACGATGGCTTGACTCGAGGTTGGAGGGTTGAAGTTACGCGAAGAGAAAATTACTGATTGCTCCCAATCCAGGTCCTCGCTTCTCTCCGCACAAGCCTGGCAACAACCAGCGATGCGAACGACAGCAATACTGGCAATGCACGAATACCAAACTTCCCAATTGGCCCGCTCAATGGGCTCGTCAACCGCCATTTCCGCGCGACACAGTCGGCCGCTCTCGCCCTCACCGGCCGCCACCGCGAGCTGCTCTACGTTTTGGTCGCGACTCTGATCAGCCCGCCGCATGACAAGGCCGTAGCCATCGTCGATTTTGAAGGCCGTTTCGACCCCGTGCGGCTTTTGGCGACATGCCCGGCTGACGAAGGCGCAGCTGCAGACCCGACAAATCCTGGGTCCAAGCACCGCGCTACCGTCCAACGTGCCGACCTGGACCATGTCCACATCCTCCGTCCCGCCCGCGGCAGCGCCGCACATATCGCCGACTGCGTCGCTTGCATCGAGAAATACATGCTCTACGGGTCACACCGGAGCCGGGGCCGAGAGTGGTGGGGTACCGTGGTCATCGGAGGGGGCCTCAACCCGGCCGGGAGCGCCTCCGGTGCTGCCTCTGCCCAGGTCGCCGTCACGGCCGACTGGAAGGGCTGGCTGCGTGTCGACCGGGCAGAGGTGCCGAGCTTTTGGGATATGAGCGCCGCGGAGGCGCTTGCTGACCGGGAGAAGCGGCAGGCTGCGGTGGAGGACGCTGGATGGGTCGCTAATTCCCCGTGGGGAAGCTTCATGATCTGCAGGAGGGAGCGAGGAAGGTGAGGTGTCAGTTGAATGCGGAAGTGACTCTACTGGTCAGCACTGGCGCAGGTACATGCTGTTGACCCCGACGGCTCCCAGCGGCACTCAGACACAAGCAGCTTACTGCACAACGACAGTGGATACTCTAGACATTGGGGGATACTGGGGTCTCCGGGCCGAAACATTCAGCTGTAGCTTGAATTTTCACTGCCCACACTGTAGTCATGTCACTGGAAACTCTGCTGTAGGATGTGCGGCTTTCGAACGCGCAGGTCGAGAATCATCTGGCCAAACAGCCCGTTGGCCCACGAGAACCTGCCATGCCAGTCAGCATCTTCTCTCGAGACCTTGAAACCAAGAATGAAAGACTTACCACTGCCGCGTCCACTGGCTTGCATTGTTTGAGTTGACGCTCTCGTGCATTAGCCCCAGCCCGTCAGTGCTGCCTATCAGCTCCCGCAGTACCCTCACGATCTCCTCATCGTCGTTCGACGTCAGTATCCGCACAATGCTCGCCATGGGCCACGCCATGCCCGGCCCCGCATGCGGCCCGCCGATCGCGTCGAGGACCGACCCCTTCATGAAGTATGGATTCCCGTCGGCACTCAGCAGCCTCGCCCTCGTCCGCACATACACCGGGTCTATATTCGACAAATCCCCAGACAGGGGCGCCGCCAGCAGCGACGGCAGGTTCGCGTCGTCCATGACCACCGCCCCGCCGTACCCGTCCACCTCGTACGCATACACCGTTTCGACACCGCTCCCGTTCGTGCTCACAACGGGCACGATGCCGTGCTTGGTCACCGCCTCCCTGATACTCGTCGAGAAAGCCGCCATCTCGTCCGCCAGCCCGGCCGGCGCTCTGTCCGCGAGCGCGTCCACGATCAGCTTGGCGCTCCCCAGGTACCGCGCGAACATCATGTTGGCGGGCACAAGGAACTGCAACATTGTAGCGTCGTCGCTGGGGCGGAAGGCGCTCCGTATCATGCCCGTCTCCCGCACGGGGCTGCCCAGCCCGTCGTTGGCCATCGTCTCAGTCGAGCGCGTCGTCTGCCTCGTAAAAGTGTAGGCGCTGGGCAGGACGGCGCCCGTATCCGGGTCGTAGGTAGGCGCCGTCATAGACTTGGCCGTCTCCAACACGGCCTGCAGAGCCTCAAGCCACAGGAACTTGCCAAAAAAGTCCGCGTCGTGCGTGGTTTCGTAGTAGTCTGTGCTGAGCTGCAAAAACGCCGCGAGGCTGTCCAATTCGTACTTGCACTCAAACACGGCCGACTTGTCGTAGGTCGGGAAGACGATGTCGGAGGCCGCGGCCGGGTTACTGGCGGGCGGGATGCCGCTTTCCGGTGGCGGCTGGAACGAGTTGCAGAAGGGCGCCGTCAGCAGGTAGCGCGCCTGCAGGTTGATGACGCCGCGGTAGAGGCTGGCGATGGAGTCGGGCTGGTTGGCCGCCGCCGGGTCGGGTTCGACCAGGGCAAGGTAGGACTGCAGCTGATTGGCGCTGTCACGCAGCCACATGGCGTCGATGTCGCCCGTAATGATGAAGGCGAGTTCCTCGGCCCGGTTGTCGGCGGCGTGCCCGCGCCAGCGGATGGCCGTGTCGAGGGTGTTAGGGTATGTGTTTTCAAAGAGGCGGTACAAGTCTGGGTCGGCGAGGGCCAATGTCATGTTACTCAGGAGGGTCTCGACTGTGGTTGAGTTGAAGGTGCGGCATGAAGGAGCCGGACGGGCTGATGAGAGGGCATGCTTGCCAGAGGAGAAGGGCTCATGGCGGGACTTTGAGTAGATCGAGTAGTCGGGGCACTTGGGGGCTTGAGATGAGACGACGTCGACCAGGAGGCCTGCCAGGAGGATCTGTATCTGGGAAGGTTTCATCTTGTCGGCCAAGTGTGAGGAGATGGATCATGGTCTCTAATGACAAGAAGTGAGGGCAGACACGAGGGGTCAGTCAAAGTTAAAATGCGTTGCATTGGGCCCGTTGGTCGCCAGGGTACCGCGGGGATCAACGGTGACACGGCCCTCGTCATCTTGCTTGGTTGGCATTCTATGATAAACAAACTCCCGAGGCGGATGCAAGCACACAAATGAATTCATGGCCATTAAGGACTGCCCAGCCGTTGTCATGCGGGGACCTGCATCCGCTGTGCCATAAATATGACTCGGGACCGGCTCCTGGCCGTGGCATGATCTTGGCTTCTCCAGATTGCGGTTTTCGCCCGGTGCAGTGCTGATTTTGGTTACCTGGGTACGGTAGTACTTGTCTTATACTCGTTAATATAAGCGCATTGATTCCTTAGAGTTACATCTCATGCTCAAGCCTTAACTTGACAGCTTCGCCTTTGACCGAGCAATCCACAAGAAATGGATCCTCAGAGTCTCAATTTCCAAATATAAGAGGTCAAGGGCTGGAGCAACAGGCAGTGGCGAGCACGAGGGCTCTCTCCTCAGCCTGGCCTAAATACCTTGACTTCCGAAGTTCTGAAGCATTTTCCCCACCACCCTTGACCGATATTCAGCCAAATTGGGCTTCACTTAAGGTAAGCCACTCTGTGTAACGTGCTATAGCCTCAGATCCACGAAAGTTGAGGAGGCCCTCGGGGTGCCATGATTTCTCAGCATGTATTTTGTAGCCACTTGAAGCATCGAACGGCTGATCCGTACTCTGCCTAAAGGCGCCTCAGCAGGACTTCAGTAGTACCTTGCCTTAACCGCTCGAATTCCATTTTGTGGCTCATTGTAGGAGGCGCCATTTCCACCTGAGCGACGCAAACACCACTCCTAATCACCTTTATAGGAACTTAGGATGGTGTCACCGGTGAGCGCAACTGACCACTGCGTAACACCCTCGAAAGAGGGACCGTGCTTCAAACTGTCTAGTCGATCCAGGAGTTGCGCACATGAACCTCACATTGTCACGACCCGTGACAAATGGAACATTTAATGAACGCCTTCCTTGAATAAGCCGTGCGGTACTCAAGCCGTGTAATTAGCTTGCAGCGCCTGTGAACCGCGTATGATGGCTTCTCTTGGCAAGCTAATGTTTCTCGCTCATGTTCTGGCAAGTCGTCAACATAGCACTGATGCGCTGTTCAGGCAACGCTCTAGTCGCTCCTTGACCTCCTTCGCGCGTGTAAGAGTCATCGCCCATTCACCCTAGCTAGCATGGTGTACAATACAACAGCTCGAGTTGCAGTTGTTGACTTAAGAGTTAGATGATACGGATCCGAGTTTTATAACCAAAAAGCCATATAACTGTTGGAGACTATTCCCTTTCGGTCGAGCAGGTGTAGTTCGAGCTGTTTCCGTGTTAAAATCTCCGGACTCCAGCTCCCCACTGAGTCCACTCAGTTGTTCATACACTTTTGTGATCGTAGCTGTTTCATGTTGTACTTGATATATGCCATATCACCCACATATAAAGCGCACTGAAAATAAAAAAAAAACCGGATCATTTACCTCTTACTTGGAAGAGCGTCATACTATCAAACGAGGGCTGCTCCTTCCTTGTTCGAAATATGAAGGGAGTGCTACTGCATGTCAACGGGAGACGAGGCGGCTCCTTCCTCTTCACAACAACATCGAAGTCCCTCCTTCCTGTTCAGAGCAATACTAGACTCGGTTCTTCTCTCTTGCACGAGAGATCTAGGGATGGTGCGCTAAGCGGCTAGTTCAACTCGCTTGGGGTGTTGTATCGGCGTATCAGGTTGGTCCTACTCGTCCAAGTGAGCAATCAACCAATGAAAGTCTTATGTTTTACTATAAGGTCTACAAAAGCTAGAGGCCTTAGTAGCTCAGTGGTAGAGCGTGTCACTCGTACCTTTCTCATGCGGAATGACAAGGTCCACGGTTCAATCCCGTGCTGAGGCAAAACTAAATAGAGCAGAGTAGTTCTGAGTCTGTTTTTAGTATTTTATCACCACAGCTCCGGACAAAACAATTCCCCTTTTGTCTCTCATCATAATGTTGAACATCTCTATCGTATTGATCCACAAGTCCTGCAAATTCAAGACATCCTAGAGCGTTGACTTAGCTCCTACAGTCCCAACTCACCTACCCTATAGCGCGGACAACCGACCTGCTAGCTCTCCCGAACGACTCAAACCCTGCCCAAGCACCTACCTTACTCTAGACCCCCAACTCGCGCACTTTTACTCCTCCCAATTGCCTAAAGCCCCTACCTCCTCTGAGTCACGAATCTTATACGTTCACTGCCCTGCGTATGGGTTCTTATCCCATGACATCCTGAGGCCCTGGCTCATACTCCAGCGAGTCTCGCCTTGAGACAATCTCTCTGTGACTTTCTGCAGTCATCCGCATGAATGAGTGGGAGAGCAGGGTATAACGAGAGTCACCGATCTTCGAAGTTGGAAAGCAGCTGAGTAGCAAACTGACATCTCCCAGCTCACTAACCCTATCTAGCAGCCTTCTGAGCATCCCCTCCACCAGACCTCGTAAAAATTCCACCCCAGACATGCAGAGCTGACTGGCTCGTGTAGGGCTTTAGGCGGTACCCGTCCCTTCTTCGTCTTCCAATCCGGTTCTTTGGCTTGCTCATCCACGGTTTGGTGCTTGCGTTCCTGCCGTTGTAATCTCAGGTGCGTTGTGGTGGTTGTAAGGCGGATCCTCCGAATTACCCATTGGGGTGAGGTGGGCGCTAAGTTTGGAATCTGCAGGAAGGCTTTTTGTTGCTGCTACCGATCGCCTAGCAAGTTGAGAAGGATGCAGGAGGTGGATTGGGAAGGGGGGGGGTGAGGTGTGCCGGACATTGCGAGATGCTGGCGCTGGCAACCGAGCGTGTTGAGGCGGGGCTGTACAATACAGTCTTAGCCTTGGTTTGTTAGCATGGTACAAAGGCGGTGAGGGGGACGCGAAAATCGAAGTGAGAAAATGTACGAAAAGTTAGACAGGGAGACGAAAAGGAGAATATGAGGAAGAGTAAAGAGAAAGAGAAGAAGAAAAACAAGAGAAAAAGAGAAGCAAGAGAAGAGGAAAAATAAGAGAAGATGAACAAAAGAGAGCAGAAAAAGGTGATCAGCACGCAGTTTGGCTTATTTCCTTGCCAAGTTCCGCGCAACTGAACAAATCAGGGACGGATTGTAGTGCTTCCTGGTTGTTATTTTGGCTGTTGAGGGTTGATGTCCAATGTCACCACACGGGTAGCCACACCAAGCACAAAAGGCAGCAAGGATATGAAGAGCCATGTATTTTCCCTTCACATGCATGGCCCGCACCGACCACCGCATCGTCCACAGCTTGCGCCTTTTCACCGCACCGCACTCTTCCTACTAAACATTGTTGCCCCTTCCGATCTGGTGGCCTGCCTCTGTCTTGCCCGCCCAGTGCTGTTATGTCACCGCGCCACGACGCAACAAGCCGAGCCCAGTCTGCGGCTCACAAAGTGCCCAAGAGCCTCGACAACCATGTCCGAAATGTCCTTTCCGTGCCAAAGGGGGGGTATCTCTGAAAGTCGCTGGTTTCCAAATAGCGTCTAGGTAGGGAGGCAATGATGAGAAGGAAAACCGGGAGATTGGGAATGAAAGGGAGAAAGGGGTCCGAGAGATGCAACAAAACCATGGCCGAGTTGTATCTTCCAGACCAAGAACCGTCTAAGTCGAAGAGAAAGTGCGTGAGACATGAGTTTGTTTTCCATTTCATCGTGGTGTCCAGACGGAGAGTAAACGTGAGCCCAATCGTAATGCGAGCCAAAACCGAGAACGCCGTGGAAGAAACCCGATGTCGTGTCGTGTCTTGACCCCATGTCCAGAGCCGGGATAAGATCAAGGAGATGTAAAATGGACGAGAAAGCCATGCATTGCCGAAAAAAAACCGAACCCAAACATGACCGGCCACGCCCGTATGTGGGTACCAAATCCGCTTAGGCAACCGGAGCGACAGGAGCCACAGCCGGCGCCGGAATCGGCTGTCCGCCGCTCATGTCGACCTCGGCCTGCAGCTCGCCGTTGGCGCCACCCTTCTTGTTGCAATCGCGGGAGATATGCCCTGCCTCGCCGCACTGATAGCACGTCTTGCCGGCCGTGTTGAGAGGGCCGCCGTTAGGAGCCGTGCAGTCCCGAGAAATATGTCCCAGCTTGCCGCAGGCGTAGCATTTCATGGCTTGCGCCTGGCAGTCGCGAGCAAAGTGATTCGGGCCGCCGCACTTGTAGCAGGTAGCCGGACGAGGACCGCCGACGAATCCTCCCCGTGCAGGCCCAAAGCCACCCCGAGCAACAGGGCCTCCTCTGCCGAGTCCAGGAACAGGAGGGTTGGGGCAGTTACGCTGTGAATCGACAATCAGTACTGGTTTAACATGAGTCTCGCGAGAGGGTCAAGGGCGTACCGCCAGGTGGCCGATCGAATCGCAGTTGTAGCACCGGTTGCCAGCACCGGCGCCGCTCAGGCGGAGCGTCGGGCACTCAGCCTGAACGTGACCCAGACCTTGACAGTGGTAGCACTGCTTCGCCTTGGTAGTGCGGGGCATGGGGCACTCGTTCGACTCGTGGTTTGGCTGCTTGCCTGGTCCAGTGTCAGCGGATGATCGAAGCATCGGACAAAGAAATGTCGTACAGTTGTAGCAGAGCCTGTGGGGAGACGCGCAGGCCTCGGCATGGTGGCCAAGCTCACCGCACTTGTAGCACGCCCGACGAGAGACAGACGACATTTTTGGATGATAGTCTGCAAGCGCGTTAGCATATAATGACGCTTCATCCCGTGTCCGCTCCCATCTTCGCCGACACGTTTGCAGGCGAAAACACTTGATGAAGAATTTAAGGCTCTCGTGGCATCTTCTGGTGATGCGGATAAAGCATTCGGCCGGTGCATCTGAGCCGGCCGCTCATCGGGGCCATACTGGTAGGCGAGATCGGGTTCCGCAGGGTCGGGACGTTTGTGCGACCCAACATCCCGGCAGGTTGCTCCCGTGAATGACGCTGGGATAACCGCGCGGCTCAAGACACGTTGTCAACCACGAGACGCCACGCCGGAGAAGCGGCAGCAGACCGAGGCTGATGCGCCGGACGGGTCGCCGGTAGAGACCATGGGCCAGTAATGCGCGCATCCAGCCCGGCGGCTCCGTTCCCTCCCGTCACACCACATCTTTGGTCGTCGAGGTTCCTAGACGAATGGTGGACCATGGTGCCATCAAGGTGTCGATATGCTACATGCAAACGTGTCTCAAAGAGGGAGTTGAGGGCACTCCTGTGGTAGCACGGTTGCAGGAGTTGCGTCATGGTGAATCGGACTGACCTTCGGTAAAAGGAATGAAAACCCCCAGCAGGATTCCTAAGAAACTTTCCCGCAAGTATTGATACTTCGACCGACAACCACAGCGACCGAACTTCCGACTTCCTCGCCAACACACAACACCCAAGAGATGATTTGCGTCTGCTTCAAGGAAAATGTAAGGTGGAAAGAAAGAGGAGAATGAGAGAGGCGGAATAAGCGGGACAATAGAGGAGGCGGGCGGCAAGTTGGGGAAGGAGGGATAGCGCAGGCACGAGGCAAGAGCGGAAAAAACGGAGCGAGTGACAAAGAGTTACATGCCTCTCGGTGTCTCACTTTTCGAGCAGCGCTGAAAATTGCGCCAGATACCGGGGGATTGGCGCTGCCATCCTGAGATGACCAGGTATCCTGGAAGTACAGTACAACGCATGACGAGGCGGCTTCCGCTGTTCGGCGAGGTGATGAACGGACCACCCAATTCCTAGCGCTGATGCTGCAAAGCAGCCGAAAAGTCTCAATCAGCTCAATTCACGCTAAAGGGCAAATTTCACCTGTGCTGAGTCTGTTTCTGGTCCACTGTAACCCTCCGTCCCACATGCAACTTGCTGCTTGGTGGGGAAAATTCCCACTTTTTCTACACTTGGTTGAGTCGTGTTCGGTCATCTCTGCAACCCATCCCACGATGTTGCGTTGCGGTTGCCGCTTCCCTTCTCAGCTCACGCTCGCATCTTCTGTGGCCAGACTGGGCGTGTCTCAGATATGCTGCCCCCATTTCCCCGCGTTCCTCTGACAGAGACCCCGACTTTCAATCCGGTTCAGCTACGGATACAAACACTCGGTACGGATCCGTATAATAACAAACGATAGCTGCCTGCTCCAACTCAGATGTGCTGTCGGGTGTGGATCAGTGGCGGGGTGTTTTTTCGTAAACGCCACAACTGATAATGACGGACATCGACAGTGGACGGTTGTACCGGTATCCTACCACAGTAATTAATAGCTAGTACGAATTACTAGTTTATACGATGACGCCGTCACCATCCCAGCGTAAGAGGAAGAAGACATCGCTGATACCTTACCATACCTTCTTTCACAATACAAACCGAGGCAACGCCTTCCAAACTGGATGCGGCAGCCACCTCCGCTGCGAGAAAATCCTTGTCTGCCAAGCTGCCCCTCACCTCGGCCCAATCATGCCCAACGCATGCTGCGCGGACTGAGTTTACGTTATCCCGTCAAGGCAGGTAAACCGAAGCGCCCCTTTTGCACATTCCCGTGTATTATTTCCACGGCCGTAACCGCGTTTGGTATAGGGCCACCCACCACCACCATCCCTTCGTCAGTCAAGGCGATGACGTTCATAGCGAGTCACTGCTCTTACAATGCATCAAGTCACTGCTCTTACGATGCAACGCAATACATAAATATCTCTACCCAGTCTTCGTGGTTTGTCGTCCAGCCTGTATTGTTTGGCAACCGAGCCTCCGGGTGCCAAGCCCGGAGTGGGGCACGATACCGGCTCCCGCCCCTCATTTACCAACGCCACATCGGAGCTTAGGCCCGGACCTTTCAATATGTACGAGAGTGATCCCAACTATAACCGACCCTCCAAATGCGATGCGATTCAGTCCCGAGCGACTTTACCAGGTCGCGGTTGGAATTCGTTTGATACATTGCGTTTTCTGTTTGCAAAAAGACTGGTGTTGTTGGCGGGAAAATTCGGTGAGTGTGGTTTGTGAGTGGCGCCATACACAAAGCGGTTACGGCCGTGCGAATAAAAGACAGGGGGATGTGCAAATAAAAGACTCGCCCCAAAACGGGTTGGCTAGGGCAGATCTCGCGTTCAGGCTGTTCAGAGCTCCTTCACGGATGACAAGCTGTGGCCGGTTTGTCAACCCACACAGCGTCACTTCTCGGTGACCCATCAGCTGAATGCACGGCGCATGCATTCTGATTTAACCCAAGATGACGGATTCAAGGGCGATCACACACATCGGCATGGCTGCCTGGGGGGTTTGAGCTCGAGGCCCGGTTCAACACCTTCGGTGCGGCCAATATGGCTGCCCGAGATGTTCGTGCAAGGACCGATACGGAACGGAGGAACCGTAACCGATATCACACAGGAGCTCGTACGCCATCTGCACTTGTTGACGCGCCTCCCAGAGACGTTCTGTTGAATTCGACACTCGATACACTCGCCATCTACTGCCCGACTTCCATATCTTGGTTGGTCTCAGCTAACTCTCATTCAACGGGTTCCTTTATCGGAACCCGTTGACGCCATTGCGACCCTGAGCTTCAAACCCACGAAGCTGAACTCACACTCCCAGCCGGATGCGAGCTACCCAAGTAAGACGCTGAGCTCACACTGGCAGCAGGATGCGAGCTCCCCACTGGAGGGACACCCCCTCTCGGCGGTGCGATCGACCTCGGCCGGGCATCTACCACGTAGCTGACACCGTCATCCGATGAATACGATGGTGGCCGAGGGACTGTTGTGCGGGAAATGCTGCTCTGTGTGCTCTCCGACGCGCTGGAGCTGGTAGGATTTGGCACCTGTTCGCCTTGCGCATGCTCGTTGCGTGCCCAGTACAGACGATTCGGATCAACCCTCTGAGATTCTTAGTCAGCAAAGCCCAGGGGCTTATCCACGGCGATGAATACGTACCACACTCTCGCGCCACATGCCGTAGGCCGGCGGGCCGGTTTTGGTTGCTTCGCTACCGATACCCGCCGCCTCCTCGTCCCGAGCCAGCACGACGGGAATGGGCTCTACCGGGATGGCGTAGCCGCCAGAGCCCGCCATCTCCGGAAGCTGGCCCTGCTGCACCATCTGGTCCCGTTTGCGCGCCTTGACCACTAGCATGAAGAGGCGGATGAGGCTATGACAGAAAAAGATAGTGACGAACATGATGATCAGGATCAGCAGGATTGTGAACTCGTTGCTGTTGATGTTTTTGGTGAGCGAGAGGGTGAGGTCTGCACTCGCGTCAGCTTACCGTTCTTGCATTCAGAGCCAAATCGCAAAGGGGTACACATACAGATTGCCAGGGTCAAGGCAAGAAACGTGCCCGAGACGAAACAGCGCAGTATCTGCGATCGGATCCGGCGCGATTTGACCCAGGGGAAGCAAAACAGGAAGTGTTTGGGCGGACGCCGTTCCCTGGTCCTGCTCGAGCGCTCGCCCTCCCTTCTCCGCCGCCTCTCCCGCCTCTTACTTCTGCTCTCGCGATCCCTCGAGCGATGACTGTCCGATCGGTGACTTCCCGACTGATGCCTCCCCGACCCCCGCGACCTGCCACTTCCACTCCCACTGCCGCTCCTTTCCCTCCGATCCCCCCTCCGCCGCCTCCTCCGCTCCCGATGATGCCCGCCCGACCTCGACGATCGCGACCCATGCCTCCCCTCCCGCACGACCACAGCCTCAGGCACCGCAACCCCTCCTTCTCCTCCCCCTACCCGCTCACCGCCGCTCAGGACTCCAGTCCCAGGCCTCGTAGGCGGCCCATTCGACCCCTGCGTCCACGACCTCTCCAGTTCAGGCAGATGCAGCCTCGTACTGGGCAAGTGAAGGTCCTCCGCCCCGATCTGATACAAATAGTCCGGCGACTTCGGACTCTGCAGCGGTGCGCCGTGGCCGTTGATGACGGTCCCCGGCGCGCCGCGGAGGCCCTCGCCCGAGTATGCGCTGCTGGTCGGCCGCGGGTATCCCAACGACGACAGATATCGCCCTTGCTGCTGCTGGGAACCGAAAAAGGCGGACGACCGGGCGGTGCTGAAGAAGGAGGGGATGGCTGGGCGGAAGCGGTGCAGGAAGCGGGCCGTCGGCGTGCCGCGGTTGCGCTCCGCCATCTCATGGGTCGCGGCCGTGGGTTGGGCTTCGAGGTCGTCGGGGAGGATGTCGGGATTGGGATCGGGATCGAGCTCGCTGCGCGGGGAGAGAGGGGCGCGGTCGTCGTAGGGGTCGACGGTCGCGGCGTCGTACTGGTTGGTTGCGGTGGTGGTGATTGTTGGGTGAGAGGTGCCGCCACCTGGGCGGGAGAACAAGTTGAACCGGTTCATTGTGGGGTTTGCGGGTGGGTATGTAAGTGTTTGCTTTCCATCAGCTGGTTCTGTCTGCCCGTATTATTTTGAGACGGCTGCTGGTATGTTATTTGTTGACGGCGCACTTTGCCGCTTGCTGCTTGCTCCCCGTGGGCCTCGTTTGCGCTTCGTTCCTAGGCCACTCTAAAGTGCCCCCTTATTCTGAAGTTGTTTCTGAGTCGACGTTGAATATGTGGAAGTATAGCATGGAGGTCGCGGCGAAGGCGAGGACGATCAAGGCGTGGGATTGAGCAGCTCCCTTCTTTTCGAGCCTTGAGAAAGTAGACAAAGGGTCGCGATGAAAAGAGTAAGCCAAAGGTCCGTGGTGGGTATCATTAACTCCTTATGCTCCGAAGTGGGATATCCCAACCAGCAAATAAAACCAGAAAGCCGCCGTCTGATAATTACCGGCTCACAGAGCCTTGTTGTATGCAGTGTCGGAGACAGAAGAAGGAAGAACGAGGATGGATGGACTATTCAGTTTGTTGCTCCCTGGATGCCGTCTCGTCTGAGGAAAGGGGATGGAAATTCGTTGGCTTCAATCGCCCGCCGAGGAAGCAAACGTGAATGACTCGCGGCCTAATGCAGGTTCACAAAGTTGTCAATAACCAGCAAGAGACAGAAAACCGGGTACAAAACAGTGAGCGAAAGATCGTGGAGAACGGCGGTCATCCATAGGCCGGCACACCACAGTGTTTTGTTTCGGTGTATGCGGGCAGTCGAGCCAGTGGGCGTGTTGACTGGCTACCAATGTCCCAGACTTGGGAGGGGAGCACGATCAGAGGTTCGGAAGGTGGAATCGTGACCGGCAAGCCGAGGCTAGGGCGAAGAGGTTGATTTGAGTTGACGGGACAAGGTCGAGCGTGAGACTTGGGATGCAGGGGCCCCTAAAGCCAACCTCGGAGGGAAAGCTACTCGTCGCTAACAGCAAGTGACGGAACGCACAGGCAACATGGGTGGAAGAGGAAGTCACGCATGGTGTCCGTCCCTTGCAGTTGGCAGAAGCCCCCTTGAGGTCTCGACTCAACAACCAAGTCCCGGATGCTTCGAAGCCGTATGTCCACTGCTCAAAGTTGCAGAGCTGCCAGAGAACATCATGGCCAATCTCCCTCTTGCCACTCTACGGCGATTTCACAACGAACAATACTGACCACAGTTTCAAGAAAGGCCACCCTGCTTTGGCTTGTCTCCAATCATCGAAGCCGAGCCAGAGCACTTCCATGCCAAACCTTCGTTTGTGATCGCAGCCCGAGTGACAGAAGTGCGCAACAGCGGCAAAACGATTGGATCACATCAAACCGTTTCATCCAGGGGTGGGGCCGGTTCGCTTGGAGGAACCCCCTGCTTCAGGTTTCAGAGCTCTGTGGCTTGCAACGACTATAATTCCACAAGCGGGAAAGAAGCCACAGTACAAAAGGCCTGACCTTTATTAGATGACGTGTCAGCGACGCCTAGACGGGTATCATCAGTCTTACAAGTGCGTGGCGGGAGGAAAGGCCATGCATGTTCGGCTGCTAGCCCATATCACTTCATCCGCCCCACGCCGTCGCACCTGCTTCGCGCTTTTCGCACATCGCCGTCAACCTTTGGGTATCTTGTCCGTACACTGTCTTCTGCCTTCCTAGCCGCGCCGATCCCTGATGCTTTGGCGCCTCGAAGGGCAGCCTAGTCTCGGTCGCCCTGTAACAACCCCGCTTCGGCTGCCACATGCCCATTTAAGAAAATGCCACTCTTGGGCCGGGGTGCGAGGTTGACTGCCGTAGTCTGCAGTCTGCGGCTTCGCATTCGTGACTCCCGCTTGCAGAAGCGACCCCTTATCGTCTGTAAGACTTCGGCGGGGAGTCTTTGCATAAGTGCGGCAGAGTCACCGGCTCACTTCAGTTCGCCTAGCAGCATGGTCCGGTCAGATGACGCGGAAAGAACTGCTCATTGTTAGCACAGTTACAAATTTCCGGAAACCAGGTTACAAACTGATATGAGCATCTCCAGGCGCAAACTCGGCACTGTTTACCGTTCCCTTGTGCCCAGGTAATTTGTAGTGCAGCTTCCCGGAGTCGCTGGCCCAGATGACAACAGTGCCGTCACCTGCGCCAACAGCGATCTTCTTGCCGTCCGAGTCCCAGCTCCCGGTGATGAGATTCTTCTCTAACCCAAGCGGCGCCCCGTCAAAGGTCCTGATGTGTCGCTCGGCCGGGGCGAAGGGCCTAATGTCCCAGGTTCTTGCCGTCGAATCCATCGCATACGAGAGCAGCTGCTGTCCGTCTGGCGATACCCGCAATGACGTTATCGTGTCGGTATGGCCCAGCATCGAGTGGACGACGGCCTTCTTACGGATGTCCCACACTTTGATGTCGTTGTCGATGCCGCCTGAGTAAATCTCGTTGCCCGCCTCCGAGATGGCAACCGCAGTGATGGGAAACTCCGTCTCAATGTAGTCAGCGGCGTGCTTCGTCCTGGGGTCCCAGATGCCGATCGTCCCGTCGTCGCTCCCGCTGATTAGCAGCTCCTCGCCGCGTTTGCTGATGTCCATTGAATTGATGATTTCCTCGTGACCGACGTAACGCCGTATCCTCTCCCCTGACGTGAGGTCCCAGCTCGCGAGGTGCATGTCGGCAGAGGCGGAGAAGAGAATGTCGGAATCGCGGGACCATTGGAGGTCGAGGATCGCACCGCGGTGCCCATTCAGGACGCCGTAGTTCTCACAGTCGCCGTATGTCCTCCAGAGCACTGCCATCCGTTAGCTATCCGCACGATGACCTGCAGGTACCTTCAAGCGCACTTATTGTCCTGTCCATCGAGCCGGACGCTATGAGGTTTCCTGTTGGGTCGAACTTGGCTGTGAAGATCTCCCCCGTGTGCCCCGACAGCTCCATCAAGGGAGCTTGCAACGCGCTGGTCCTGGGCGCCTGTGAACTTCTGTCAGCAAACATGCTCAGTCGCACCCAAAAAGCAAAACATACCGCCTGAATGAGCGCGCCATTGCCAGATGCGCCGGGGCGAGTGAGGGCGCGACTCGTACCCACGTTCTGCCGCTTCACTACAAGCTGTCCCTCGCTTAGGTCGTCGGAGGCTGGTCTCTTTTCTGACATGGTGGAGTATGGAGTTGGACTTCTGGTTGGAAGACTGAAGCTGTATGACGAGACTGGTGTTGTCGGGACTCGATCAGGCAGCTTGTTGCTCGCAGCTTGGAAACAGCAACTTGGGCCGCCACTTTGACAACTGGATTTTTGATGGCCCGCGCTCCGTTCCAGGAGCCAGGGACCCGCGTGAGCCGCGGCAAGATCAGTGGGGCAGGTCCCCCACATGAGCACCGTGGTCAGGAAGCTGCAGGGGCCCTGATCGTGGCCATCGACACTGAACTCCATTCTCGCTGCATCGCCCGCCGATCTAACTCTACCGTCTTTCGCAGTCAGGTGCGCCTTATATTTTCCCGGTGCTTCGTTCAGTTCTTTGAGCATACTTCCTTATCTAGAGGCTCGTGACGGATACGCGATTCGATTCAGCCAGAATGGCGTCAAGTAAGGCATCCCGCCTAGGGGAAGAGTACGCCCACAACCATCCCGCTGCCCGCCCCCCGATCGAGAATCATGGCTGACCTTACTGCTTTTTTGTAGAGTCTGGAAGTGAGAACCCATACCTCTCAGCCGTTGTTTAAGTGCGCTAACAGCCGGAGGACGCGGATGGACAAGGTCAACGCCGAGCTCGTCGTCCTCACATACGGCACCATCGTCGCGCAGCTTTGCAAAGACTTCGACAGCGACTATGTCGAGGTCAACAAGCAGTTGGATAAGATGGGCTACAACATTGGTATGCGGTTGATTGAGGATTACCTGGCCAAGTCAAACACGGTCCGGCGGTGTTCCAGTTTCAGGGAGACAGCAGAGATGATTGCTAAGGTAAATCGAATCGACCCAGCGGAGTCGAGGGAGATAATAACGATGGACGGGCGGCAGGTTGGCTTCAAAATATTTCTCAACATTACACCGGCAATCACAAATTGGACGAGCGACGGCAAGCAGTTTTCGCTCGTGTTCGACGAGAACCCCTTCGCCGACTTTGTCGAGCTGCCCGACGACGGCCGGGCCCAAGACGAGCTGTGGTACTCCAACATCATGTGCGGCGTACTGAGGGGAGCTCTGGAGATGGTTCAAATGCAGGTCGAAGCTCACTTTGTCAGCGACGTGCTGAGAGGGAACGACACGACCGAAATGCGCATCAGCCTGATACGGTACATCGACGACGAACTGCCGCCAGAAGACGACTAGGGGCTGGACGAGGATTGATTAGGCCAAGCGCCTTGGTCAGCTGGCTCGATGAAATCCACCATCCCACGTAGACGTAGGCATCAGTCGCAAGGGATTCTCCATAGTTACCCCAACGCGCGACATGCCGGGACTTGACGGCCAGGCTGGGGTGGCACTTCGTTCGCAGCTTCGACGGCGAGATTTGAAGCAGCCTTCCGCCCGATGCAGCGATGTACATACATATTCACCAAGGCGTCGTTTTCGGCACTTGTCGGAATATGGACTCGCTCGAGAGTGGTCAAACAAGGCCGAGCTCCTCGGAGCCGAGCCAGGCATCACAATCTCGGTGCCACCAGATGTACTCATACAGTTGAAGTAATATACCCACGATGCCGACACACGCCCAACCCCCCTGTTCATCCGACTGCACGATGACTTGCGCATCAACCAACAATGCCCCCGTTGGTCAGGGCGATGCATGTTGTGTCGCCGGGACTGCTCCTCATTTCTGTCAAGGTTCGCAGCCGCCGGGGCACTGCAAGCTCGAGCAACTGGGAACAGATTGGTCTTTGGGAAGCCTGGTACTCTTACGCCTCAATTTAAGGATGGTGGTCAACCCGCTGTATAAGGATGTTGGTTGAGATTGACGCTTCTTGTTGAGGTTTGTGGTCCGAAGCCCCGACAGGCAATCGTGAAACAACACAATATGCTGAACGCGCTCTGTCCAGCATTCATCAGCGTTCTAGATGGCCTCCACGCTTTCCCGGGCCATATTATCCCCGGAGGTTGAAGACACAGCCCGGGCAGCCGCAATCCGGCGACGTTGGCCACTCGCCGCGGCACGCTGCGCCTCACTCCTCAGCCCACGAGATCTGCAGAATCAAAGGCCAACACCCCGTTGCAGCATTTGCATTGCCATGCTCCTTAGGCCCAACCACACGTCACTCGATCCTGCGCTCTTTGCCACGCGACATATCTGCCTCGTCACATTGCGCAGCTTTGTGCCCAACACATATCATGAAGCCCTTCCTCCAGGGCCCCGGCCGCCACCCGACCACCCATCGGCTCTCGTCTCAAACTCGGTGTCACACCCATTTGGACCGGAGTTCAAAACCGTCATCTAGGCCTTGACCACCCCGTTTCACTTGTTGTCCTCAGCAATATCGTCGGTCTCTTGACTCTCGACGGCCGGCTATACGAGCTGGCGCCCTGCATAAGGCACGCACCAAATATGCAATCATTACATCAACCTTTGGCCTCAGGCCTGTGCCCACACGGGTCAATCAGAACGCTGTCAGAAAGAGCAATAAGAGTAGCAGTGGCTGCGGGACTGGGAAGCAGTCTCGCTGTTGTTTACTCTCTTCAGCTCCACGATCTCTCGACTCACATCTCGACGCATGCCGGACTGTCGCAGCCATCGCAACTGCCATCATCAGAATTCTTACTTCCGGCCTCCCAGGAACCACACGAGAACAAAATGGGTAACCTCTTCTCCAGACACAAGTATAGATCCGAAAAGAGCCGGTCCTCCTCCCAGAGCGAGAAGCTCAATCCTTACCTGTTCCAGCACCGACCACCAAATTCGAAGTCAACTTGCTATCCTCATCCACCAGGCCCCAATCACCGCGCGTATCACCATCATCAAAGCAAAATTGACCCCCGCAATGAGCTCTACCAGCTGCCGCAATCCGCATCTCGCAGGGTGACCAACAACTTGAACCCCAGCAGCCGCCCAGTAACCGCGGTCTCCCTCGCTTCTTCAAGCACCCTCAGACCCAGCAGTAGCAACGGCAGCTACCCGCAGAGAGGCAAAAAGGCGACCCCCTCCTCCTCCAAAGCCTCCAAGGCCAGAGTCGCCCCCGAATCAAAATACCTACTCGAAGTCCACTGCACAGACTGCGACAGCCGCCCTCTCCGCTGCGCTAACCCGGGCTGCAAAGGCTGCAAGGACTGCCGCGTCTCCTGCGCCTCCGCAGAGAATCTCAACGAGCAGTCCAATTCCGCCTATAATTTCAGGAACCCAAGCTACGACCGCGACGTCAAGCTGTGGAAGCTGCACGTCGACTTTTGCAGCTTGAAAGCGAATTTTGCGGACCGCGGTGATGGGACTCGGGAGAGGGACGTGACGTGGGCTGTTCTGACAGAGTTTGTTGGCGCCCAAGAATACGGGGCTGCGGAGGGGAAGGCGAAGTTATTTGGTTTTTCGGAGCTGGTCCGTCTGGAGGCAAGATTGCGATCAGAAATCGAAGAGTTAGGACCTAACAATACGGTGGGTGGTAAGCGGTAACTAGTAGCGGGTATCTGCGGTCACCCTGCGCTTGTCGGTTCGTGTATTGCTGTTCGCAGTAAGTCAGAGACATTCCTGGCTGGAGTCTTGCAGTTGTGTATGATAGAGACGGGGGTTGTATCATGTTGCCTTTTCGCAACGGCCGTCAGGTTACGGTTTGGGACTGAGGCCAAACGTTGTACATCATACATTCCGGCACGGGAAGTCAGGCCTGGAAAAGACACCGACTTAGGCGCGGTTGGATTTGGAATGGAAATGCACCCGATATTGTACCTGTAGCCTCATGATTCGGATTATGGATCTTGGCCATGATAGATGTGGTTTACATCATGCTGGTTACTGCAGGGTCCGGAATGTGATACCTGCTAACGCACTCTGACACGGCGACTAGCTATGATCATAATTTAACAGTAAGATATCCTCTTCTTCCACTTCCCCTCCATGTTTCCCGCTCTATACCGGCCTGGTGATCATAGCCACAGGCTGAGGTACCTTAGTCACTGCATGAGTTGACCTTAGCTAGGGGTACGACTAGATATAGGTATATTAGTGCGACGCTCGGGGAGCAAAATTATTGAAAGCCGCGAGTCACCGAAAAGGCGTGTTCAGGCCAGTCGTCAAGCTTTTCATACATCAACTGGGGCGGCTTTCTGTCCGTTTCATCGTCTGATTCGTCTGTACTACGTCCCATCCTTCGCCTCATTTGGCCGACAAAGCGCTTCGGCCGTTCCTTTGCGCTCTTCCACATTTGGCGCCGTCCGGGCTTGCGGAGAAACGAGATAGCGTACCCGGCAACGCAGTATGTGGTGCCCGGAACCAGGAGGAGGGTGACGACGAAGGAGACTTTCTGGTTCGCGTCGTCCCAGCTGAAGAGGTCGAGGGCGTATAATGCCTGGGAGGCATGCATTAGAGCCCATTCCGAAGAGAGGCTCAGGCATGGACTCATCGCGACGAAACTGAGCGGAAGGTAGAAGATGGTTACCATCGTAAAAACGAGAAAGTAGTTGTTCAGCTGCTTCGACTTTGTTTCGTTGACAGCAGTGGCCGTGAAGAGCTGCCGAGGTTCTGATTAGCAACTTTAGGCCGGCCCAGGGAAGAGAAAGAGGAAGAGGAAGGAAGTCAAAGTGAAAGAAGATGAAGGCATAGCGGCTCCTTACTTACCCCTTCCCTTCGACTCTTGACCTCCTCTTGCATCTTGGCAATACCCTCTAGCAAACTGTCGACCAGTTTCTGCTGGTGGGATATGACGGCCTCCCAATTCTGTCTGACGGGTTTTTCACCCGGCTCACGAGGGCGCGGTTTTCCTGTATAGTAAGTTGTTGAAGGTCCGGCACGCCCTAGGGCACAGCGGTGTAGGAATAACAACAATTCTGTCTGAGACCTTGATTGCTGCCCGTTGTGCCTCGGGTGAATCGGGTTTTTAGAAAGGAGGCCCGTGGGTTACGCTCTTTCTCTTTGGGTGAAAAGCGATTCCCCTCGAGACGCTGGACAAGTGTATTAAGTCGATCGACACTTTCGTCGATCCAGAGTGCCGAGAAGCGCAACACTTGGGATATGAAGAAGTACAGTTCCGACAAGGTGAGGTCCTCGTCGTCATAGAAGATCCAGCATCTTTTTTTGGCGAGAGGATTTGAGAGAGCGAGGCATCCGATCAGTAGACGTCCTAGTCGGCCCTCTTGAAGTCTCAAGAGGAAGACGACAAAGACGCAAGTAATGACAGTGACATACTCCACTCCAAGAAATTGTTCAAGCATGTCAGTGCCAAATTCCATTCGCTCGCCCATTTAGCATAATGTGTGAACTCGGAAGGCGAATGCCGAAATGCCAGCCGAGCGGATAGCTGGGCGGATACTAGCCTTTTCCCACATCGCTCTGGAGTGTAGAATCACCCAAGTCCTGAGCAGTAATCCTTCCCGTCCTGTTCTCGACGTCGGAAAGTAAGACCAGCAAGAATATGGGAAGATCCAGGTCGCAAGTGGTGCGCACTACGATCGACATGCGGCCTTCGTTCACGACTAGCTGGCTACGGCCAAGGAAACGGCTTGCCCGTCCTGTCTGTCGCTTCAAATATGGCAACGGACCAGGGCGGTACAGGTCCCCCTAGGGAACGACGCTTAGGAGCCGCATGTGGTATTGGAAAATTAGACTCCGCGACTCGAGCAGAGGGGGATTTCCTGCTCTACCGCAACGCATTTGGACGGAGGCCAATACCTCCAACTTTCGCACAACGCAAGCAGGAACTCCAACACCGGAATCAACAAATGCTTGTTCGGTTTGGGCACTTCCAGAAGACCGGGAGGATTTACCTTCCATAAGCTGGCACATGGCGAGGGCAAGCTTCATCGGATCCGCACCAACCCTCATGAGGAGTATTGCGCCATGGAAATGCTTTGGGCAAATGGAAAACCCTGCAAGAGTGGGCAACCACACTCTTCCCTTTCTATCCGTACCTAGGGGCTTGGGTAGACTCACAATTCCTTCGCAAACCGCTGTTTTGCCCAAGCATAGGCGGGCCGCGGACCTGATCTGCTGCCGATATACTTCCACGTGTCAATGACCCAAGGTAAGGTAGTCAGGCTGGGGTTGACGGGAGCTTCTCTCCCTTAGTACTTCTTACCGTGTGGTCCTGGAACGGTATATGGATCAGAGTATCGTGCGCCCATCACGGTAAGCCTTCTTCGCACGCCTCCATTCGGTCTCCAAGAGGCAAGGCAATGCCTCCGTGTCGTAGCCGAACTCGGTGACATCGCTTGACACGTCGTCTTCCATAAACAGTCAAGAAGAGGCTGCAAGCCCTCTGTCGATTCTGACCAGTCGCGAGGCCGGACGTTTTACCTTCGCTCCGGGAGGCGCAACGCCGAATCGACCGAGAATTTCGTTCCATTTGTCAGATGTGAACAAGGACTGAGAGAGGAGCAGCGCAATATGCCGCTTGATGATAGTCTCTTCGTCGTAACTGTCGTCCCTCGGCTTGATAGACTCGAAGTCACTCTGGTCCTTGGACGGCAGGTCGAGATCCGGGCTCGGGAGGATATTGGAACGTTTGGCTGCCGCCCAAACAATGGAACGAAGCGCGGCAATGTCGGTCGCCACTGCGGGCTCAGCAGCAGACGCAGGTTGGGCGCTGCTGCTTAGGTCATCCCGGCAATGCTCTAAGCTTCGCGCAAGGTCACTGTCTGCCAGGCCGCTGGCTCTCTCAGGGTCTCCGGCTGCAGATGCCATCCTACGTACTGTCTAACAATGGTTCGTTTGTTAGCGCCCCTAACGAAATAAGAATGGGTGGTGCAAAGGAGAAGGTAAGAAAAGTAGGAAATTGGAAAGATAGAAGAGGGGATAGAGGAATAGAGGATGGAGAAAAGAAGAACAGAAGAATGGGGAAAAAAGAAAGAGACAGCGAGAAAAAGAGGAAGGAGAAAAGAATACGAAAACCAGACAGTTCTAGAGAAAGAAGAAAAAAACAGTAGGAAAGGGGAAAAAGAGAAAGAACGAAACAGCGAGAAGAAAATGGAGGAGAAAAGAATATGAAAACCAGACCGTTCCACCTTGTTTCCTTACCAGGCTCCGCGTTAACAAACGAACCGGGCGTGATTGCGCTTGGATGTTTGAGGTTGATTGGAACAAACGAGATGAGTCTCGTCGGTGTTGCACAGCGAAATGGCACGCTCGGCGTGGCTGGACTGTGATTGTTGAAGCGCGGACGCGTGAAGGATGCTGTACGAAATAAGGTATAGAAAGGGGAAATGGTCTTGAGATCCAGCCTTGAGAAACTCAGGGCCGACTGCAACCTGGGCTCTGGCAAAAGCACTCACGGCAGCAGCTGGAGCTGCACACTGGCAGGGACAGTCGCTTGGGCAGGACCCTCCCAGGGCGGCAGGAGCCAACAGCCCCCGTAGACCACCCCGAGTTTGTCTTGGTCAGTCGCTGCTCTTGCCGAGTTCCAAGGCTCTGTGCCCGAACTTGGTTTTTTCAGTCGAGGTCAACTTCGCCAGCCTACCTAAGGTAATGGGAGTGCCGGCAACCGGGAGGGACTTGAGAGCTTCTACCACAATATGAGGACGGAGAAGGAGTCGGAATCCGATGTCCATAACGGGGAATTAGCATTTCGGCGTCACCGGGTAACAGCGGGTCCATGAGCGGCTCTCCCCGGACGGACCCCGGCCGTTCCATGGCGCCGTCGATCAGACCCCATGAAAGAGGGGCTCAACTCTCCCGCAACTCGACGCGTTGCATCTCCAGCCAGAGCAAACAAGCCAAGAGACGATGGGAAACTCTTCCGTGATGAGATCAGAAGTATCTCGAATTATATCTTCCTAAGAAAAGGCCAGCAAATGCTCTGGGACCTGGTTGCGGCACTCCCTCCACAACCTGCGGCTAATGCAGGGACGGTGTTGCATGATAACCCTTAGTCAAAACCTTGATCCTTGGTTTGCCCCGCGAATGGATATCAATGTTGTGGGAGGAAGCTGGACGAAAGAATGCTTAACGCCAGCTTCTTCAACAATTACTCAAACAATACTCCGTACAGGTGCGTTAGATCGAACATCGTCAAACTTCTACTAGAAGGCCTGATCGCGCTTCTACTGTGGTATGTCTCAGAAAAAACCTTGGCCCAGTTCTTCAGTTTGAGAATCGCGTGCTCCAAATTGTGTGCCTGCTCGTAGGTAGGCAAGTAGGGTACTGGTCCAGGTTAACAGACTGTCGACATTGAGGTTGATGAGTAGATGCATTCCGCCGGTAAGCTTGTCTGCGCGATGTTGCCTATGGATTTCTCCCAAGCAATCGGGAGGCTTGTGCCAACCAACTCTTGCCAGACCCTTGTGGAACGTAGCGCGCCTTGGGATGCCACCAACGTTGGAATGTCAGTAGCGAGGCATCACCAGCGACGAATGAAGACCAAGGTACTTGGACATGAACCAGAAGCAGTAGATGGGATGCCACATCCATGTTTCAGCGGTTGGTTTTGCTGAGCATACTAAACTCTGCGCCGCTGGAACAAGTGCCACCTCACTTTGCCAAACAGCTTGGGTATCAAACAAACTGAGATGCCAAGCACGGACGCAAGATGAGGCACGTCATTCATGATATTGATGAGGAAGACACACTCGCTGAGCCATAAGCTGCCCTAGAAACGCTGACCAGTGATGGACTTGAAATCCAAGAAAGTCGAGTATCCACCGCGATGACGGATCTTGACTTGATCGGATCACTCTGATCGGTGTCAATCTCTGCCATGGTTATCTGAATAATAATCGAGCGCCAAGAACTCAGCAGTTGCATGCATTTTCCGATGTGCGCTACAGAAACCATGGCCTACAGTCTCAAATGTACGCAGGAACCCCGCCAGATCGTGCCAGAAACTGCGCCGGCACACCCGCTCCGTTCCGCGAGAGATTGGCCGATCATCCCCAGCACCCTGCTGTGCCTTCTTGCCCCCCATCGCTCAGGTGTTCGCCGAAATTTCCAAATCCCAACCCCCGTCCTCACTCCTCCGCTCTGCATACTTCTATCGCCTTGGAACGTTGGTCCCTGCAGCAATTTGCATCCCCATATCGACCCCCCTAGAGCCATGCTACTTTGATGCTCCCGGAGTCGCCCTGTCGACCCTCACCGATTCTGCCGGAGTGGTCAAGGAAAGTCGCGGGCTGAGGAGACAGGAGGCGACTGTTGCGACCGCCGGCCCACGCCAGACGCCAGGCGCCCACACCTCAGCGGATAAGGGCATAGCGCAAGGACAGGAGTGTTGAAGCGGCAGCGACATCAACTTGACGTGGCGGTCACAGCGTCCAGTCGCGCAGCTGGAGGATTGACCTTCTCTTGCGTTTCGATTTCTCGGTCATCTCGTCATCCACCGAAAGTCATCGACCCAACCTCCCTCTAAACGTCTGTCGATCTGCTGCATCCCCAGACGCACCTCTGCAACCTGCAGACGTCGCTATCAAGTCGCATCTCCGACTCGCACACCTTTGAGTTAATTGTCGGCACCGTCTCTCAGCAATAGCGATTTGCCCACTCGCACTTAATAAGTTCCTTCTTTTCCCTGTGTCGCGAGTGTTGCTCGCGGCCCGCCACCCATCCAAGCATCGGAGCCAAACACTTGACCCACGCTCTTACACGCTTTGGAGCAGCGAGATCGAACGATCACCAGTGTGCCACTTGGTGGCGACCAAGGGTCCTATCATATCCGCGATTGTTGCAGTCTATCGCGCAACGCCCACGCGCATCACGAGATCACCAGCTCGAACGACATCACGCGGTTTCCACAAACGATTTCCACACTCCGCTCGTATCCACCTTCGTCATTCCCTCGAGCGGACCGACGTCTGCAACCAGTCTTGAACCATGAACAACATGCCAGGCATACCAAACATGAACCCCATGGGCGGTCCGGTCGTTCCAGTCGGGCCACCAATGAACGTCATGAACAACGGCGCCCTCGGCGGGCCCCATCCTTCCGCCCCTGGACAGATGCAGATGAACGACTCAAGCCGGACTCTGCTCAACACGTACATATACGAGTATTTCATTCGCTACAACATGTTCAGTGCCGCCCGCGGCGTCCTTGAGGCGGATCCGCAAATCAAGGTCATGAAGGACAGCCCGGGGAAAATGCGCGATGAGAATGGCAATCTGATGGGAAATGGGCTCGGCGACGGCATGGATACTGATGCCAAGGATGGCTTGGACCAGAAGCGCCCGGACGACCTGCCGGCGCCCAACGTGCCGACTCCCCTTCCCGACAGCTGTTTTCTCTACGAGTGGTTCTGTCTATTCTGGGACATGTTCAACTCGCAGAAGGGCAAGGGTTCAAGCGGTCAAGTCAACCAATACGTCCACCATACGCAGGTTCGTATTTCTCCCGATGTCTCTTGACGCCTGCCACTAACTGTTTTCCTCACAGATGCGGCAGCAGCAGCAGCGCGATATGCTCCGCCAGATGCGCCCCGATCTTGCGCAACAACAGTTTCAGCAGCAAATGATGGCACGTGGTATGCCGAACGGTATGCACATTGGTGTGAAGCCCGGGAACCAGCTGCAGAGGGCGGCCATGGCCAACAACCAGAAGTAAGTCGCATCATGCAAGGGTTACAATTTCCACATCGCACTGACATGTTCGGCGCCTTTTAGTCCTCAGACGATGCAGATGCTTCATCAACAGCAAAAGGCAGCCGGCCAGATGCAGCGAGACCCTGCGGACATGGACGGTAACCGCGTGAGACAGGCAGACGGCGAAGCCGACAACGCGCCGTCGCCGAAAAGACCCCGCCTCGAAGGCGGGGCGCCGTTCAACCCCAGTCAGGGCGTCATGATGCCCAACGGGAGACCCGGCCAGGGCATGCCCGGCCAGCAGCAGGTAGGAGGCTCTCTCGACTTCGTCTATGCACAAGCACTGCTCCGCCAGCACGGCATCAACCCGACTTGGCTGAATCCTGATTAACTCCAGGCGTTTGCGTCTGCTCCTCCGCAGATGCATGCCAAGATTGCGTCGTACTCGGCTAACCTGTCGCAGCACCATGGCAACCAGATGCCCAACAAGCCCATGCCCAACGCCGGTGGGCCGCAGGGTCAGGGCTCCCCCATGGTGCCGCAAGGTCCCGACGGCAACTCGCTTACCCAATACTACAACCCCGGCGACTTGGGTCCCGGCAATATGAGAGCCGGCGGCCCCAACGGACAGGGCACTACTGGCAGCAACCACGCCCTTCAAGACTATCAGATGCAGCTGATGTTGCTTGAGCAGCAGAACAAGAAACGGCTTATGATGGCTCGTCAGGAGCAGGACCTTACCACCACAGGCAACACGCCACGGATGGACGGCCCCGGCGGCCCAGGTGCGGCCCCGGGACCGAATGCCCAAGGCATCCAAGGAACGTCCCCCCCTGGAGGACGTAGCGGTGCTTCGCCCAACCCTTCGGAGCAAATGAGGCGGGCGAACCAACAGATGGCCAACGCTGCCAACATGGGATCCCCTCTTCCGGACGGCGCCCAGTCCAGAGGCTCTCCCGGCTCCATCAGCTTCATGGGCGGTAACATGGATCCCAACGCCGGACCCCACTTCATGAACATGAACATTGCCGGCCAAATGAACGGCGGAATGCGTCCACCGAGCTCGCACCCACCCTTCAACGGCCAGATGAATCAGCAGCAGATGCTAGCGGTGCAACGGCAGCAGCCTGGTGCCCAGGGAGCACCGATGCAGTGGCAAGGGGGACCGAACGGCCAGATGCCCGGACAGCCTCCGCAACCCCAGGTCCAGGGCGGCCCGGCTCCGAATCAACGGTCGATGCCGCCGCCATCAGCTCCGGCAACGGCAGTCGCCGCCGCCAACGCTCGTAACACGACGGCCTCGCCCCAGGTTAGCAATGCCGCACCACCGACCCCGCAGCAGGCGACCAAGGCGGCTCCCAAAAAGAAGGAAACGAAGAGCGCGAAGGCCAAGGTATGTTTCCCCGGCGTTTTGATTATATACCAGTTCTATAATTGACGTCCTTTGTTCCAGGCTGCTGCTCAGAAAAAGAACAACGCGAACCTCAACAACGCCGCTGCCACGCCGGCTCCCGAACCAACAGAGGCACCACAAGAAGGTCCGACGCCCGCGACCCCGATGACGCCCGTAAATGCGGCAAACTTTGTCAAGAATCAGGGTGTAAACGCCGGCCAGGTTGCGCCAAACGGACAGCCTCCGGCGCCCGCGCCCCAGCAGCAGGCGGCTCCTGTTCCACCGCCAACGCATACGGACCCAAACCAGAACACCAGTTTTCTGGACGCTGGGACAATGGTGAGTTGAACTGCCCTTTCGTCGTGTTGCCGCTGCTTGCTGACGTGTCCTCAGGATTTCCAGGACTTCAATTTCTCCACCAACCCCCTACAGACCGACAATGTGCTGGACGGTTTCGACTTCGACTCGTTCCTGCAGGACGGCACTAACGGGGAGGAGGGCGCGTTTGACTTCAATGCGGGGTTCTCGATGGACCAGGACACTACGATTGGGGCTACGGAGTAGGAACTTTGTTTCGCTGCCCAAGTCAAGGCGTGGTATACGCGCGAGGTGCGCTGCAGCCTGGGGCGACAGGCGTCGTGACGGCGCCCATACATTTCGAGCCTCACCGGTAGAGGGAGATTCCCTACCCTGCAGGACGGCTATAGCTGGGCCTACATCCCTTCTCTTTTAATTATCTTTCATCCCCAAGATATTTTTAACACCGTGCCGCTCAACTGCCGCAGAGGCTGCCTCGGTCGGCGCTGATGGCTCCAGGGCTTGGGAGCACTTGTACACGTTCCTTTCCGGTTCCTTTGCTACGAGGCAGGTTGGAGGTGGTGGCTGCTGCATATGGTTCCCGCTCATCCTTTGGTTGGCATCACCGGCGCTCTCGCCCATGTGGATTGTTCCTGTCTTGGGTACACCATTCCTCTTTTTTATTTCTACCGTCTTCACTTTTGGTGTTTAGGTTGTCTCTCTGGCTTTGTGTTTAGGCTTTGTGTCGAGTAGACTGGCCCGTGTTCCTTTTCATTTTCTTTTTTTTTTTTTTTTTGGCTGGGTCAATGAAGGACGAGGCCTGTTTTCCTTCTTTTCTTTCTCTTGTGTTTCTGGGTTGGGGCGTGATACCGCATGCGGAGGAGGAAAGGCACACACAAACAACATGAATGGAGAAAGGGCGGCGCGGCGGATCTTGGGAGACGTTCTTAATAGCCGGCTCGGTCGTCTCTCTCCCAGCTGAGAGGGGGTTTCAAGGCGCTTTTGGTGAAGTCTATCCGGATGAAGATATGACATAGCGAAAAATATCACCTGCTAGTTTCGGTCCGACGGCTTGGGTTCGCTGTGAAGTTATGCTGCTGCTTGGTTGATCTGCTAGTTGGTATCGCTGGTCCCGTCTTCAGTGAAGCCAGGCCAAGTTGGAGGCATTGAAAATGGTTAGTGAGTGCTCGGGGGGAAATTGGTCACATCCTTTTCAGGTTCCTTACCCGCTCTCATCTTGACAGTCTCGATCTGTGATTCAAGATAGAGCCTACCAACGTCGACTGTTGCTTGGACCCGACCTTGCAACACACCTATCATCAGGCTTACTTGGTATGGTTTTGGAGAGGTAAGCTCATCTTGAGCCCTCCCGCGACAGCCATGAGGTACGCTCCCAACCACCTGTTTTCCCCCGCCATTGCCGGCCTTGGTGGCAAGCCGAATCCGTCAGTCAACCAATCACTGACTGTGCCATACTTTACTAGTCAGCACGCTGCATTGCGATGCGGTATCGTCTCATGCAGTAAGCTGTAACCTTTAGTGTTGGCTTGCTTGGAGGGGTAGAAAAGGGGCTTGGGAAACCAGGCACCGGCATTGTATAAGATCCCGTCTTTCACACAGCGATGCCCGGTTGACGTTCCTCTCTTCCTTCTGCCTTGCCGAAGACCTCGCTCACAGTTCCTGATCGATAGACGGCATGCGTGGAACACGAGGAAAGATGATTGCGCGATGTCTTCTCTGGAATTTGGTAGTTGGCGGTGCTGTTGCCGCGGGAAGAAAGCATTACGACCTTGATGGGAGCGTCTACGACTATGTCGTAGTGGGAGGGGGAACTTCGGGGCTGGTGGTGGCTAACCGGTTGACTGAGGACCGTCGGAGTAAGTGCGAAGTCTCTGGAAGTGCTGAATGCTAGTCCCCGCTAACCTCAATACACAGCCACCGTGTGTGTCATTGAAAGGGGCTACTTCGACGACAAGCTTGAGGCCATCGTGCCGTGGTACGCCAACGGCCTGGACACGAGTGTCATGATCAGACCCGTGTCAGCGCCCATCCCCGAATTGGATAACACCACTCACAACGTGGCGGTTGCGGCGGCCGTCGGGGGTGGCTCGGTGGTCAATGGCATGGGGTATATGCGTGGGACCATGGCAGACTACGACGCCTGGGAGCAGTTGGGAAATCCTGGCTGGGGTTGGGGCGGCATGCTGCCGTACTTCCGCAAGAGCACCACCTTTGATCCACCTTCGCCAGAGACGGTGAGCCGATGGAACATCACATGGGACCCGAGCGTGTACGGAAACGGGCCGCTGCACACGCATATCTCAGACTTTCGGTATCCCGACCTCACCGTGTTCTGGGATGCCCTCAGACACCAGCCGGGCGTCGAGCTGCCGCCCAGCGCCAATGCCGGGTACGGGCCGGGTGCCTACTGGGACCCGCAGACCATCGACGCGCGCACCATGACGCGAGCGACCTCGCGGTCGGCCTACTACGACCCGGTCAACGCGACCCGTCCGAACCTGAAGCTGGTGACGGGGCAGACAGCCACCGAGGTTCTGTTCCACCCCGGCAAGCCCCTGAGAGCCAAGGGTGTCCGAATCGTGTCGCGATCTGACGGAATCGTCCGCAGCGTCTACGCCAAGAAGGAGGTGATTCTGGCAGCAGGTGCCATCCAAACGCCCCCGCTGCTCCAGGCCAGCGGCATTGGCTCAGCCTCGGTGCTCCAGGCCGCCGGAGTGCGAGTCAAGAAAGACCTGCCGGCCGTGGGCGCCAACCTCCAAGACCACCCCACAAGCCTCCTCGTCTTCGCCCTCGGCAACCAAGCCTTCCCCAACCCGGACACCATCACGACCAACGCAACCTACAACGCCATCGCCTGGGCGGAATACCTCGCCAACCGAACCGGCCCCATCACGACAGCCAACAGCAACACGCTCGTGTCATTCTCCCTCTCCCACATCCACCCCTCCCCCTCCACCCTCGCCGCAACCCTCCTCGCCCAGAACGCCACCGCCCACCTTCCGCCACTCTACCACACCTCTGCTGCCCTCCTGCAAGGATTCCTCTCGCAGCGCATCCTCCTCGCAGACGGATTCACATCCCCCAACGCCCCCATTACCGCCACCCCCTTTCGCGGCAACGGCCTTTCACCCGCTCCATTCCTGAAACCGCTCTCCCGCGGAACGGTCACGCTCAACATGACCGACCCCGTGAACGGCCTGCCGGTGGTGCAGTACAACACCTTCCAGAATCCGGTCGATCAGCAGATCGTGCTCTCCATCATCCGGAACGCGCGGTCGTTCTGGGCTGGCGAGCGCATGGCGGTGTTGCAGCCGACTGAACTGCTCCCCGGGGTGGAGTTCCAGAGCGATGAGGAGCTCTTGCGCAAGATCAGGGGGGACAGGGGTGTGTTTTGGCCGAGTCTTGCGCATCCCTGCGGGACGTGCGCTATGATGCCGGAGGAGAAGGGCGGGTGTGTTGATGGGGAGTTGAGGGTGTATGGGGTGAAGGGGTTGAGGGTTGTGGATGCGAGCGTTATGCCGGTTATTCCGGCGGCGCCGTTGCAGGCGACAGTGTATGCGGTCGCGGAGAAGGCGGCGGATTTGATTAAGGGTTGGTTGAGCTGGGAAGATAGATGATAGGGGGTGGGAAAGAGATGATTGGACGCGAGTTTCAAGGGAGCGATTGACATCAGCAGCTGGATGGACACCTAGTATTGTGCTCATGATAGGCCCCCGCCGCGAAATCGCCAGACGGCATCAATGGTTGACCCGTCCTGGATGTTGTAATCCGACAGCAATCTGCTCATTTCCAACGGCTTACCTCCACACAAGAGCCTCCAAGCAAATCGGTCCTCCCAAATTCTCTGTTTCCCTTCTAGGGCGCGAAATATGTCTTCCAATTATGCAAAGGAGGTGATTTGGACAGTCTGAGTCCTCCCTGTCATAGAGTTGACGAAGAGCTGAATCTCTGTATTGCGCAATTGTGTAGCAGGCTCCTTGCTTCCACATTCCGAAGGCAGTCCCTAGCCTCGGATTCGCGATGGTTGATGATGAGTGCGGTGACATACTCGATAATGCACCTCTCGTGCGACCAAGACGTGTTGGGCGACCCGATCGACTCCGCTACGTATGGTTCCAGAACAGAAACAACTTCGTTGCTTGCGTCGCCGAGCAGCAGAGACAAATGGTATGATGCCCGTCGACTTTCTTCGGAGAGAATCCCGCAGAGGGTTTGAAAGGACTGCCAAACACTCCGGGCTTTGCCCAAGCGCGCGTGGCTCGATTCATGTTGTCGGCGTTGGTGCCGGTACTGGCTTGGGAATTCAGAAGCCGCGGCTCTGTCGTTCAAGTACCCTTGAGCAGTGTCCCAGTATTTCCAGATTCCGGAGAGCCAGTCGTATTGGAAGCCATGTGTTCCATAAAACATGAGCCAGCTCCGAAGTCGTCGAGCGGATTCGGCGCCAGGAATTCTGCGTGTTGCGATCTTCTCGTCTCTGCTAAGATTACCACCTCTTTCGAACTCCTTGCCTCTCCTCCGAGAAGCCCTGCATGTTCCAAAACACCTGCCTTTGCCGATGGTGGTTTTTCGTTCCATATCCATACCTGTCCTTTCCAGGACTGCAGAAGGTTCATGGTCCTGATCTGTCGGTCGTCTCGCTCGTTCCCTTCCTCCCTCTGACGTTCCATCTTGCGTCGACAGGCACACAAGTGGGATCTTCAATACCTCCAGGTCGCCGCTGCCCAAACGGCGAAGCCCGCCCTCTGTGTTGGCCAGACCTGAGGACAAGCCGAGAGACAGGCATCGATGAGCGTCATGGAGGTTTCGTAGTCTTGGGACATGGTGCCAAAAGTCGAGTACTCCAGTACCTGGAGAAGCGGCAGCGTGATGTGTGCCATGGTCAAGCCGTGTCCCAAGTCCCATGAGTCTCGCACGACATCCTCCGTGGCCAGGGGAATGCACCGGCGCGCGTGTGGAGCAATCCACGTGTAATGTCTCCATGGCCAGACGCCAAGTCTGCTTTCTTCAATGCTGTGTGTGTGCGAAGATCGCTCGAACCAGGATGGTAGTGGCGGTAGCAATCTTGCTTCTCAAAGGTAGAGCTCACTAACCCCAGCAGGCAGACCATCAGCTTCCGCCGGAGCTCTAAGTCCGTCTCGAGACTCTGACAAGACCAGTACTGAACAAGCGGATGCATATACAAGGAAGCGGTTCTGGCCTGGCATTTGACAAATCCACATCTCTGCAACTCCCTCCTAGCGTCGATAAGACTCGGCTCGCTCTCCAGAATCTACTGAAACTCGGCCAAAGTCTATCCTTGACCATTGTGCACCTTTTCGAAGTCGCCGCTAGGACCCCATAGATATTGGCCGGAGATGCAGCTTTTGAAGATCGAGATCGGGATATCTTCGGAACGGAGCAGAGACAGGAGGAGCAAAAGAGTGGCAGCTGGAGGATGGCTTCTCAGAACTTCGCTGAACGATATATCCCACGTCGTCATTACGCTTTGTCGACCGGAGACATTGTAGCGTGCTGATGGGTATATCCTCAGATACCGTGACTTGACCTTGTTGTACAGCACACAATAGTCTGCCACTGTGAGGTCGGCCGCTCGCATATAGGATGCCGCTTGGTCGATGGCAAGTGGAAGATCTCCAAGGTCGTTGAGCAGGGCCATTGTCGCCTCCTCCTTGGCACGGTCTGACCCTGCGATGACCTCAACAAGCGCTGTGCTTTCCTCCCTGGTCATGGTGGACACCTCAATGGTGTACCGCTGCAAAGCGACTTCGTCATTCCTGCTGGTGACAAGGATTGAGCCTTTCATACTCGCTCTCAGGACTTCCTCGTGGAGACGATGAAGGGCCGTGCTGTCGTCCAAGTTGTCGACCACAAGCAGCCATCCGGTATTGGCCAGGAGCCACTCGGAAGCTGCATCGGCCTCGTTCGAGCCAACGGTGTGGGTTACTCCGGCCAGCCTCAGCATGTGGGCAAATCCAGCGAGGAGTTGCGCCCAGCTATCCCCATTCAACCAGAAGACGAACAGGTAGGATGTATGATGTTGCACCACGAATTGTAGTGTGAGCTGAGTCTTGCCAGAGCCTCCCAGACCCCACAAGGCCACCCTTGGGGAACCATCGCGTCCAGGTCGTAAGCTGTTGAGAAGCTGCTGTAGCAGACCTGGTCTCGATACGTAATTCTTATTGACAGCCAACGGGACGTCAAAGACCCTGCGCTCTTCCTGGCGCCCGTGCCTGGTATCGGCCGGGAAAGGCTGGGTCTGTCCCTCGCTGGCTATCTCCTTCCTGAGCCTGCGAGTCGCATTCTCCTTGCCCTCACCATAGATGGTCGGGATGAAGACGCCGAAGATGCCCAGAAGCGAGTACGCCCAATTTTTTTTCGCGTTTTGTTTTCCTCTTTTCGGCCCACTTGAAGCGCTGCTCGGCGCTGAAGTGAGCAAGGGGCTCCGCATAAAGCGCCGAGATGGAAATGCCCGTTATTTCGTGGAGCTCTTGTGGCAAAGATGCTTTGTCTCCATGAAGTGAGCCATCCTTGGCAAAGAACAGGACTGAGGCCGGAGCGAGAAGCTCTTGAAGGGTCCAGCCACGCGTAAACCACCTGCTCTCTCGGAAGGTCGATTCCCAGGATGGACGAGCGTTAGAGAGCTGATCGTTCGGTTGAGGTTGATTGTCCACGACGAATATGTCCGATAGATACACGTAGCACCTAGCAGCATTCCTGTACCACCAAAACATAGAGTTGATGGCCTCGTTGAGCTCAGCGCCGTTCGTCTTGTCGATACAGCAGGTATCGATCCAGAAGTAGAAAGACCATGACGGCGCGCTTGAGCGGCGCAGAAAAGAATCTTGTCGTGACCAGCCTTGTTCTTCCCTGTGCCGTCCATCATATCTCGGAGGGTAACCTCGTCGGAATCTGATCCCCATGTGTGCAAAAGAATGGCATAAGAGGGAATTTCATCATCCGCCGTCAAATCTGCTGTCAAGCGGAACTCCCCATTTACATCGGATTGCAGGAGCCGCATCACTGCAGGCGTGGTCAATGAGACCAGTTCAGTCGAGCTCTGTGAATTGCGCTGCAGTCACTCTCTGACGAGGTTGTTTCGGGGTACGTCAGTATGGGAGAAGGTCTCGGAGAACTCCTGGGCGGGGATTTTAAGGTGTGTCGAAATGAGGATGTGAATTCAGCTGGCTGGCTGTAGGGGGATGACGGCGACTTTTTCGGAAGGGGAAGCCAGACCATAAATACTGTGATAAGCCACTTGGCCCCGAGGTGTTTCAGCCTCACGTTGCACATGCGGTTGGGTTGGTCTGGGCTATAGCACAACCATAGGTCCCGTAGATTGACACTTCCCTCATCCCATCGGCCAAGATAGGCACTACCTCTAAGGGCCTGCTGAACAGAGCCGTTACCGCAATTTTGTAATTAGCTTACTTATCGTTTTACACTCAGCGGTTCTCAAAGGCGTGGTGGCAGAGTGGTCTAATGCGCAAGACTAGAAATCTTGTTCCTTCGGGAGCGTCTGTTCGAATCAGGCCCACGTCGAATTTTTTTCTTTCCGGTTATCCACGCCATTGGGAACCTAACACTTCGTTTCCTTGACATTGTGTTCTGGAAAGGGAGAAGGCAGCCTGCCAGTAGATTAGATTTTCACTCTCAAGACAGGGCCCCCTTTTAGACCGGACAGCATTGGGCTCTGCTAAATAAGGGGCTTATCACAGCTTGCCCCACTTCTTCGAAATAGGAAGTAACCAAACTATTCCTAACAACCCAAAGTTTATCAGGCGTCCTTCCTCTCGTGTCAAGTACATACGACCATAGGCGGTAGAGAATTCGGGATCCCGTTTGCTCTCCCCACGACAAGCTACCGACCGCCGAACTAGTACTCAGGTCGGTGACGACTGGGGAATCCTCGGTGTTGTATGTTTTTGCCTATCCTCTAACAAGAGGAGGTGTTGTTAACCGACCACTCGCGGGCGCGTCTCTTACTTTGAAAAGGCGGATGTCGCTGTCGAATTGACACGAAACTGCTTCATGTACAGGAGGCTCGACGGAAGATATATGCCGTACCGAATAGAAGGGGCTGACCACGGCCAGCCCACTAAGCAACCCAAGTATCGAAGCAGCAAAGGCATCAACGGTCTGTCCAAATCGCCAGCGGAACCTCTATGATATCCCCTGAGGCACTAAGACAGCCCGTGGAGAAGTTCCGTTCCTAACAGAGAAGTCTTGCCCAGCGTTCCTAATGAATCAAATCAATCCAAATCAGACTCAGATTTGATTTGATTTGAGAGGACAGGGGTAAAATTTGATTTGATTTGAGTATAACTAGTCAAATCTATTCAAATAGTTAGCATACAAGTGGCGCCCTGCCATGGCAATTCCCAGTCAAGCAACCTCCCTGCTTCAAAACACACGTTTTGACAGCCAATGCTTCAAACAAACGAGCTGCTCAATTGTCTGGTCCATCAATCGACACCTTCGTCGATATCGTCAACTTTGATTGACTGAATACTCTCTCAACCTCATAAGAAGTGGCCGGTATTGATAGGATAATGTTATCGAACGCCATTCTTGCCAGCTTTGGTAACGAAGTCTGATGCCGCCGCCACTATCCTAGGGGGTCGTCCACAGGTAACAACGGCAAAGAAAAGTGTTCAGTAATCTCATCCTTTAGGAGGAGATCCTCAGGCTTATCGTAGAAGTCTTCGTTGATGAGATAGTTCGGTCGAGTCTGAATAGACTGTTGGGGGGATAGAGAGCCCTGCTCGTTGTAATCTTCGTTAAGGAACTTCTTGAAGCCTTGAATGAATGATACGCTGAGCGTGTTCTTCGGAGAGGTGCTCCTCAATCCATCGCTTCTTAAGCTCAGGATGTAGGATCACCGCTGCCCAGTAAGCAGGCGAGTCTTCCACAGTAGCGATGTATTTGTCGATTTTGTAGAGAGCAAGAGCAAGACTGGCCCTTGACGCACGAAGGTATTGCCGGTCGAAACAACTCAGCTGACTCCTTGTTTCTCGAGATTTCTGGGTCGTCCGCGCTGTCTCTATGTCTCCTAGGCTGGCGCCGCTGCCGTTATGGTTAGTCAGAGAAGATCTCTGACTAGGTATTCGGCGGCGTGATCGGCTGTAATGCCGGTGTTGAACTGAGTGGGTTCCTTGGCACCAAGATTCACGGACTGAGCACTGATGTTCAATGCGAGACTCTCAGTCAGCACAGATCCATCACAATGACACAGTCCCTGACATAGCGTCATACCATGGCACAATGTCTCTATATTAGGGGGTAATTCCCTTGGGAGGATTAGAGAGGACAATTTTCTGTTCCAACAAGAAAGGGACATTCAAAGGCACCCTAACCCACTATCTTGATCCTTCATTTTGTGTGGTCACTCTGGAATCGTGACTCCAATTCAAGCTTCGTTTCATACCTCAATCTGTTCAATACCATTTGGTTGATCTAAGCTTACTTGAGCATGTAACTGTTGGCTGCCCAACACGCGTAAGCTGACGTTAAGTCAAACCCCCTGCTTGTGGGCACCCCCCACATTTGGCACATATTCCATGCATCGCGACCCAATCCGACCGACCACTTCAAACAACCACATCTTCATCAATCTGCATCTTCTGGAGCTCCCGTTTGGTATATGATATTTTTTGTCGCCAAAATGACTGAATATACTGAGCAACAGCATTTTCAGGCACTTACAGAATTTCAAAAAGGCCGGCCAGTCGCCGTAGTCGCAAAGGAATGGGCCATACCAAGGTCAATCTTACAACACGGTCGAGATGGACGTCAACCACGCGTAGTAGCTTTCGAGAGCTTGCAAAGACTCTCCAAGGCCTAGGAGAACCGTTTGACGAAATGAGTTCTCAACCAAGTCGACCTCGGCTCACCTCCAGCCCACTCGCTGATCAAGGAGCTTGCGCAACGGATGCTTCGGGCACGCGGCGACCCAACAACACTCGGGAAACGCTGATTAGCCCAGTTTTTGAATAGGAACCTGGTCCTGAAGACCCAGAGAGCACGGGCAATGGAACACGCGCGCGTCAATGGCGCCGCGACTGAGGTTATTCGCGAATGGTTTCCTTACCTATCGACCCCCAACATCAAGGCGATCAAGCCGGCCAACCGCTGGAATATGGACGAGGCCGGCATTATGGAAGGCATGGGGGTCAGCGGCCTGGTAGTTGGGAGCCGGGAAAAGAGGTCAATTTTGCGGAAGGGCCCCGGTACACGCGCCTGGACATCCGTCATCGAGTGCATCTCGGCCACCGGCAGATACCTCCATCCGCTGGTCATTTTCAAGGGCAAGAGCGTTCAACAGAATGGTTTCCGTTGGATCTAGAGCATTTTGATGGCTGGGAGTTCGTTGCAACAGAAAACGGCTGGACCAACAATGCAGTAGGCGTGGAATGGCTGGATGTAACGAATCTCAAAGCCCCAACTACTGAAAGGGATTCCTGAAGGTTATAATTGACAACGGGGTGAGGTCCGGTGAAGCCAAAGGGTTCACAACAAGTGCACAAGCAATTGTCTCAACAGTAGATATGGCTGACTGCTTGTATTGCTTACTGAGGAAGCTACTGTGATGCCCGTAGGCTCTGGGGATCGTGAACTATATACAGCTTCCCCTCCTACTGTCCTTAGGAGCGTAAAGAGCGGAGTTCGCTCCTGTCGCTCCTGGTCCGCTGAGAGCGCTCGTCGCTCCCATCGCTCCTTCCATGGAGCGAATGCTTGACTTCGCGCTCCCGTCGTGATTGGCTATACCTCTGTTCTCAATGATTGGCTCGGGACGCTCCCCTCGCGCCCCCACCAGATTTCTGCATACGGCCATATTCGTGACACATGGCCGTCGAGGATGAGGAGGCGATAACCCCGGTTGTTCGACCTTTGGTGTGCTTGTCGAAGTGTTTGATTTATTCCAGACCGATCTCGTTGGTAGTCAACCATTTTCGGATGTGACAATCACACAGTCGTTCGGCAATGGGCTATCCTCGTGTTGGAAAGCCAACAGCCACGAATGTGCCGCACCGTAGTAATTGGGTACCGAAAAGATGGGGAACCACTCAATTGTTGATGATCTTCCTGTCTGTGTTCTTCCAGAAGTTTCCTGCCTGTTCCTGATCCTGAGAATCCTGGTGCCAAGCCATTAATCACCCCTGAACTGCCCTCTCTGACCACCTGCCAAATCCAACACCTCGTACCAAGAAGAGAGGTGATGGGTGCCCTCCAGGATGATGAACGGCGGGAGTACCCAGCCTAAGGCATTGATACACTGGATCACGGTGGACCATTTGCGGTTTCCTGGCTGCCGTGTCTTCCGTCTACCACGCCGTTCAGTGCCGGTAACAACCAGTACAGTCGAGATAACGCCCATCAAAAACCCAATCTCGTCAAAGTTGTAGATATCCGCCTCTTGGATACCATACTTCGCGATTGTGTTCTGTACAAGCGCGAACCAGCCACGAATGATATCTGGATCTTCGCACAGGGCCTTCTGGTAGTTGTATCTCCGATTGAATCGGGTCGTGATGTCTGGTTGTCGTTTAACGAAGTTGTGCGCCCAACGCGCCCCGACGCGTCCCGCGTCGCGATTGGCAAGTAGTCGATTGGCCATATCTCCCACTAGACAAGCGGGGAGGGAATCCTTTGGAATCCAGATCGAGGACATACTGAACAATAACCGATTCCTCCAGGTCGGTTAATTTGCGCGAGTTAGCCGGAATGTCGCGTCGTGAATGTTTACCGCGTCTTCGGCGACTGAGCTTCTCGTGGTCCACAGAATATATCCTAGCTGCAGCTCTTAGGCTCAGTTTCGGATCATTCTGGATTGCTTAAAGGGCTAATTGCACTTGGGCTTCGTCGTTTTTTAGGGGCATATTGCGTTGTGAGGGGAAGTCGATAAAAAGATGCAAGGTATGAAGGAGTAGATTTGTGGGACGTTCGCTTGTCTGGGACGTTTGCTTATCATGTACATTACCTTGATTTGATTTGATTTGATTTGAATAGTTGATTTATTAGGAACGCTGGTCTGGCCCCCCCAAGTATCCAAGAGAGAACCGCCGATGTAAATCCAAACAGCAACCGCCGCTCTAGGACGAGTAGACCGCAACATACTCGACCTCCATCATACTGCCGTAGCTGTCTGCAGTCGCGCCGTTGGGAGCGCCGGGCCTGTGAGTATCAAGTCAGTACAGTCCCCTTTAAGAGACCTCCTTCACAGGCAGACGGAATAAAGGACTCACCAGTTCCCGCCCACCGCCACATTCAAAATCACAAACATGGGCGAGTGCGCCAGCGTACTCCAGATCCCCTGATCCCCAATATCCGCCCCGCTCATCTGATGAAACACCTGCCCATCCACCAGCCACCTCACCACCTCCCCCCTCCAATCCCCGCCCGCATTCGTCCTATCCACCTGCAACGTCCAGGTATGCCACTCATAATCCGCCAGACCAACCGTCCCGCCGCGCCCGTTCGGCTCGTTGCACGGCCCGCCTTCGCCGCCTGCCCCACAATGCGTCGTGCCGTACGCCGTCGGCAGGCCGTTGACCGTCTCCATGATGTCAAGCTCGCCGCACAGCGGCCAGGGCGTTCCGTGGTGAATGGCGTCGCCAAGCAGCCAAAAGGCGGGCCACAGGCCCTGTTTCGCGGCGGCCGGGTGGCTGCCGAAGCGGATGGCGGCCGAGAACATGGTGATTTTTCCGGGGGCAGGCGTGAACGTCGATTGGGACTCGATGCGCGCCGACGTCCATTCGCCCGTGGACGGGTCCTTGCGCGGGATCAGCTGCACTGTGCCGCCGCCTGAGAGTTGGAGGTTTGCGTTGGAGGTGGTGTAGGTTTGGACTTCGTTGTTTGTGCGCACGCTAGGTGGGAGCAGGGGGTTAGAAGCCGAGAAGTGGGGGGAAGGGGAGAGTTGGCTGGGTTTACTTGGTGATGATGTTCCATTTGCCTTGGTCCGGTGTCTGGCCGGCGCTGCCTTCGAACCCATCGGACCAGAGGAGTTGGTAGCCTGGGTAGGCCGGCGCTGGGCTGGCCGAGGCCAGCGAGAAAAGAAGGGGGAGCACAGCGGCAGTGGTGCGCATGTTGTCGTCGGTGGCGAAGTGGTGACTGAATGCTCCGGCGGTTGCGTGCAAGGTGCTTCTCAATGCTGTTTAAAGGAGTTCCGAAGTCGCTCGAGTCTTGTAAGTGAAACGATAAGTAGCCGCCTCCAGCGTTTGGTCGAAGGAATGTAAGGCCCACAGGGTCTGAGCTGAACTAGATGAGAACGAGGGAGGCCCAGCGAAACCGGGAACGGGAACGAAAGGAATGAATGTAAAAAAGATCAGCTCTGGTAGAGAACGTAATGCTTGAGCAGGGGCGAGGAACGGGAGGAAATCCTGGAGAGGGCAAACATGATACGGGCTATAGAAAGATATATAGGGTATGCCATGCCGTCTACGGATTATATCAGAGATAAACCGCCACACCCGGCCAGGGGCTCAAGCTCCACTTGGATCCCGTCACGACAATATCGAACCAAAGCCGGGGTTTGGGAGGCCGTGTTCGGCTGCTCTGATTGGAGCTATGTCTGCGGTCAGGGTTGCAGCGACTATGAAACTCAAAGCCCACCCCTTCCATTCCAATGGCTCTGCCGCATGGGCCATGCCGGATCGCGCTGGGGCCACGACGTTTGCCATCATGGGTGCCCAAAACGGACGGTTTGGGCGGCTGCAAGTGCGCAGGCAAATGCTCGATATCAAATTCCTGGTCCATGACATGTGGCAATCTGAGGCGCGGGCGCCAGTTCATGTCCAGATGCGTCCATGAGCGGCAGCCTGGTGCCCTTGTGGAAGGATCCCAGCTTACCCGACTGGGCCCGGCTGGGTATCGTATGTGGAAGTATCCAGGTCTGGACGATGCCAGAATGCCCAGATAAAGAGAAAAGGTAGCCGAGTTTGCTCCGCCTCAAAAGATCATTGTTTTGCTGGCTGTGCGCTAGGCTTTTTAAACGTGAAACACATGTCCTTGCTTGGCGGACATGTCCGTCGAATCGTGCGGAGCTGGGGTTGTGGGGCAAATCGACCATCGCGGGAAGAGGCGCTCGTCGGAAACATGACATGGCATGATTTGCCAAATTAATCCAGAGAGGCGAGCCAGGTGTTCGTACCTTGTTGGAAGGAATCAAGATTTGACCAGTCGGTTTTTGCAGTGTCGCGCGCCAGAACCCGATGATGGTCTTGGCGTGTCAAAGTCTTGGCAGGGGTAAAGTGCACTGAGGCAGCAACCAATGGCGGCTCATAACGGCCGTCTGACTTGAAGTGGGCTATCGTGAGCAATGGGAGGCCCTGACGAAAAGGCACTCGTTTGCGGCATCTCGATCCTTGGGACGCGAGTGAGCTGTCGGCCGTCCGGACGTTCAATATTTGCACATTGACGTGTCGCCGAAATGGTTGCGCCTCACAGTCGGTTGTCGAGGAGTCGAAGTTGGTGACGTGGTCTGAAAATCGGAACTGCTAAGTCGACTTACACCCCGTACAGTGGAAAGTATACTATAATCCGTACCGCTTTTGGTAAGGTTGCACCCCCTTACGGTCTTTCCGCACCAGCCACACCAAAAGCTAGGCAAATCCATCGCCGTCCTTTGCACCAAGGGACTCAAATTCACTTGAACATCGCGAGGCAAGCCACAGAACTGACCGATTCGCTCAAAAATGCAGTTCTGGCTGGATCGCTCAAAAACGCAATAAAATCCATGGTGTGTTAAGCGGGTGTTAAGGATTTGAGGCCCTAGATGCGTATGGGCGAGAATCGTTGCGGTTTTTGGCTGTGGCTGGTGTGGCCCCAAATGGGTTTTAGAAACACAGTAGGAGGCCGTGCAGAGGGGCAAGTTTGAAATTGTCAAAAGTGGGGGTGCCTCTGTTCAGGACCTCCACCTCCTCCTCCTCCCGAGGCCTTCTTCGGTTTTTACTAGCCAAACGCGCAACCTGCCACTTCTAGACGTGTGGACCCAACAGCGGAATCGACCCCACAATGGAATTTTGGCACCACCATCACCACCATAATAAAAGACATCTAGCTCATCCAATTTGCAAGCAATCTACACACAAATCTGATGGTTCTACTCCTCTTCGGCCCGGCGAATAGTCTCTAA